GTGTGCATTTATAATTCTGGTGTCTTGCTCCATACCCTGCCCAAGTGCACAACTTGCCAATTTGGATTTGACCATGACTGGCACCATATCTAGTCGATATACCCCATACCCAATTTTCTTTGAAGGAAAATACCATCTCTTATCTTTTCCTCCAATCCTAAAAGTCCCTAATTCATTCAATACTACAAACTAACAGATACCCAGAAGAAAACAATCAGCCAAACAAAAACTTCACTATTGTTATTGTCGGTAGTAGTAGTGGCTCCATTACTCAGGACTGTGAGCACAAGAACAAATCTTTAACTATAAGACAAAGAGGTTAACTTTCCTAGACTCCTATTTAATTATTAACGATCATTGATACTAATGGTAGCACCAACCAGTAGTACAGTGGCTCCATTACTTTAAAAATCTGGGAAGAGGTTGGTCAGCTTTTCCTAATATTTTGTTCAATTATTTGTAAGTCAAGGAGAAAGAAAGAAATAAAGGTGAAAATCTCACTGGTAGAACATCAATAACCCGATTGAGCTAACAAATAGCATAGATTTCCATGGGCTTGACCATTTTACAGTTGCAAGTCGGGTTAAAAATGGAGGACCCGCCAATGTTTCTCCTACAGTTACGGGTCTAACTTATTCCACGTCACCAAATTTACCGGACGTTGGATCGAGACAGCGGTGGGGCGACCGCACCGGACAAAGTCGGGACCGGCGGGCGGTCCCTTTTGACGGGGGATATACGGCGGAACAAATTTCATAGAAATTAAAGGGAAAAAATCAATTGATTGACTCAAATCTAACGCGGATTAACCGCGTATGACGCCATAAATCGCTTTCAGTGGAAACAGGAATACAATACAAGGACCGACGAAATTGGAAAAGGGATCCGTAAAAGGGTATTTTCCAGGAAATTCTCGGCCGTGTAAGGAAAATTGGTCGAAGGACGAGTCTGAATTGACTAGAATAGAATGAATGAATTCTTCTGTGAAGGACGGAAAGGATCTAAGCTCAGCTACTGACAAAATGAAAGGCCGCCATAGTTAAGCATGGCGTACAACGGAGATCCGAGGACAGAGCAATTAAGAACGGTTAGGCTACAGCTTCCACTTCGTCAATTGCTTGTTTCCCGAGAAAACGGAAGGAAAATGGAAAGAAAATCGGTTGAATATGAGGAAAGTAGATGCATATTGAAGTTCTGAAATGCAATCGAGAGAGAGACGCAGAGTGGGAGATCTGCCCTAAATCTACAGGTTTAAGGCAGCGTGGTTCTAAGGCAACAAGCAGTCAAAGCCCAAAAAAAAAAAAAATGGGCGGAAACGAAGAGAGGGAGAGAATCCGGAGTTCAATAGAAAAAGGGGGAGAAGAAAGAGGGACCTGGATGCTTCGCTTCCTGCGTTCGGCCTCAGCGCGCTTGGCGAGATCGGCGACGCACCGGAACCGCCGGCGGGGGTTCTTGACGATGCTGACAGCTCTCCGCCATCGCATCAACGCCTCCTCCGACGGATTCTTGTGGTGCAGATCGAACTCCTTCTTCAGATAACTCTCCATTTTTACCTCCGGCAAAGCGGGCGGGCGGACGGACGCCGGCGGCACGGAGATGGAGGGAAAAGAAGGAAGGAGGAGAAGAGCAGGTTGGACTAACGAGGCGGAGGGGTTTTATGAAGAACGGGAACAAATTGGTGCGTAAATGTACGGACACACGTGGGACCCAACACGAGTGGTTATTGCTTATTGGTCAAGACTTTTGGAGAATGGGAAAAATGGTCCCTGTATCATGGAAAATTCACAAATGAGCACCTGTACTAACATTTTTTTTTAATATTCATGTCATTGTACTATAAATTACCAAGTAATTACATTCCAAAAAAGAGTTAAGTGCACAAAGTAAATGCATACTTAATAAAATCTTACCAAAATATTTTCATACCACTAGGAGTTTCTATGCTCTTAGTCATCATATTCATAGTAGTATTTGTGAGTATTGGTATATATATAAAATTTTGGAGTAGTCAACACAGTGTCATGTGATTGAATAAATCGAATTGTGATTAGTAGATCAATCATGTTGAGCATAATCAATTCATGTTACTGTCTCTATGAATAAGATTTTCCATACCGAAACTCATGTGAGGAGGAAGCATTTTGATATATGCTCATTGATTCAAAGCAGCAACATCACGAGTGATAAATAAGAAACAACCGTAACTCCTGCCCTCATTCATTTTTCACTGGACATTGCATTATCTCTGTCATCAAATTCATAATATGGTATTTGCGTTCATGTGCTTGATCTACACTTTGTTTTATATGGTTTTGGGCGATTCAAATGAGACTTATAGATCCATTAGTATGATGCTTAGATTTTATATGTTAAAAGTATTGACGACGAATTAGCACGAGGTCAATTGAAGACAAAAAAAAACTTCCCAAAGTTTTTAGGTTTCTGTATATGGAACAAACATTAAAGGTCGAATCGATTGTCAAAAGAAGAAAATTAACAAAAAGAATAAGATAAACAAATACAAACATTAACTTGTTGAAATAACAAAAGAAGATTTAGCTTAGTATTCTCCTAAAATAAATGAAAAATAAGCTTAGTTTTCATCTCTTTCCCTTTTTGTGTAACGACCATGGACTCCTAGTGAAGACAAAAAGAAGCAACTCTAATTTTGTTTGTTTGTTAGATTGGATAAAGTGAAAATCACATTGGAGATGTTGATTCTCAATACGTAGAACAAAACGAGTAGTAAAGTGAAACATACTTTTAACCTATGCCTTGATTAGTAATTTGCCTTTTCTCTCTCAATCAAATCAATCATCCTTAACCATGTCCTCACTACTTCACTAATCACCACTGCGATCAAATTTTAATCGATGTCTTGAATTTGCGCGAGGACGTCGGCGGGAAGGGAATTCACATCAAACTTGGTCGACAGAGGCTGCGCCGGGCCCTGCAAGAGCTCCAGCGCCTCGCCGGCCTGCTTATCGGTGATCTGCCGCATCACCCTGAACTCCTCGTAGCTGATCGGCCGGTACAGCCGCGGACGCCGGCCGTCCACGAACGCCGGCGGCGGCTCCACCACCGTGTACCTCGGCGGACCCAGCATAAACGTCGCGATCGAGATCCGCACCGCCGCTTCCTTGCACTCAACTCTGTGCTTCACGTTCCGCAGCTTCCCATTGCTCCACACCTGAACCCCCAACCGGAGAAGAAGAACAAAATTAAACAAACCCCCGATCGGAATCAAAATTGCGAGTCTGTGTAGCTTTTAAACATTATTATAGCATAGATTTTTATTAGAATATTAATTGAAAAGTGTAAATGTTAAGTTTTAAAGCGTGATTTCAACTGCATTTTGGATCGGATCGGGGTACGTACCGTGGCGAGATCGCCGAGATTCATGAGGAAAGTCCCCGAGACGGGATCGACGGGGATGTAGCCGGAGTCGGAGGGATCCATGACCTCGAGCCCGCCGACGGTTTCATCTTCTTGAAGCACGGTGAGGAAGCCGGAATCGGTGTGAATCTGGACTCCGGCGGACCCGACCGTCTCCGGCTGGAAATGGTACTTGTTGATCCGAAACTGGCACGCCCAATCTTCGAACAATCCAGCTCCATCGCTCGCTAACACTCCCAAGCTCTCCGCCATCCTCGCCGCCACTTTCATCGCCACTCCGTGGGTCGCCTCCGCGTACTTCAGAATCGTCTCCCTGTAAATCAAAATTAAGGGTTCAATACTTCAATTCCCCCAAACTAGGGTTCAATTCCAGGTCAAAATTGTGAAAACCTGTGGTGAGGAGAGGCGCCGAGCTGGTCGCAGAACTCGTGGACGGCGGCGGTGGAGCCGATGTCGTAGAGGCCGAAAGCTTCGTAGAGAGGGTTCATGGAGGACAGCGCGATGTAGCCGCTGCCGGAGAGGACGTCGACGTTGCGTCGCTTGACGGAGATGGGGAGGTCGAAGAGCTCGCCGACGACTTTCTTCATCTCGGACATGAGACTCACCGGGACGCCGTGGTTGATCAGCCTGAAGCATCCCCAGTGCTCGCATGCTTCCCGGAGCTTCCCCGATGACGACGACGACGACTCTTGGAGTTCCTGCAGATCGATGATTGGAAGCGTCGCCGCCATATTTGCCGAGAAATACGATGTGGGGATTGGGGGAATTAAGGGTTTGTGGCAGCCGGGGGTTTTATAGTGGGAATGTCTGGCGGGCTGGGAATGTGACTTTCCGATGTGGGTTGTGGCTGTGCTCATATAAAGACGAGACATTGATGATCATTGTTTGTCGAAGCTTTGGCCGACCATGGCGTATAATGTAGTAACGTGAAAATCCATCGTCTTGTTATCCATCGTTTTCCTGAACTTTTCTGGGCAGAACGAAACCAATTCTTGCATTTCTTCTTCATGGATCCTGCTATAAATGGAACTTCATTTCATCAAGCTTACTCTTACTTTCATTTGGATACGAAGAGTTGAGATCGTTGTACGTCAAGTCGAAACAACATCGTCTTCAAAACAGGTCGAACCAGATCGGATAGAACAATAAAAACATATTCATGAGATGCTTGTTCATTGTTGCAGCAATGACAACATATAAAGTAGAAGGAAACAAATAACTTAATGGCGAGGCACACCAATTTTCATTAACTGAATAAAAGAGCAGATCTTCATCCCTCTAGTACTACTTCCTCCCAATGTCATGTCTGTGAATTGAACTGCAAAAAAATAAACTCATCTATCCTTCCTTTTTTTGTCCCTCAAGCCTCTTCTTTTTCTTCCCTTCTTTTCTTGGGGTTCAAGAAAATCAAGTCAACCTCTTTTTCTACATCTCAAAAGAAGCCCTCCCATGGCGACATGACTCCCAAGTTCGGAGACAAAAAAAAAAAAACAACAAAAAGACCAACTCCGAAGAGCAATTCCAGAGCCCTAATACTGAAAGGGATCAGTTTCCAGAAAGGGCACATCGCCACAGAATACCAAGACCAAACTGCTGCTGGCGGATCATGGACTGACTAGGTTCTTCAGATCCTCCTCCTTAGCGTACCAGCCCGGTATTATCTTCGCCACGTGAGGATAGAGATCCTTGTACGAGTTCCTGATTGTCCCTTCAGCAACACCCGTCGCAACTGATATGTCTGCACACACCACCCACAATGTCAAATCAAAACCAGCCATCATCCATTCCTCCAAATTTTTCACAAAACAGTAAGCCACCATACTGTAAGTGCAGGTGTAAGAATCACCAACCTTTGAGGGGTTTCTTGTCATCTGTAAGCTGCGTTATGATATATATGATCGCTGCTGCGATTGATATAGGGCTCCTCCTGTAGTTCGTAACCGAAACAATTAAAGCTTACAAGAGAAAAGATACGGAGGGGGAATGATAACATCTTTTTGCTATAAACCATACGGGCATCTCAAGCTGTATACCTGATATCGTACTCTTCGGACTTCTGAACAGATTCTTGGGCAGCTTTCATGGCTTGATTAGTCATACCAAGATTAGAACAGAACCGCCTCTACAGACCATTGTTTGAGGCTTATTAAATCAGTAATTGCACAATGTACTACTACAAACAATTAACTGAAACGACTAAAATTGAGATGTTTTTTAACCATCAATCTGCTCAAAGCAAAACATGGGTTTCAACTTTTAATCACCCACCATGAAGTCTCCAGCATGTATGGTTCCCATTTCAACTGACTGGCCTGTCTCCAGTCCCAGCTGTTTCACTATGTATTCTTTTGCTCGGCCAATTTCCTTCTTTGTGGCTCCATTGGCAACAGAGCAAATTTCTAGTTGAAAATTCCAGAGTTTTCACCGAAAGCTCAAAACACGATAGAGAAAAGATATAAACCAGGGAAGGCACCATTAGGTTAATAAATGGTATTTAGGCTCTGTACCCTTTACAGTGCGAGGCTTGTCTTCCTGTCGGCAAGCTATATAGAGGCAAGCTGCCAGTAAGGCGTCCTGGTTTCTTCCTCTACTAGACTTCTGATCCTCTACCCTCTTGAATATCTCATTCGCTCGATCCTTCAGTTAAAGTAAATGACACAGTTAGTGGAAAAAACCATCTATGTAAAATTACCAAGCTTCAAAAAGGAAACAATATCATTTATGTAAAAGATACTAATTATGCTCAAAAATGGAAAACAACCCAATGAATGTTGTCTCAGACTATTCAGCTGCAACTGACTTTCCTTTCTTATCAGGTACACATGGCAGTATTCTGACACAGATCTAGCAGCCAAATATAACTGAACCGAAAGAACCTTTCCATTTATCATCAAGGAAGACAAGAAGTTGTACTATTTATTCATCTTGGTACTTCTAAAAACTATACGTGTATTTGTGTATATTTCAATTTCAAAGCTTGTACAATTTCTCCTCGATACCAAAGTATTAGACAAGGTGCACAATATTGTGTTCTCATTAACTGTGTGTAACCTTCAGCTACAACGTGTATATTGTGTTCTCATTGAAATTATTTTATCAATTTGAAAACATTATCCAAACATCAATAGACTAGTAGTAGGACATGCAGAAAACAACAAGTTCTGATTCATAGCGTGAATGGGTATAAAGATCGAATAGGGGATAGCAGTGAGGAATTCAGTTCTCCCACAATAACCTAGAAGCCAGTACCAAACCTTCACAGTCAACTGGCAAAGGGAAAGCAATATGAAGTCTATTGGTCACATTCCAAGTTGATTGCTCAACTTCTAAAATGAGTAAATGACTAAGTTGCCCATAACAAAATGATAAGAAGGCTCTTTGACACAAAATACCATTCACTTTATGAAAGATTTCTCTACCCTAATGAGCAGACTTGCATATGGACCATGCAGCAAAGGAAGTGTACTTTGCTTGAGGAGCATCGCGGGTGTAAGCATAAAAGCTGTACATCTGGTAGGATGGCAGACATCCATACAACAGAACGCAAGAATTATAATGCATAACTACCCTAGTTCGTAGAACCTCAAAGTGCTTGACTTTGAAACCATTGTTTAGCAACAACCCTTACAACAATTGGCCATTTATACGACAGAATTGTGGATACCTGAGAGCTAAACCAATTACCAAAACTACTGAACTTGTCACCCATCAATTCTCAACGAACCTATGAACCAAGTATATAAGCTTGCACATGATATGAAGTTATCAAGGGTCCAGAAAATAAATAAGATGGCAGTATTATACCTTGATAGTTGCAACAAGTCCCAACCTGAAACAACAATTTGAAGTTCTTATCATCAATGGTTATAAAAATATACAATCCAGGTGAAACTAACACGGTTAAAGAATATAAGACTGAACCATCAGGCCCTTAACTTTTAGAACCCACATCAATTTCCAACAACATGCCTGGGAGAAAAATGTTATATCCAAGACTGTAGTTTCAAACTCACTGCAGCCTCTACAAACCACAATGATTAACAATTCTCCAATAACTGAATTTACCAATCCAGCACAATGTACAAGCACAAATTTTTAGCCAGCAATACAAGGTCAGGAAGAAAAAAAAATCCCACTACTCACGAAGGCAAATCCTGACACTAGACCACAAGGCAGCTAGACTCACACACCACTTTCAGCTCGTTGACAGCTCTTCTTTCTGCCATTCCCAATATCGAATTCATCAATTCAAAACACGTTTCAAGATCCACGGAATTCCCATCCAGAGATGCCAACCCCATCCCAATCAAGAGATCTAACACTTCCCCATAATCACATACAACCAGGGAATTGCACCCAATCCAACCCACAAAACCTTATCATGAAGAAATGAAAGGAAGACCGCTAATAATAATACCTATCAGACATGGTGGCTATAGTTTTGAACGCCAAAATCAGCCCCCGATCAGGATTGGACCCCCTGTTCTGCCACCTCCCCAACGAAGACGAGAGGAAATCCCCGGACGCCCCGTTCGGCTTGGCGATCACGGTGGACAGCCCGCCGTCGGCCAGGAGCGGGTTCGTCGGGCCACCGACACGAACGGGATCGTTGTCCCCGGACTCGTTGGCGAAGGTCCTCCACTCGGACGTCTCGTCGATGGAGTGAGACTCGAGGACGAGCCCGCACTCGGAGCAGACCGTGTCCCCCGCCGAGTGATCGAAGACCACCTCCGTCTGCCGCTTGCAGTCCGAACAGTAAGCGTCCGACATCCCGGCGAAATCGGAAGAACGGGAAACCGAAACTCGACGGAGCTAACAAAGGAGAAGAAAGAGAGATTTACAATTACTCCTCTCCCAATTCCGATTCAGAAAGAAATTTTCCGTTTTCCCTCAGATATCTTTAATTAGGGTTAGTACGTTCTGCTTCGTCAGCTCTCGCTGTTTGTGTCCTTCCTTCTTCTCTGCGTTTCGAAACGGATGGCGAAGTTAAGGATGGGAGAGAGGAAATGAGAGAAAGAGGTGATGGTGGTGTATTTATAGGCAGAAAGTAGCGGGGGCGGTGATTATTGGATGAGAAGATCTGGACCGTTCGATTGGGAAAGGGGAATCGGACGGTGGGAGATGGTAGCGCGATAACGAAGGAAGGTGGTAGACTGACAAGTGCGGCGTTGGTGGTGGTTAGTTGGATTATTAGGGAAGTCATCCCTAATGTTTTGGGCATCTATATATATGACAAAGGATCGAAAAATCGTATCATATTAGCGGTTTGATCAGAAAGTTTACAACTCGATACTAAATTAGCAAGTGATATTATTATTTAACGACACAGGATGTATGAATCTCGGTAAAACTACAATTTCGTAGTAAAATAATTCAATCGTTGATTTTTCATATACAACGTCCAGTATGATTTTACTCCTTAGTATATAGAGTAAATTAACAGAAATCATTTTTTCCCACATACAAAGGGATCATTTCATAACATTTAAAAAATTTCTCTACAGAGAAACATCATGAAACAACTATTTTTCGGTTAAATAATAATACATTTGTCATACTCGTATTAAATCGTTGGATGAATTATGACCTTTGAAAATCTTATTCTTGTTTAACAATTATATATAAATATATATATATTCCCCTCATTGGGTTGTAACTCAATGCTCTTGGTAATATTGAAAAGTCGAATGTCACAAAGTCATCCTACGAGCTCAACAACGAGCTCATCCCTACATAAATCAAATCCCGCCATTCCAACAAGAGGGTCTTCTTCGCTCTCGAATAATTCGCTTAATGGATTTTCGAGTATGATGATGACATCCTTTCTGAAATTTCTTATTTCCGGAAGGAAACACTTCAGCAACATTCTCAATCGGACCTCAAATCAATGTGACTAATCCATAAAGAAAAAACAACATCGACAATTACGAGGGTGGAGTCACGAGGAATGGCGAACCCAAAATAATTTTGGATCAGAGTATGCAGTACCATCACAGATTTCGAGAGATTTTTCCGAAATGCCATTTTCTTTCGATTTTGGAGGCTACAAATCATGGAATCAGGCCGAAGCTATTATCCACCGATAATGAAGTCTATTGATTCTATTCTCCATGGATGATAAGTCAATTAAGCACCAATTTGGGCCAATTTATTTTCGGATGACATTTTCGTAATTTTTAGGGCGACGAAAGGTCATTTCTTTGGATATTGAAGGCTACAAATCACGGATTCGGTCTGAGACTATTCTCCAACGATGACTGAGTCCATTAAGCACCGATTTGGACCGATTTATTCGGGATCAATTTTTGGCAGATTACAAAAGGGTGCCATCACAAATTTTGGACGATTTTTTCAAAATATCATTTTCATTCAATTCTCGAGGCTACAGATCACAGAATCAGGCCCATGACATTCGCGCAGGTAACAGCCATTGTCGATCATCGGCTAACTTCGTCAATCACTCCTCAAACAGTCAACCTCTGAGAAATACCTCCACACCCGTGAACCATCTTCGTACCCTAACTGCCTAATGACCTTGTAGTCATCTGTTTCTGGATCGAAACCAAACCCAACAGCTTCAAGAATCCAGCCGAGACGGGAAGGGGAACGAGGGACGAGCTTTGTCTCGGAGGTGGCCGGATTCCAGAGAATCAGATCGTAATTGCCGTCGGCTATGCAAATCAGGCCGTTACAGGACCCAGCAATTTTTATAGACCGGCTCAAAATCTGATAATCATCTTCAAGGGGCCTCTCTTCGTTGAAGGGCAGCTGGGCAGGGGAAGAAGGAAGGAGTGGCTCGAGTGTGTCTGACCTCTCGTCGTCGTTGATGGAGTTGATCAAGATTTGAAGACGAGGATCCACGGATTTATCTCGCAGGATGAAGGAGGGATGAAGGAGGGATCTGTGAAGAGAGCGCGCCATGATTTGCAGACGCAGCGGAATCGGCCAGTCCACTGGCCGATTGGAAGCCTCGACAAGATGTCATTGATCAGAACTTCTGGGAATTCTTTCTTCATCGCCGCCGCAGACGCACTCTGAGTTGGCTTCATTCTCCACGGGTTACGGTAGGTTTAGTTCCTACTTGTAATCAATGGCCAGAAGACTTACGGGAGGAAAATTCAAACGGTTACACTATTTAAATATGGCCCAACTAAATTCCCTCTTCCTCAATCCTCATTTTACCTCCCTGCTCCAATCCCAAAAAAACCTCACAGTTTCCCAATTTCGCTCTCCAGCCGTTCCCGTACCTCACCGGTCAACCGACCTCCAATTCCGTTCGGCACGATGATCTACGTCTCCACCGCCAAGCTCGCCGTCATCGACGAACCGGAAAGACCGAGCCTCTCGCCGATCCCTGCCGCCGCCGCCGCCGCTGCTGCTGATCCTGCTTTCTCCACTCCGGAGGCGAAGGAGCACCGGATCCCGAAGCCGATGACCTGTCCTCCCGCGCCGCTCAGAGCTCCTGCGAAGCGCAAGCTCTCCCACTCCGCTATCCTCAAGGCGACCAAAAAGTTCCGCGCGGCCAGGGAGTTCTTCCTCTCGCCGGAGGTCGTCGAAGCCGCGCTCGTCGCCAACGTCTTCGCTGCCGAGACCGCCCGCCGCGCTCCCAAGTGCGATCTCCGGACTCTCAAGTACTTCCGCTAGAGAGAGGCATCGTCGATTGTCTTTGTAATTAGGGATTTCGCCTGGGAATTGTTTTGAATTTGGGATTGCTCTGTAACTAGGGTTTGTTTCGATTTCGTTATCGCAAAGCATCAACCTGTAGATTTGGGGAAGAAATTGTAAATGATGGCAGTGTGGCCAAATACGGTGCCGTTCAGAGACGGGAGAACCTCATGATATATAGATTGGGCCGAAGCCGGTTTGTTGATACAGCAAAAGAAAGCCCATTTACAGTCTGGACTGGTAGTACGGCCCGACCTAGGACGCAGAGAGTGGCGGAAATGGACTTCCCGCCATTATAAAGCCGGGGAAAAGCTTCACAGTTCCAACGCGCCGACGGGCAGTCACTCCGGTCGACGAGAAACAAATCTCAAATGGGTTGTGTACTCGGAAATCCTTTTCCAAGAAGGATTTGAATTCGGAATTCCGTTTGCCGGTAGGTTTTGTCCTTTCCGCATCCCAACTCTTCTATATAAAGCTCTATTTCCGCTCTCTGTCTCCCCATTTCGCTCAAAGTTTCCGCAAAGTTCTCCGTTTTTTTCTCTGGTTTCGCGAAATGCTGGTGAAGAGCGTCGGCGGCAGCCGCGAAATCGGTGGCCGTCGATCAGGAAGCGGAAGTGGACCCTTCGACGGTCTGCAGTTGTTGGCGGAGGCTGCGGTGGCCGTCAGCCGTTGCGAGGAACTTCACGGCGGGTGCTGCGGCCACTCCGATCCCGCTTCTTGTTTCTTCGCCACCAAGAAACGTAAGCTCTCTTTTCCCCAGACCCACGAATCCCTTCTCGTTCAAAACCCTACAAAGAAATCGCCGTCGATTAAGCTTGTCATCAAGCGCAAACAGCCCGCCGTCGCCGAAGCCTCTGCTTTTCCTCCTCCGTTAAACGTAGCCCCCATTTCGTTCGTACTTCCACCTCCGGCAGCCCTAATTCCTCCTCCTCGCGCCTCCGTTTCCGGCGGTTCTCCTCCTTCCAAAGCAAAGATCGCATCTTTGGTGCCTAATTCGCCGCGAGAGGAGTTCCCCTCGAGTTTCAGGGCTAGGGTTTCGTCAGCGGTGGGAGATGGTTCAGTTGCCTTGGGGAGCAAGTTTACTCTGGTGATTCAGAAGATACTGACGACCACGGACCTACAAGCCCAACAGTGCCGCCTGTTGATCCCCGCGAAGTCGATGGCAAACGAGTTCCTAACGAGCCAAGAAGATGCAGGATTGGTGAGCGGAGCGAGGATCAAATTGGGGGTTTTCTTGGACCCAGATTTCGAAATCGTTCCTGAAGCTTATCTGTCGAAATGGTACATGGGCACAAGCAAGGTCTACGCTGTGACCGGGGCCTGGAGATCGTTGCTGAGGAAGATAGAGCAGAAACGGTTGCGACTTGTGAAAGGGGATGAGATTGAGCTGTGGAGCTTCAAGAATGTGACAGGGGAGCACTGTTTCGTGGTGGTTATGGCCGATTCGAGAAGGAGAGCAGCAGCTGCTGAGAAGGAAGCTGTGGGTAAGATTGAAAAGGTTGAAATCTCCGGCAGCCACAGCAGTGGAGGAATGGCTGAGTATGAAAGTCCAATGAAGGGAAACAGCAGCAGTGGTGGTGGTAGTAGTAGCAGTGCTGTGACTCATGAAGGAAACCATGTTCAGTTAATTGTTGGGTTTAGCAGCAGCAGCAACTCCTGCCCTGATCTTGATTTAAGACTTAGATTGTAGCTCTGATTGAGTTATTTTGATTAGTAGCTTCGGAAGAGTGCTAATTGTATATATATTGAGCATCTAATGACGAAAGTAGGAATGACATTTTGGTTGTTTATCAAAGAAGCTTTTGTTCGGTTCTATGTTGTGTGAACTAGTAGAAGTGCTGCTTGAATTTTGGTCAGTTGGAAGTTGGAACTTCAGCAGAAACAGTTATGGTTTGCAGCTAGGCTGTTAAAACAGTTGTGTAACTTCTTCTGCAGTGATACTAAGTAACTGAGGAGTAGGGATGAGTTTTCCATTTTTTGTCTAGTGAAATTAAATGTTTGTCAATCCATTTGCACAGCATTTAGTTGTTCATACGGATTAATAATCCGCGAAAGTATCAGACTGTATTGCATTAGAATGTTACGCAGGTTATTAATCCGCGAAAGTATCATACTGCAATCGTCACTGTAAAAGCGCCGCATCAAGTTACTACTGTTAGGTGTACTGCTGCAACAGATTACTGTAAAGCTCTGGAGGGCATCTATGGCCATATCAAGCTTATCAAACGAACTGCTTAACTCCAAAAGAAGGACTATGAGACCATTTTATTTTTAGTAATTGCCGACATGGATGACTGGATACTGTAATGAAACAGATTTTGTGCTGGTATCTCAAAACAGTATTAAGATGGATTAGATCAGCCATGGCATCACTTTCACCAGCATGAATCCAACTTCTTCTAAAGCAGCAATGATGAATGGAATTAGGAGCGTTGAATATGCAAATGGCAGAAAGCTCTTCTTGCCTTTGGTTCCGTGTCAATGGCGATACAGTTTTAGTGGCTACCTAAAACTTCCACCCCGTGTTTAGTTTTGATCTTTGGTATCGCAGCAGCTAACATATATTCTTCCCATATTATCAAGGAAAGCATATTCATAGTCAACCACACAAATGATCGCCTGTAGGGTGGGGGAAAGGAAAGTTGGCCAAATACCTTGTAACTTCCCCATTTCTTTTATGAAACCACTATTCATAGATTAATTCTATGCATTTTTGTTTAGGTTGAACTAGGGGTGTTAGTCGGCGCGGTTTCGGTTTAACCGCACCGAAATATCGGTTAACCGCAACAAAATTTGTCCCAAGATCACTAACCGAAACCGAGACCGACAGAGACTTCGGTTAACCGAAAACCACAAACATCGGTTTCGGTTTTTCCTTGCGGTTAACCGAAACCGCAGGTTCTGGTTCACTTTCTCGGTTTTCGTTCAGAACCCGACCACCCAAAACCGAATTTCAACCACCTTTTTTAATGATTCACCCTCAACTTTGAGTGACCTGCTTTTATTTCAGCCTCTATAATCACACACCATAAAGTCATCTAAATCAATTGAACATAAAGCCTAAAGCAACCACACAATTCAACCACAACTCCACAACATAAAGTCTACATGCCCACAATTCAACCACAAGTCACAATCACAACAAGACACAAATAACAAGTTCATTATCTCCAAATCATCAACCTAAATGATCCGAGGATCTCGCTCCAATTCATCTAGCCCATAGTCATCATTTACTCCAAGATCTTCAGCTAGCCCATAGTCATCAACCTATGGTTCACTCTATCGAGTGCAAAGGGGATTTAGAGAGAGGTGACTTTCAAGTTCTAACTCTTAAAAACATTTGAGACTCTTGATGGAGGGTTGTTTGCAATAGGTGAGAATTGAGATGTTTGGAATTGCAACTTTGATTGGTTTTGAATCTTACAACTTTTCCCCTTAGCCAAAGTAAAAAACCATGTAGTCACATTAGTAGGCGGTTATCGGTTTTCTTATCGGTTAACTTCTAACCGATTAATCGGTTAGCGGTTAACCACTAACCAAAATACTACTAACCGAAATCGAAATCAATAAGGAAGTAGCGATTATCGGTTAACCACTAACAGACTTTATCGGTTCGGTTATCGGTTTTAACCGATAACCGACTAACCGTTTATCACCCCTACTAACGCGCGGGAACTGAAGCGCCAAATATACGACGCGCAGCTATACGGTGCCGTTTTTTCTTCCTAAGCTACGAAACCCTAAACATGATGAATTACCTTAATGGTCACTGAAATTATCTATTCTTTTTAACGTGCCAAATTACAAGGGAAATTCATACGTCGTCCATACCTCATTCTAGTTATACTCTACTTATCCCCTTCTTGAATTTCATTTTTTGTTTGTATTTATTTTTCATCTTCTAATTGCTTTCATGTGAATTATGATATTCTTGTTATCGTCATGTAATTAATTGACTCCTTATCTTTGTTTCATAACAATTCTTTCTTTGTAGTCAACTTCTAACTCAACTTTGATTTGAAGGTTTTTCCCCCTTTTGCGCCACTCAAATGGCTTAATACGGTATTGATCCAAGCTCGAGCATACTACGACATTATTATTCCCCTTCTCGCACCGCTTCAATCTATCTTCCTATGTTGTTTCATTTTAAATTCTTCGCAATCCATTGTCCCATATTAATTAAAAATAGTATAAGTCATGTGTCTGTTAATCCGAGAATGTGAAAGTTAAAGCAACATAATATCCCCATTTAACCACAAACAATATTATTTTTTTTATTAATTACACATACCTCAATTTATTTTTTAAAAATCACATCAATTTCATCATGATTGAAATATCAACACAATCTAATAATAATTCACATATGCAAATCCCATCCTCAAAGAAGATTTAACTCTTTTTTTGCTTTGCAAAAGGATTGGTCAAATTCAAAGCTTCCCCTGCATCCACCCTTCCAGCATCTGCAGCGCGGCCTTGGGCTGGTCCATGGGCACCATGTGGCCCGCATCGTACACCTTCAAAAAGCCCAGCGGCCCATAGCTCTTCACCAGTTCACCTCCCCCGCCGATTTCGAATTTCCCGCCACCACGAACGGCACGCTGGCCGCCGCCTGAAATTTCCTCTGCCCCGACCACTTCATCCCGTCGACCCAGTTGGAGTTCCCCAGCCAATTACAGATCAGGTCGTACTCGCCGGCGTAGATCAGCACCTTGATCCCGCTCTCCAACAACGCCGGGATCCCGACCTCGAAATCGAGCATCCAGTCCCCCATCATCGCGTCGTACACCTCGCTGCTGCAGGAGACGAATTCGATGTCGTTTCCCACTCCCAGCGCCGATTTCAACGTGTCCTCGCTCAGGAAGTTTTCCATTCGGGAGAAATCGTAACAGAGCTGGCCCTCGCATTGTTTCCTGATGTCGTAGTACTGCACGGGGGAAAAAAATTGGTTTCAAGGATAGGAATTGATACTCTGTTAATGTGATTTAATTATATTTTTTGGGGGGTTACGTTTATGTTGCCGGCGATCTGGAGGATGGACTGGAAGATTTGGTTGCAGGTGTCGAGGGCTTCGTCGCAGGAATCCTCGCTCTGCGGGCTGCAGGCTGCAATGGCGGTTCGCAGGGCGGGACGAGGTCGCTGGCGATGGAGTCGCGGTCGGATTTGGAGATCAGTTTCGCGGCGAGGGCGAAGTCAGGGTATGCTCTGTATTGGTACGCAGGGTCGGTGAGGCCGTTTCCGATTGCGAATCCCTGTCAAGCAGTGAGAAGCAATGTAGTCAAAATCGCGATTCTACATACAAGCGTTTTGGTGAACCTTAAGCGTAAAAATGTAAACTTTTAAAGTTTTAAGTCATAGGTTCGACTGCATTTGTAAGTAAAAAAAGAGCAATTCTGTGTAGAAGCGCTTTAGTGACTTAAGAGTGTAAAAAACGTAAAGTTTCATATTTTAAAATGCAATTTTTACTACATTGGTGAGAAGTAAGAACCCATTTGAATTTTGATCGAGAAATCGAGCCAGCGAGACTAAATTAAAGATTTCTTACCTTCATATTGATGTGAATTCCTTCCTTGTTTTGATTCCCTTTGAAAATCCTCGAAGCTAGAGCAGGAATGTAATGACCAGCGTAGGATTCTCCGGTGATGTAGAAATCGTTGTCCGCATATTTCGAGTGTCCTTTAAAGAACTCCTGAAGGAAGTTGTACAAATCGTTGCTGACATCGATCTCGTCGTGTCTAATGTCACTATCGTCGGTCGTGTAGCTAAAACCCGTCCCGGTGGGTTGATCCACGTACAATATCTTCGACGCCTGGTCCCAACCATAATCATTGCACTGCAGAGCCATGTCCTCTGTAATCTGGAACGGACCGTTCTCGTAGAACAGAGCAAGCTCGCTGGCACAACCCGGCCCGCCGGTGAGCCATATCACCACCGGCGCGTTGGTGTTGTTCACCCTCGATTCGAAGAAGAAATAGAACATCCTGCACAAACCATATCCGTCATCAGAAGGAGGATTAGGATTGAAAATTTTGGTGGAGTTAATTAATGTTCATGTCTGTCTGTCCACTTACTTGGCGCCTTTGGTGTCGGGAAGAGAATAGTAACCGGCGTAATGACCGAACTGCTGAATTGAAGGGCCTGCGCCTCCGGTGACGTTGAAGCTGAACGGCTTCTCTTCGATTCCCGGCTGATGATCGTCGCTGTGACCCGAATGGTTGTTCGAAACGATGTTGGCTGCGTGTTTGGGGGACAAATTGAGGGAGCGAATCATCCTTTCCGCTTGCCCTTCTCCTCGTTTCGCCGCCGGGGAAACGAGTTTCAGGGGAGAAGGTGATGATGGTTGGTACCGCAGGGCGGCAGAGTGAAAGAACCCTCTTGTTAAGGATTCTAGGAACTGATCTTCAGCACCCGTAATTATCGTAACAATTAGGGATTTAGGAATTTAGATGAGAATTGGGGATTAGGGATTGAAGAACAGAATTGGGGTTGAGATAGAAGAATGGCCGGCGGCCTTTAGGGATGAGAGGAACGAGATTTGAGAGGGATTAGAGACTAGGGTTTGAGGGATACTTTCTGTAATATTATTCTTGACTGATTATGACGTAAACCCAAAGTACATATTTATAGGGAAATACTGGAAAACCCTAATAATAATCCTAATACGACTAAATCTCTACTAACCATAATTATCATTATCCTACCTAATGTATTAATTATTATTATTCTAATAATATATATTGCTAACATTCCACCCTCCTTGAAAGCGACCTTGTCCTCAAGGTTGCAGTTAACTTCCGTCTTCTTGACCTCCCGCTTTCTTCGCTTCCAATTGCGCTCAATTCTACAAATTAATCTTTCTCCAGCAACTTCCACTTTCCACGACTCTCCTTCCGCCACGTGGCACCTACGTCCCACCCCATAGCCAAACGATTCTTCTTCCTTTTCGAATTCCACGAAATAAGAATCGGAGAATTGTTCTTCCTTATTCTCTAGCTTGAGGTCTTCAAAGAAATGATCCATAAATTCCATCATGGGTTTGACGGTGAAAATAACGCATAGCATCTCTAATCCTTCTTTTCCTTCACTTTGGACTCGGCCCATAATAGTTTGGAGGAACGAGTTGTGGCCCAAATCCAAATCAAGCCTCTCCTTACTCTTATCTTCGTTTGGGCTTGTCTCCTCCAAAAGCCCACCTTTTAAATCCACCAAACCTTCTTCTTTCTTTAAATAGCTTCTCTGCACAATAAACCTTATAAAACAGCCATTGGGCTCAATCTCTTCAAGACTTGGCCCATCAACTAACATAAACCCTTCCCTCTGATGCGGCCCAATATTTTCAATTAAGCCCGCCAAATCCCTTCTGGTTGTCACCAGATCTTCAAGCCCACAACTAAACTCTTTCTCCTTCCAAGCCAACTTATAACTTTGGCCCACTGTTTTTGACCCGTCAGAGGAGACTTCCCAACCGGCCCGGGCGACCCGATCAGCGACTCGGCCCACGGATTCGGCCCGCTGGGTGGCGCGGCCTAGGGTTGCGAATGGAACGCCGCTGCCGCCATTTTCTCGCGACTCTACCCCCAGCAGCGGCCAAGCCATCTTAATCGCCTCCGCCGGCGGAAAAGTCCTCCAACGATCCCTCTTCTTTTCCGGCGGTGGCTCGTCGTCTGTCCTCTCCAGCGACGCTCTCTCCGACACCTCCTCTCCCGACGGCGTCTCGCCCAGCCGACGACTAAGAAGCAAGCTCGTCCCGGCGATCATCGCTATCGGCTCTTCCTCCTCATCGGTGGAAAGCCAGCAGGAGGCAGAGAAATCACCGCCGCCCTTCTTCCTCTTTGCCTCGTTCTCCGTCGATGGACTCGTCAAGCGGCTGGGATGCAATTCCGACCCGCCAGTCCTCTTCCCCGGCACGGTCTCGTCGACGGCGGTTAGATCGCCGGGGACAGAGCAGTCGCCGTCCCTCGTTGGCACCCAGATCCTCCGGCGGAGAGATCTGCCTGCTCCCATCGTCATCTTCGACGTTTTCTCCTTCGGTGGCGAACAAGCCGCTGCCACCGCGAGTTGTGCTGCCGCACAGCTCGCTTTCTCCGGCGAATCCTCCCTCAGCTCCGACGATTCTCTGTTTTTCGTCTCAAATGGATCCGCTGGAGTCCGTCGCTCCAGTTGTCGTGTTTGTGGCCTTAACCGCCCGACCCGTCGGCCAATTGCCACCTCCTTATCGTCATCGTTCCTCATTGGTGGCTTATCCGGCGGCCGAAATGGTGGTGGAGTTATCGGGTTTAGGAGCGGCCGACCTTCGATCTGCCGCGCTCGATCCGGATCGCTTCCAGGGCTCTCCTTTGCCTTGCACAACTCAAACCCCCCAGGAGAATTTGGTGATTCCAGGAGCAATAATGGGAGAATGACGTGGCTATCTTTCATCTCCATAGCGGCAAGAATCGGGGGTGGAGCATTAGATGCCTTTAGTGCATCGGGTCTTTGTGCCCGATCTTCTTCCGCGTTCTTCGCAGCCAAATCCTCCTGCGTGGTAGCATTGGCAACATCGGTAGATGGTGGAGCCCTTGCTTCTTCCTTCGTGAATTTCCATGAATCAACACATGGGATTGGGAATATAGGTTGTTCTAACCACTCTTCCAAATCCATGGTTGCATCGGTGGTAGGAGTAGGCTGCTTCTCGACCTCTGTCTTCTTCTCGGCTGATGGCGCTGGTTGGATCTCGGTCGCCGCCAGCAGCTCCTTCATCGAGGTGAGCTTCCCTTGCGATACGGATAGAGATTGCAGCGGCTCGTTTGCTGCCTCTTCCTTTTGCGGTGTTGCTCCAGCTCTGGCCGGAGGCTCGGCAGTGCTAGGATCGCTTTTGTTTCCTTGAGCCGCCGTGTGATTTCACTTATTGAGAGTTCGAAGCTTGACATAGCTGTTGGTACGGATGCCTCAACCAGGCTCTGATACCACTGAAAGAACCCTCTTGTTAAGGATTCTAGGAACTGATCTTCGGCACCCGTAATTATCGTAACAATTAGGGATTTAGGAATTTAGATGAGAATTGGGGATTAGGGATTGAAGAACAGAATTGGGGTTGAGATAGAAGAATGGCCGGCGGCCTTTAGGGATGAGAGGAACGAGATTTGAGAGGGATTAGAGACTAGGGTTTGAGGGATACTTTCTGTAATATTATTCTTGACTGATTATGACGTAAACCCAAAGTACATATTTATAGGGAAATACTGGAAAACCCTAATAATAATAATCCTAATACGACTAAATCTCTACTAACCATAATTATCATTATCCTACCTAATGTATTAATTATTATTATTCTAATAATATATATTGCTAACACAGAGAATGAACATGAGAGCAGAAGAAACAGAGTGAGGGAAAGGCAAGTTGCAGAGGATTTAGAACAAGAGGGAGAAGTAGAGGAAGCCATTGTTGTTGTTGTGGTTTTGGTGGTGGATGAGGAAATGAAATGATATGTGATTGAGTGGCGATGGAGGAGGTATATATAGTGTTTGATTTTCAGGGGTCCAGCCATTAAAGCAGCTTCTGCATAAGCTGTCATTTTCTTTGTTAATTGACTACACATTGGGTTAGGAGAGGATTCAAGTGCATGATGAAAGGGCTTCAAGCTGGTGCTTGACTGCTTGGAACGTTAATTGCAGAAACATTCCTAAAATGGGAATTCATTAGGAGAATGTTCAAATTCAGACTCTTTAACCGCATTGCTGGCACGAAATCCCTAAGTTAATAATATCACAATTAGGAAGAGTATCCTAATTTATTATGAACATTTTGTTCTGTTAACTTTCTAGTTTGTGCACAAATTCATTGTGAATGCTGAACAAAAAAAAAAAAACGGTTGGGTTACGAGGAATCAATTTCAAATCCTCTCCTCTGTATTGATGTATGAAATATGAATAGTTAATTACGAACACATTGTGTAGATGAGATAACGACAAGATATGGATGGATTGGTCGCCTGTTTCTTAAATGTAATGGCCGGCATAGGATTACCCTAAGTTATAGATAAAAAAAACAGACAATCTTTCGTTTCTTAAATGTGTTGCTTCGGCCTTTCGGTAAACTCGATATTTTGTTTACTTGGCACCGACGATCAAACTCACGAATGATAATCACACGATAGGAATTTATTCCATTTTCAAACTATGAACATTACTTACCATGACAGCCACACAAGTTGCACAGATAACAATACGAAAGGTGAAAATTCCATAATAGATATCGCTAATAGCCTGTTTGGATGGACAAAAAATGTAAGGAATTGGAAATATTTTATTTCCATATATTACGTTTGGAAAAATAAAAAGATTGAGAATTGAATTCCATTGGGTCTAAAATTTGGGAATTACAATTCCTATCAAAAGTGATAGGAATTGAGAGAATGAAGATGGAATTAGTGGGACCCATCAATACTGTTTATTATTTTATTGACCACTATCATTTTACTCTCTTTCTCTAGTAGGAATTATACCAAACACTAGAATTGAAAATGAAATTCTACAAAAAAAAAAAAAATGAAATTCCATTTCCATTTCCATTAATTCCGAAATTGTATCCAAATAGGCTGTAAATGCATCAAAATGATGGAATCCGGAGCATAAGGTATTGAAAATCACCATAGAGGGGTGGGTTGGCTAACCCATGTCATTTGCACACCTATTTTATACAAAATCTCTTGCACAATTACATCAAACCAAACAAATTCCTTTCAAAATAGGATTCACATGATAACATGCATGATAAAAACTATCATTCCTTCACAAGTACATAGTCAAGGAAACCAAACCAAACACATCCCAAAGCATAATGCAAATCTAGGAAACAATCCACTCAGCAAATGCAAAACTAGCATGTTGTTCGCGCTTGCCGTTTCAACAACTAAATTTAACCTTTGTCGTCAGAATGCTTAACTTATATAATTAATTTCCCATAAACACAGCACAATAAAATATCCCAGCTACATCCTAACCCGCTGTAACAATCTCTCCAGCCAACATGTATTTCATTCTAAACAGCAAAGCATAACTACAGGCAGCTGCAAGCAACAAAGGTTAGCATATGGCAGTGCAGAAGCAACAGGAACGAGCATGAGGCATCCCTCACTCTCAACTTCTGCCACCCAGCGTAACTTGCACCAGCCACGTCACAAGGTTAGATTTCGTAAACACGAGGTACTACACCAGTAGCTTCCAGCAGAGACGGGATCATCGACCCCACTAGCTTCAACTGTAACTGAAGAAAACGCTTTACAATTTTGTCAAATGGCTGTCAATCTTTTCTATATTCAGATAAAACCTTCATCATCCCAAGTATGGTTGCCTTGAATCAGGAATCTTCTTGCATCCTGTATATTGTAATTTCCTGCTGCTTAAAGTAGCGACGGTCCTCTTCATCCACTAGAACAAGGTTTAGATAATACTTCACACTGAACTTGTTATTGATATTGCGGTGCGTCGGTGTCAGGTCATATGGGCTGAGGAACAGTCTGATTGGAATTGATTCACCTGGACAGGAAGTCACAATGCATTACCAAATGCATCAAATCAGATCCAGCTACATCTGAACTTCAAAATAAAATGAAAACTTATGCATACAGTTTCAAATTTTCAGTGTAAATCTGTTTTCATTTTTCGTTTTTTCTCCACTCCTTGTAACTTTTTTTTAGTTTGTAGACATTTTTCAAAGAGTGCTAGGGATTTTGCTGCCCTGGTGCTCAAGATCTTGTTTCGGCTAAGCGTGAATTGGTTTAGAAAAGAAAGTCGAACATACCCCGTACAGGAGCTCCGTCCATCAGCTCGAATTTAGCTAGAGTCTCTGTCTCAACATGTGTATTCGCCCCTGACCCAGTCGACTCTCTGAGCCGGATCTCAAGATCCATATTTTTTATCTTGATTCTTACAAGAAGAAAATAGATTTTACCAATAATCACGTCTTTCAGATGAAACCTGAACAAACAATTAGGCCCATTGATCATTGAACAGGACTACTATGTGTATCCACTTAAAGGTTAACCCAGTTGATTCCCCAAAATTATTATCAAACCAATATGGTTTACAGCATGCTGTATTCACAAACCCATCATCACAATATCATTTGTGAAAAAGCTAGTGCCTTTCTAGTGTACCACCGCTATGAGAGCTTTAGTAGCTGACACCGCCATTATATAATTCAACAACCATACTGGATCTTATATGAAACAGGAAAGCTCGGCGGCCATAAATAAATTCCCAGTATGGATCACGAGTACCACGAACAACACTGACCAAAACCAAGTGTAAAGATCAAATGACTTACTTGCTTTTGTTGTACTCAAACTCAATATGTAGACAATCTTCACTTCCAACTTCCATCTGCACAAGTGAGCAACATGGATGTAATTGCAATGCACTACGATATATATTAAAGAAATGAACTTTGGACCATCATCAGTTCATCACTAAATTTCTACCCTATGCTTCTACCATGTATTAGAGTAAAATACCAGTTTAACTTAAGTCAGCCATCATAGTGGCAAGTTGGGAAACAAACAGTGACATCTATTCCCTGTGCATTTCTAGATACAGCACTAACCTTGATACTGTTGTTAACAGGTGGAGGTGGAGCATAGTTTCGTACCTGGAACAGTAACTTGCTATATCAGTGAACTTGATCGCAAGCAGAATAATAGCATAGAGCAAAAAACAAGGCAAAGACGAACCCAACAGTTCATTGTTTAGGAGAAGATGAATCCAGTTGAAAGCAAACCAATTCCACGCCCCCTCAACAGTGACCCCATTTCCTGGCAAAAATATTGCTCCACTTCTTTTTCCACTCTCCATTTTCTCAATTTTAGTTCTTGCCTAAACTAATAATGAAAAAGAATATTATTCAGGAAATTATTGCTCAAACAAATTATAAGTTTTAAGCTTTACCCCCTCGCTTTTTCCTTCTCAAACTATGCTGTAACCGTCTACTAAAATCAATTCCTCAAAGCCTCACACTATCCTCAAAATTCTCACATTCTCCAAATTATACCTCCCTATTTCCATACCAAAGGTACAAGAATTCCCTAAAAACAAGTCACGAACGTCAAACAATGACAAGTGTGCTTGAGGGAGGGAAAAGAAATATATTACCACAAACTCCTGGTATTCAATTATGCTCCCAGCATAACCACGACTTACATTCACTTTCAGCACATACATGTAATATAAAAGGGAAAAGAGAAAGCAAATGTGTTTACCAATAGAGTATTTGCAACTAATAAGAACATGATGACAGATATTTGTTGTGGTAACAGGAGTACTGCTTCATTAACTGAGTGGGCAAACAAAAACAAACTTCCAGTTGTTGAGTAATATGCTGGCGAAGCACTTGAGCCACTATAAAACAGGTATCACCTAGAAGGACCTAATTTTTTGGAGCATAAACAAACACAGTACTCCGTGTGAAGTATGACAGGCACCCTGTACTCTGATGGATTATGTACCATGTTCATAGTAGGTCTCCCTTGCCATCTAAATTATAAACCCTAGAAATAATATCTAGATTTCACCTGTCCAAATCGTCTTGGGTGAGTTTGCCTCAGTATCCTATAAGAAGCAACCATAACAAAAGGCCGTATTCTACCTCCTTCAACACAATCTTTCTCAAAGGTGCATCTAATCCAACTAAAACTTTTAACCAATTCGCAAGTGAAGAAATTCATCTCCAGAGTACATAAATAAAGAAATACCTGAGCCTAACATTCACCCCATTATACGTCTCGTACGGCATTTCTACTGTGGAGAATTCAAAAGGATATGTTTTCCTTTCGTATAATTCTCCAGGGACCTCCAGTTCACGTACTGCCCACAAAGCAAGGAATCAAGTCATCAATGGTTTGCTTAAGCCAAATTCATTGAACTAAACAGAATGATTGGCCTTTGATAACCAACTCCAAAGGAGAGACAAGAAGGTAAGAATGAGACTGAATCTTGGAATAACATATCAAAAAGAGAATTGTACTCACCAAGAGAGGTAAAGTCATAAAAATTGCCTCTGTCAAAGTACAACTCTGCAAAGCAACAAAAACAGAAAAACAGTTACCACCGGACAAGAGAAGAGAACATTAGCAGACAATTAAAAACAAGTCATACTGCTGAGAAAACCACAGTTCCCAGTGTGACAAGACACAGAAAAAAGCCTTCTCTATCCAATGCCGTTTCGTGATAAAGACTCTCGTCGGCAAATTAACTAGTTCTCATTATTTTTCTCTTTATAGTTGATTGTTAGCTCCAAGGTCTTGAACCTAGGACGGGATAGATGTTTGCATCTGCATGGTGAGATCAACCTCGTGCCAATAACTCTGGTTTCTTACTAGCCTTGCATTAGATAACCAGCTCTATCAAACCCCCGTAAAGGAAAGAAATGCTAAAACCAAGCATACGAATGATTTGAAACACACAGTACTTTGGAGACAACAAGAGATTTTGGCTTCTCATTACACCCTGTACTTTCTCAGAGCCCCGATTCAGCAGTTTATACAAAAGGAGAGCAGTCCAATCTTAGTTCTTGGCACTAATACAAAATACTTTTATTTTCTTTGAAGAAAAAAATAAAATAAAAGTGATATAAAATCAAAACCAAATTTAAGCTCAATACCTCCATGGCTCAAACACCTTAGTGGGGAACAGGTCCACAACAGGTCACTATCTAGCAATCTAAGAATATCTTGTTCATGATCATAATATCAAAGAAGAACAAAAATGAAAAAGCAATCTCTGTTTTATCAACTTATAATTCAAGAAGAGTGCATGATAAAAGAATATAGAACCCGATGAAGATGCCCAAATCTCACATTCACTGGCACCTTTAATTGTAAGGGATTAAGTAAGGTGTTTAAGTTACAAATTCACCAATCTGACCAAGAAGCTCAACCTTAACACCATTGTGCTCAACCTTCTTCCCCAGAGGTGGTTCAATCACAACCTAAAACAATCCCAAATCCAGAAGCTCCTTGAGAATTCAGGCAACCAATCTTGCATTGGACAATCATAAGATGCAAAACATAATGCTCAGAACTAAAATAATGATAAGACAGTGATGCATTCACCTTGCCAGCAACACTTTCTTGGCTCTGAAAAAGTGGAATCATAATGGTTTGGCCATTCTCCTTCTTCACAGGAACCTAAGCACCATGATAATACATAAATCAGAGCAGCAGAGGTTGCCACAGAATAAGTGGTATACAACAGTCTGATATAATGGGTATTAATAACAAGTTACGGTCTGAAAAGTGAAAACAATGGTCGAAGACCAGGCTACATAATAAACTTTCCTTGTGCACAAACGAAGGCACAAACAATAGGTAACTTGATTATGTGGGAGCTTAACATTTCTTTGAATAACTTCCTTTTGTGATAAGAGGAATCTGACAAGGTCCTAAGTGGAAACCACTAAGCATGTATATGAGCTGATAAGGTCCTCTCCAACTTAGTCGAGGCCTTTGATTGAGACCTAGGGATACAGCTATGTTCGGTAGGAATCTGACATTATGATCAATATTCAAAAACCTGTGGTAATAAGAAGCATCTAAACAATGGCACATTGGAAAAGCTTCCCCATATCGTAAAGACCATAAGGCAACCCAAGTACATAGGAGCCTGACATCCATGGGATTATACCAACCCTACATGACCTAATTCGATTCCAAATTACATCTCTACATGGACCATGGGTCAATAGACAAATTAGGAGGTTTAAAGAGAGTTTAGGAGCATTCAAGATGGGTGAAAATGGGTCTACAAACAAGACCTACGGGTTAATTGAGAATTGAGGATTTCTTACAACTATCCTTGTCCAACAAGGATTTGGAGGAGATGCTTAATTATTGTCCATGTTGGTTTAAGAGTCTTTTATTAAATTAGCTTTATTTAATTTCTTAAGTATGAGTGTTATTTGTTTCCTAGTAGTAGAGTTATTACTTCTCAGTTTCCTAGGTGTAGAAGGAAGTCTTTTCTATTGGGTTAGCCTCTCTATAAATAGAAGGCTTGTAGTTCAGTTTTATTCAATTCAGTATTCAGACTTCAATAAGAGTTTTCAAGAGTTGCAAGAAATATTTCCTTGTGATTTCTTAGGCTTATCAACCCCTGGTTGTGGCGCCTTGCCCCGAACCTTACCACCGGTTGGTGTGGCGGTTCTTCCTCCATCTAACCTACCAAAAACCCTAAATTTCCCAATTCCTTTCAATTTCCAGCAACCCTAGCTATTTTATTTTCAATTAGAGCAGTTTAGGCACATCAATTGGATGGGTACTTTCTCATCTATGCACAATGTGATCTCAAAACTCCAGTAGCAGCACAAAGAAAGGAATTCATACCTGTTTCCGCATCTTGGCGTCATTTAATGTGATTGATATGTTACATGCGGGCTTGAAAGCTCCAATAATGTAATTCTGTGGGGCAAAGGAATTGACTATCAGTTCAAGACTGGCAAAACAGAAACGCGCCCAGATGACAATTCCCACAACTGAGCACGGGATCATTACCATGCTTTCTATCACAGTACAATGCCGGTTCAGAATCCCTAGTCACCTGCAGGGAAAAAGGGGGAGAAATAAGTAAAGGGTCGTCGAATATGGAAGTCAACTTCAACAGTTCAACCGCAGCCGATGGAAAAGGGTTTTTCTGAAATGACGCGAGATGAAATCCCTAACACAAACAATCTTCTTCCAACAGAAGCAATCGCTCCAACGATCGATCAATTGGACACAATCGCGGACAGCGACGATCAATTGGGAACTCGAAATGCATAAACTGAGATTAGCAAGACTGAAATCGGAACTGCGGATCAATTTGGAAGTGATGGCCGTACCTCGGAAGAACTGTGAGAGCCAATGAACCAAAGACTGATCGGAACAAACTCGGGCAGAGACTGGGACTTTAAAGGTTTGACAACCCGCGAGAATCGAGATTTCCGCTTTCTGTGCGTCTTGAAATTGGATGGAAGATACGCCGGAAGGGGATATACTGGAACTCTGGAAGTAGCCGGAAAAAAGAACGAGACACACGGCTTTGATCTAGTTTTGCAGAGGCTCTGATACCACAATGTTGTATAATTAACCGAGCAAAACTGATAAACTTTATTGAATGCAAAACAATTACATAAATACTTCTACTTGTCTCTAACCACCAGCAGAGATTCCGCAGTTCATCCACCCATTACTCCTAATAAACAGCAACCCACTTCTAACTAACAGATAGACTACGAAGCCCAAGCCCACAGAATAAACTGACCCAGAATAAACTGACCCAAGCCCACAGAATAAACTAACAGACAGACTACAAAGCTCAAGCCCACAGAATTAACTTCAACAAAGCCTTGTCAATTAGGCCCAACAAGAGACCCATCAATTGTTGGGAGGAAGTTCGACTTGGGGGAGCTGGACCTGGAGCAGACCTACTTCATGAGGCACCATTTGCTGCAAATTTAGAATCATCTGGTGCACCACGTGGAGTTTGGGAAGAAGAAATGAAACTCGACGCAAAGCATGGATGTACTCTTGCGTGTGGTGATTTCCGTGACCATTATTCAAGATAGCAGCGTTAACATGATACTCATGGAGTAAGTGCTGTCTTCTGTGAAGTAATGGAGCTAGCTGTTGACCGATTTCCGCAGCAATGGCAGTGGTGGAAACCACCTCTCTGTTCACTCCTTCGAAATCTGCCATAGGAAGAGCAGGGGAGCAGCAAAGACGAGAAAATGAAGGATATGTTATGAGGACCTTAGTGGAAGAGTATGTGATAGTTGAGAAGTGAAGAAAGTCTTGTCCGTCCGTATATTTATAGGGAGGAATTATTATGTTACTAGAAAAAATGCCGGGGACTTAGGTTGTAGAGTCATGATGAATGGATGGACAGTTTAGTTTATGATCAAATAAGGAGTTGGAGAGTCATGTTTATGGTCATTTCATCAACTAATCAATACCCGAACTAAAGTTGCAACAGCATGATCATATCCCCTCGAGTTACACAATGACCTATCCTGACCAACCTTTTTCTTCTTGGGGTCCTTTACTTTCCATCAACAAACAATTTGGTTCCTTTTTTTCTTCAAACCAAATCAAGTTAAAAAGTTTTTATTCCCGCTTTCATCCTAAGCACAGCTAACCATCCGTTTCCATAAAAGCACCTAAAGAATGCAAAATCAAACCGACTCATCACTTCTATAAGAGGAAGAGAAAAAACATTTTATAGAGTAGAGCTTGGCACAAAGCAACCTTACGCATGCAAGATTAAATGAAAGAAAAAGCCACAAATTGAAATCGCGAAAAGGTTAAGAGTAGAATGTGAACACAAAACTCTTTCGTTGCCCGTACATCAGAATCACACAAAAACAGAGGCAATGGTTAACACCTAACCTTTTAATGACAAACTCATCACATAACGTTACTTCGGCTCATCCTAGAACACTCTGCTATAAGTACTGTGTTTTGTACAAATCCAAATTATGCTTTGAAACTGGAATCAAGTGGGGCATCAACTAATTGTAATAGTTATTCACATGGAATCCAACATAAACTTCACATAATACATTAGCTAGGATTAGACTCGGCATTGGACAAACATGAGGTTGACAAAGACCTAACAAATTACAAACCAATGAAGCAACAAATAGCATTCAGGATCCAGTTGGTTTGAAACAAAACCCAGAAAGAGAAAAGCAATTGAAAACTTAACTGTCATAAAGATTAAAATTCCTTATATCCATCTACCATCCCAAAACACAGAACATCACTTACACATCATTGGCTGGCACAACTTCATATCAGCAACTGTTAGAACATCATTGACTGCCACCTACACATAAACCAACTGAAAATTATAGAAAACATTTATATGTACAAACTTCAACTTAAGCACACAGAGCAAAGAGGGAAACAGAAACAATTTGCATCTAGAAAATTTGCAGGACGAACATGTACATGGCAAAACTTTAGCTGAATTTGATAGGAACAATTTGGTTAATATAAATAGACTACCTCCCTACTCCAGATATGCAAACAACCTTTCTGATATGGTATTGTAGCAGCAGCAAAGCAGTTAAATTAATAAAATTTAGAATGGTGAAGAATTATTATTATCATAAAATAGAGCTTAAGAGCCCGATTATAAGCCAAGAAGGCCATTTCCTCCATCATTTGCTGGCTATAGTAACTTGCAGGAATCTGAAAGCAGAGAAACAGCATTTGGTTGATTTTGATCCGGATATCCTGTAGGAAAATAACACAAAAAATCTCTCAAAGTTAACGACGAAAACCAATCCAAATCACAGGAATCGAGTTTTGGATTATTTATTTTGAACTACGTGGAAATAGGATTCAGCACCTAGATTGATTTTTAGTAAGGTACCGAGAAATTGGGCATCCAACTAAGCTTCTCCTCGAGCGAATCAACCTCCGACAATAGAGACTCGAAACTCCAGTTGGGCTTGGCTTCAATCTCAGTTCTGTTAACTCTCTTCCGACAACTATGCTCCAACTTGACAGGTCCCCTGAAACAGAACGTTAAATCACAAAATCGTGTTCCTTCCAAATTTGGCCCTCAAACAAACAGAAGCTGCTTACCTCTCAGTGGCTTTTTTGCTTTCTGGTCTTTTTCCCCTCCTCGACTGCCGCCGAGCTTCTTCCTTCTTCCACCAACTTCCACATCGGCCTTCTGGTGCTCCATCACCGCCACCGGTTGTCCCACCCCATGGCATATAAATCACATCATTAGAATATTAATTGACACCGACGTGCTCTGCAGCGAGAGTCTAAAACTGAGAAATTGAAATTAACAATATTAACAAAGACGCAGAGAAGTAAGAGCTCACCATTAGATGATTTTATCCGTCTGCGTTGGTTTCGCCACTACTGGATCTAGAGAGAGCAAGAGAGATCCAGAAAGCCGTCGGGTGTGGTCTGGTCTCCTGCTATGAGTTTCAGGCCAATTATCTACCTCCGAACACAGGTCGACCTCAAAACCTGCAAACAAAGGCCATATGGTTCAGAGAGGGGAGGAAAAGAGTTGTCATGGAGGCATCGAGGAGAGACAGTGGCACCTACAACGATATCCCTTGTCTATGGTCACAGGCAGACCTTCGCTCAGTCTGATTCAGCAGCAAATCTGAAAGTAGAAGAGAGGCAATTTGATGGAAAAGAACTGTGGTCGAAAAGCTGGGTCTGTAGAGGGGAGTGAGAAAACAATCGGAAAGAAGCCAGAGGAGATAAATCGTCCTTTATGCAACGGTAGGCCCCTAATCGAATGGAGCAAGGTGAGAACTGACCGATTCATGGGTGTTGCCGTGCCTGACCATCTGTGAAGAGGTTCCATGGGCGGTGGCGTGTGTCAGCAACGACAAAGATCCAGAAAGTCTGGAGAAAGTACGGCCACGACCCACGACCAAGGACAAGAATGCAGCTGCGGATTTTTGGACAGGGACACGACGGGATGCAATTGCGGATGCTGGGGTACGATCGCGAAGGGAAGGCATGGGCTCTTGCTGCAAGGACGGAAGGCACCGCAGTTGGGGATTTTGGGATGAGTTGTGAGGGGACGGTGAATGTAGAAAGTATGGTGGTGGCGTGTGGGAGTAGCCGCACGGAACCGTCAAACTCTGTCTCTGTGAATCGCCCCAGAGTGATTAGATGCAGGAGGACGTGCGGCAGCCGAAGAAGTCCGAGAGAGCAAAACTTGACAAATCGGAAGAAGTTCTATTGGGCCTCAACCACAACACGACAAATAATGAAACAGTGTTGGCAAAATAAAGTGTAGTCGCTTTTTACATATAAGATAATTAGTAGTTGTCCTTGTTGGACAAGGACATCTGTTAGTTCTTGTAAGGAAATAGGCTAAAACCATGTATGGGAAGCAAGGTTGTCAACCCGCGGGTTGACCCGGACCTGGTCGAGCTAGTGGGTCAAGGGTTAAAGGGTCAACCGTTTTAGCCCGATTTTGCCCGGAAATATAGAAAGAGTCATTATATTGTACTTATCCTCATAAATTATATCAAATCTTATCTAACATATGAGTTATAACATATAATATTACACCAAAATAACATATCGTACTTAGATCCAACATATAGTGAAAATTCACACACACTTATATAACACAAATATTCAAATGTTCAACTTAGTATTCCAAAAATTGAGTTAGGCGAAAAGAAAAATTGGAAAATAGGCGCATTTCGCAAACTAAAGAAAAAAATGACACAATTTGACCTCCAACTCGGTACCTTATAGCGGTCGGCCCGGCGGGTGCGTGCGGCCCGTTTTTCTCACCGGGTCATGGTCAAATTGGGTCGACCCGTGGGTCAACCCGCGGGTTGACAACCTTGATGGGAAGGAAAAGGATTTGGCTGTCACGTGAGTCCGTGCAGTTTCCCGTTATGCGGTTGAGGGATTCGAATTTTCATCACATATACTTTTCTTCGCTATTCCCATCCAAATCCCTCCTCCCTTCTGTTTGTTCCCAAATCCAGCGAACACCCTTCCCTCTTCCGGTCGGGGTTTTCCGCTCTCTCCGGCACACGATCCCAACGCCATCACCCCCCAATTCCCTCACCATCTATCCATTTCAGCCATCCCATTCTTCTTAGGCGGAAAATCGATCGGCCGCCATAGTCTTCTTACAATTCCATTCCCTAGGCGTTCATTCTCGCCGTCGGCGACACAATTCCGCCGCCGTTGCTCCCTTCCACCCCCAGTTCTTTCCCTGAAATTTTAGCCAAGGATTTTCCCCTGCGACCACTCTCTGCCGCCATTACTACTATGAACACCCAATAGCAATTAACACTCTTTTGGTTTCCTCAATGTGCAGGTTCATATACATCGGGGAAAAATGTGCAGGTTCATCCCCACTATTGTGTTTCTTCAAATGCTGAAAATAAAGGAGAAGATACTTCCTCAACAATCTCGGCTGATCATCCCCATGAAAATTATACATTGGGTGACGCTTAGTCCCAATGTTTACACATCAAGAAAAACCCATTATACGACTTTCTCAAGAATTTGAAAGCATCCCTCTCAAAGTCAACGAGGACGCAGAGACACCTACATTTACTGATGAAGAGAAATTCACGGTTCAACTCTCCAATAAAAGCCAGTAAGTTGAAGTTTAGGTTCCTGAAATTAATTAGCTTCCATCCTAGATGTTTCACATGTACTCAGGTAGACATTCAACGAACTTTCGGCATTTCTAGTTGTTGATGTAATTTCGACTTGTAATGATCAGTTCGGGAAAGAAACCCAGAAGTTGCTTAGGCAGCACAGGTAAGCGAAACTCTGGTTATTGAGGTTTTGAATTTGGTCAAAAGCCCTGAATTGGGCGTTAGATTCTTCATATGGGCAGGTCGTCAAATTGGGTATTCACATATAGTTTAGCGGTGTACAATGCGTTGGTATAGTGGCTGCAGAGGAACAACCATAGTAGTGCTGATGATAGAATACCTGGCAGTTCTTGCAGGAGATTAGAAATAATGATATGGAAGTACTGCAGAAATTGCTTAAGGTGTTGATTCGCAAGTGTTGTCGAAATGGTTTATGGAATACTGCTATGGAGGAGCTAGGTAGACTTAAGGATCATGGCTACAAGCCCTCGAGATCGACTTACAATGCTTTGGTTCAAGTGTTTCTGAAAGCAGAACGGTTAGATACTGCTTCGCTGGTTCATCAGGAAATATCGGGTTTAAGCCTTTAAGGTACATCATTGATGCTTATACCTAGGGCTGCTTGAAGTTGATCGAGGACGAGGAGTTCAAACCTGATACTGTGCTTTTCACCAACATGATATCTGGATTGTGCGAAGCATCACAGTTTGAAGTAGCCATGGATTTCTTAACCAGGATGCATGTGTATTCTTGTATCCCAAATGTATTGACTGTCAGGATTATGTTATGTGTAATACGAGCCTAGTTGTGCTCGTTAGAAAATCAATACGCGCAGCTCGATTCTCCTTCAATGAACTTGAATTTCAACAACTTAACACGAAAATAAAACGGACCAAAGGTGCAACTTCACTCTTGGGAAGAGGCTCGATTGGTTTAAGTCGAAGCTCGGCCACGATTGATGTGGTTTCAATCGATACGAAGCAAACTCGCTGCTGGAACGCAACCAACGCACAAGTATTTGGTGACAATGGTCACAACTTTTCATTCATCCAAAACTCCCCTTGTACACGAGGCTATCAAGCCTTTAAATAGAAAACAAACAGCCTAATTCTAACTCTAAACTAACAAGGAAAGCAATATCTAACTCTAGCTTGACAAGGAAACAGAATCCCAACTCTAAAAGGTAACAAAAACCAATTGCTTCTCATCCACACTGCTGCCTCCCTGCCACGCAATGGTACCAGTCTCCATAGCATCTTTGAAGCCCTCGATTGAAGTCTTCCAAGGATCAACGTCCCTAACAGGCTTCAGTCGTTGCTCTCCTGAGTCCATAGTTCAATTTCCAACCCTTCTTGTCCTTCAAAGTTACACCATCTGAATTGAATAAGCCTCCAAAGATGGTGTCGGAAACTGTTCCCAGACTTAGCCAAAAACAGGCATTTTTCCAGTTTTACCATAGCAACTTGACACTCTTCGTTCAGGAACTTAGGGACTTGACTTTGTGCAAACAACCATCCAGGATGATAAACAAACACCTTCCCTTCACTCTCCAATCTTCCTCTCGCATTTCCATCAACCATAATGTACGATATGAATCTGCAAAGCAAGCACCACGAAACAACCCAACCACTTAGCCAAATTCGACCATTTTTCACTCCAACGTTGATTGATCCTTTGGCCATCAATTGAATTGTTTGTAGTTGCGAAACTTGGATCATATCAATGTGGGTGCTTGAAGAAGAAGCAGCTCAATAGGTGTAAGAGAATTATCAGTATGATGATCACAGAGGGTTGTTATCCGAGTCCAGCCATTTTTAACTCTTTGGTTCATGCTTATTGCAAATCTGGAGATTATGCTCGTGCCTATAAGCTTCTCAAGAAGATGCCAAAATGTGGTTGCCAACTGGGGTATGTAGTTTACAACATTTTCATCGGCAGTATTTGTGGTATTCAGGAGATGCCTGATATGAGTGTGCTGGAGTTGGCTGGAAGGCGTATAAGGAACTGCTTGATACAGGGGTTGTACTGAATAAGGTTAATGTTAGCAGTCTTGCATTTGCAATGCTGGGAAATTCGAAGAGGCGTATAGTGTCATTAGCCAAATGAAGAGCAAGGGGTTTACTCCTGATACCAGTACCAGGATGAAAATGGTCGAGTTTGCAAGGTGCTCACACATTGAACTTTGGCGGTAAAGTAATTAATTGACTTTTGGTTAGCAGATTTGTTTAGGTCAGGACACACCAAGGCAATGCCACAATGATCAACTCGGCCTAGTTTCTTTTTGTGGCTGCGGCTGTTGTAGTTGCTGTAATATTGTGGCCAATGCTGCTGACCAGATAGTGATATATCAATCATCAGCATAGCTCGTGTAATTTACATTCATATATATTGTTAATAAGGATCATTATTCATCCTTGTCTGAATAAAATACAGCCATTTGAGACGATCGCAGTTGGTTTCCTACATCACGTTATGGCCTCCCGTCATTATTACTATCACCTCCACCAAATTGTGTCGAGTTTCCATTCCAGAAGGTATTCCTGCCATTTGAACGGTCATCATCTTCATCCAAGCGTGTGAAGTTAGAGCATGGTAAGTGCTTTCCGAGCCCATGTAAAATAGTGAAATAATTTCAGTTGCTCAATTTATACATGTTTAGATCAAGTACATGCATGTGTACCCATTAAAACATGAAACAAATTATTATCGCAATCGCAATTCCTCAGACCTCTATTGACACGATGGTTTAAGGTGTAGAAAGGAAACTTACTGTATTGCCACATGCTGCTTCCAGCAAGGCCCTCGTAATTAGGGATGTCAATGGGACGGGTTGGGACGGGTTTTGCCAAACCCAAACTCAAATTCATGGGTTTATTTGTCAAAAAAATTTGGGGTAAAACTCGTTGGGTTTGAAAACTCAAACCCGACACAACCTGCTGGGTATCCGTAGGTTCATGGGTACCCGTGGGTTTTTGTGTAAAAAAACTATAATGACAAGTTTCTTTCAAAATAAAAGTCAAACAAAAATTTTCTCATATAAATTATCCATACAAAAAACACTAATCTAGAGCATACAAGCAAACCGCAAATTATCAATACAAATTGTTCAAACTTAAAGATGAACATTTATAAACAACATGATTAATTGAAAGCTTCTTCCTCCTTGTCAACTAAACTTCTTCAATCTTCACTCTCCACTCCATAATATCAACTTCATTATACACAATTAGAAATAATAAATTAGACATGTCTCCACAAACATAAAGAATATTAATTGTTTAAGGAAGATATATTGCTTAGAATATTAAATATACTGGAAAAATTAATTATTTAGGTGTGGGTGGGTACCCATGGGCCAGGTATACCTAAATCCAAACCCAACCCGTGAATAGTGTAGCGGGTTTAAACCCGAACCCGGCCCAAAACCCGTCAACACGGGTTTTACCCGCGTTGACCGGGTTGGGTCTGGTAGGGTACCCGTGGGTTCGGGTTTGTTGCCATCCCTACTCGTAATGTACCCGAAATATCCCCCGGGCCTTGCAACTGATGAAATAGTGTCAGGTGTACTATCTTCAGGAGTAGGATGACAATTTTACTCATACACATGAGTATTTTACTATCCAACCCAATTGGGTTGGGTATGAAATATAAATAGATGGATATGAGTAGAGTTTGTCGGGTTTGTACCCATACCCATTTACTTGGGTTGGGTTGGGTTGGGTTGGGTTGGGTTGTTTACAAATGGATTCGGGTCTGTACTCATGCTCAAATGCAAATTACAGTTTAGTAACTAAACTTGATAGCAATGTAATTAATTAGCATGGTATTTATCTTCATAATATTGTGATGACTTTGTTTTATTATTTATAAATAAAGTCCTACCCAATGACTTAATGAGATGGCCAATGAGCAATACAAACAAAATTGGATTCTTGTCTAACACGATAAAATCATCACTATTAAGTTGTACCAAACAAGATTTGCGATTGCTAATCTAATTTGAGGCAAAGTGACGACCTATCCCAAATAATATAAATACATTTTAGTTAGAAATTCGCTATTGCAAATCTCAATCACAAACTAAATTTTATTTAATTAAATATGTTTTAACTCGAACAAAAAGTGATGTCTACATTAACGAATCTTCAAATTAACTTTCCCCATCCCTCCTCACCTTCCCCATCACGGCATCACCCACGGACCCATATATCATTCTCTCTCCTCACCTTCCCATCACCCACTGTCCACGGACCCATATATCATTCTCTCTCTAACAGCTACACCCTGCAGCAACTCCCCGCAACTAGGGCTGGGAGTTTGGTACCGGTATTTGGGATATACCGGATATCGTACCGAATTTGTCTATATTTGGTATTACCGAATACACGAATTAATTTGTGGGATTGGGATTGAATTTCAAATGTTATTCGGTATTAGGGATTACCGGATTGGGATCGATATATACCGAAATATAAGCTAGTGTATATTTTATCCTCTCAACTAGACTCTCTCATTCACTACTACGCGACCCTCAACCACCAAAAGTGTCATTTATTTATACATAGATCATTACATCACTATTTCACACTAGTATTTGAGATGTTACCAATTACAAGAATTTGAGATGTTAGCTCTAGGCAACTCAAGACTATTTGCTTAGTCTCTTTTCCCTAAATTAAACAATAAAATCTAATTTATATATTTAATTATTAATTGCAAAGGTAATTAATTATGTATTCGATAATACCGATTGGGATACCGAAATTATTTAGGGATTGGGATTGGGATACCGAAATTATTTAGGGATTGGGATTGAGATTGATTTTAGTGTGTAATTCGGTATTCGAAATTTCGGTATTTGATATTGGAATACCGATACCGTACCGATTTCCACCCCTACCCTGCCCGCAACCCTTGCATTCTGACTCTTTTGAGTTGCGGCCGATGCTTCCAAAACCTTATCGTTGTCGTTGCCTCCAACAATCGTCCCCGTCTCCCCGACCATCATCCAATCGACACCCTAACTCCCTATCCTCCTGACCTAATTCACTCCCCTCCCACCCAATATTGATTATTGAATCGCCCTCAGAAGAAGAATTCCCTTCAATTCACTCCCCTCTCCTTCTCAATCAGCGACCACGAGATGTCCTGGTGCGACAACGAGAAACGAGGCGAGAAACGATGGCGGAGTGTTTAGATACATTGGGGGTTTGGCAATTCAATTTTGGACACTCCCCAAACGAAGAAGAAAGGCGGATTTGAGAAGACACTGAAGTGGGCCCAATCTATTCTCCAAAAGGTGGGCCTCAATTATTTCCTACCAGTTAGATAAACGCAGCCAATTCTACTTTGGCCGCAGCAGCGCTCAGCTCCACCCTAGTATTCTGTAAACCGTGAGTGAGTTATTTGGCCTTCAGAAAACCCTCTAAAGAATCCTTCCATTTCAGTTCATCAGGGAACAATGGAGGACGGCAACTCCGACTCCGACTTCGACGTCATCGAGATTTCCCCGGCCTCCCTCCCGCCTTCCCACTTGGCCAGGAAGAGAAAACGTCAACAGGTTTTAGAATAAGAAACAGGCTTTTTCTTCCAACATCCTTTGTTTTCTCACTGTCCCTTTTCTTTTTAGCTGGGTTTCGTTTATCTTCTTGCCGGGATTTCTCTTTTCCCCACCATTGATGATGCGTTCGATCAGGGCTTTTGCCCCTTTTTCCTGGGCTTAAACTATCTGTTTTGAGGTGCTGAATGAGTTTATTAAATTCTTGGAGATGCTAATTAACTTATCCATTGTGTGGAATCACTTGGGACACTTTACTCGTTAGATCAGCAGCTAATAAGTTCCTTCTGAGCAACGTACAACGTATGTAATGCTTACTTTGGAGGTCAAATTCGTTCATTGATAGATAGATAGATAGATAGATAGATAGATAGATTCTTTTGCTATATCTCGTCAAGTTGCACAACTAGAGTACTTTCGGAGGCTGCTTTAGATTTTAGAGTGATGGGTTTTTCCGTATGCATGTTGTGGCCTACAGAACTCAGTTGCAGATGCTTATGCAGTGTATTTACGTGGATCGATATTCCTTTAGAGAGAATTGAGTGTGACTTATTTCTTGTGGATGCTATTTCACAAGCATTTGAATGGATCCGTTCTCTCTAGTTAGTAGCACAAAATTGGTGTTGTTTGTTGTTGCAATGGTTTCTTTTTATATATGTATAGGCTGTGCTCCTTGAAATCATTGATGTCGATGACAAAGATGATGTTGTGATCCTGAATGAGGACGAAGTTCGCAGGAAGTTCGCCCTTGACAAAGGGAAAGCTATCAAGGATGATGATAACGCTGTCAATCTTGTTCAAAATGAGGTATACAGCATACATCATTGACTAATATATAGACACATTTTGTTATCATTGTCGACTCCATCTCCAACTCATCACCTCTATGTAAATGTCCATTTGACTTGATCCTCAGGCCCTACATACAAGCTTGTGGAATCTTGATGGAAAGGAAGACACATTTTTCTATCCCACTGATTTTGCTTCTCTACAATCATCATATCCGAGTCTCGCGGCCACTGGAGTTGAGGCAAGCCAACCGAATACGAAGAATTCACGGGGTTCAAAATCAAGACAGAAACTACTTGGCAGTACCAAATCCCTGGTCAAATCTGCCAGCAAACAGAGTTTTCCAATGATGAGTACTAGTGTTGGACTTCGTCGACCGAATATGGACTGTAAGGAAATTTTAAGGAAATGGAAGCTCTTCAAGCATTTCGATCTTGTTGAAGACTATTCAGACCATTACTACAGTTGCCGCCGGTCTTCATCGGAACAGGTGACTGACTGCATGCATGCATAGTGTTGCTACTTGTAAGCTCCATCTTGAAGTTACCATACATGGTGTTTGTGTATATGATGTATCAATTAATTCCTCTTTAAGTTGTTCTGCCTGCCAGAGGAATGAGAAGAAGTGGGCAAAAGCAATTCAAGACGAGTGGAAAAGGCTCAAGAAAGATTTGCCAGGTGAAGAAACATTACCGTGCATGTTATTCAATTCCTTGAGCATCTAATCTAACTGCACAACTGATGATGATTAGTTTCTTTCTATTCTGTGACATGATCATCTATCATTCCAATTATTTATTTTGTTCAAACAAACAGATACGACGATATATGTGAGGGCGTACGAGTCGAGGATGGACCTGCTGAGGGCCGTGATCGTTGGGGTAGACGGAACTCCTTACCACGACGGTCTCTTCTTCTTCGACCTGTTCTTCCCCGATCTCTATCCAGATGTTCCGCCGGTACGTACGTGGTCATGTTGATCTAATTTAAATTTCACTACATTTCTGAGTCGCATCACCGAGACAGGGTTTCTCTTGTCCCTGCACAATATGAGACAGATTTATTCATATTTCGCCTGTTTCGCATTTTCCCTCCCCTTCTTTGGTCATCAGGAAGTCCACCTCGATGATGATGATTCTCTCTTGTTAAACCCAATTTTCAACCACGGATATGTGTGCCTCAGCCTTCTCTATCGACGAATCGGTGGTATCGACGAGTTCGAGAATTGGCAGCCTGGGGTTTCAAGTGTGATGCAGATTCTGCTTTCGTTGCAGGCATTGGTATTGTGCGAAAAACCCTTCTACACTGATAGTTCTGATGATATGACGGACTATGAGGGTATAACGGACGATGAGTATACAATGGAGGATATGATCACCACCATATTCCGCCCAAAAAAAGAAGGGAAAAAAGAAAAAAAAGAGTGCATCTACTCCCTGCATTACAGCATTGTATTCCTCGAATCACTCCAGCTAATGGTTCGTACAATGAGGAAGCCACCAAAAGTAAGCCTTCTTTCTCCGATGGATCAACCTCATGTCGTAAGGGAAGAAAAAAAAAGTCGTTATTTTGCTAATTTGATCTCATTTGTGTCGGTACGTCCACGGCATAATAATGTTTGTAGAATTTCAAGGAGTTTGTGAGGGGACATTTCCACAGTCGGGCCAAGGGGATCGTGGCGGCGTGCAACGCGTACATGTCCGGCGTTCAAGTCGGCCGGTGGTGTGTGGTGAAGAACGGCGAGGGCGCCGGCGGAGGAGTCGGATCCGGTAAGAGTTGCCGGCCGGAGTTTAGGGATTCCTTAGCTAAAGGAATGGACGAGCTGATGAAAGCGCTTACCAAGATTGGAGTAAAAAACTTCGACTAATTTTTAAGATTTGCATGTGTGAAAATCAGTTTAACGATTATGTTACTCTAGTTCACTATTCAGTAAGGTTGTCAACCCGGTTTAATCTATTGCCCGATCGAGTGGATTGAGGATTAATGGTTCTTTCGTTTTTGTACGGATGGATATATGAAAAGAATCATTATATTGTTCATATTTGTATAAATTATATCCATTCTCATCTAACATATGGGTAATAACCTTGCGCCAATATAACAGTCGGTACATGGACCAAACATATAGTGAAATCCAAACACACTCATATGTAACCTCAATATTCAAATGTTCAATTTAGAATTCCAAAGGTAGAGTTAGGCGAACGGTAATGCTGGAAAAGAGGCGCATTTTGGAATCTTAAGGAAAAAAATGACGCAGTGTGGCCTCCAATCCGATAACTTCGCGGCAAGTTGACCCCACGGATAAGGCTGGAAGTTTGGTACCAATATTTGGGATAATTGAATACCGTACCGAACTTATCACTATTTGGTATTACCGAATACCGATTTATTTTTTAGGGATCATGATTAAGGTTTATTTTGGAGTGTTATTCGGTATTACGGGATTGTGATCGATATATACCGGAATATAGCAAAATACAGAGAAACAGCAAAATTTGAAAATTAATAAAATATATCACACAACTTTTGATCATTCCCCACTTTTTCATAACTCACAAGTCCCCATCCAACTCAATTTTGCTTTCGAGTTTAAGTAACTCTCGTCTCTCATCTAATCTCTTGTTATTTTCATAACATCAAAAGAAAATGCTAGTATTAGTTGTCTCTCAGCCTCCAATTCGTCGAATTAAAGATTACCAATGACAAGAACTTGAGTTGTCACCTCTCCTCCCTTCTCTCTATCCATGTCGTAGATCTAGGCAAACTCAAGACTCTTTGATTTTAGGGGGGTATTCTGTATTCGGAATTTTGGTATTGAGATATCGATACCGTACTGATTTCCACCCCTACCCACGACTGTGTGTGACCTGTTTTTCTCACCGGGTCAAGATCAAAACAGCTCATCTCTCACGTTGACAACCTTGCTATTCATACAACTAGAAAGCGTAACAAGTATGGTGACATGATGTCTGACTACAACATCTGCTTAGCATATCCAATAATTCGTACATTGGGTTTCACTATTGGGTTTCATTTCAACTAATTGGACTCAACTACTCATTCTATAATCTATGTTTTTCATTTGCGAATAAGTTTCTTTTCTTTGATCGTAAAATATTAAAATTTGGTGTATATTTTCTTCAAATAACATGTGAGAATAGTTCGACCTATCCAGACTTGTAATTTGTGTAAGGTATGTATCATCGATCTGACCGGAGCCAGCGCGTTCAGTAATGGCAATTTTTTGACCTGACCCATGCAATCCGATCGGCCCGACCCAACCTGTTTGAGGTAGATTTTACCCGACTTGCAGCAACGTGGGAAGAGGCATGTATATTGCTTCCAAAACTTGCCACACCTCGTTCCTTTCTCAACCCATTCTATCACAATTCTATCTATCAACTATTTAGACTCATATATTCCTTCTACTATATTTATCATTCATTTATAAAACATTTTCTCTATGTGTTCTCGTAAAATAATTAAAATATCCGTTTCGTTTTTCAAAACAGAATGAAATCACCCGTTTCGTACTCACATGACCGCTCCATTGCCAAATGACTAATTGAGAGTTACCGAACCCGCCTTATTGCCAACTCCTTCACCAACCCAATCCTTCCCAACCGCCCAAGATCGAACCTCAAACTCAACCGACCGGCTCAACCAGCTCCTCCCTCTTCCACCTTCCCTTTTACCCTCCCCGCCAATATTTTCCCCTTTCCCGTCTTCAAACTCCAGGTCCAGCTGCCAATTCAATCAGTGTCCGATCCAATGAAACAAAATCCCAGGTCGACAAATTGAACAGCCTTCTCGTACTTCAAATTCACCCTCACCGGCCGCTGGAGGAGGCTGACGGGATCTGCAACCACTTTTCATATTCGGGCGTATTTACTTTAATAAGATTTCGTGTCAACAAAACAACACTACTTACTTCGTTACTTCTTAAAAAAAAAACAACACTAATAAAACTTAGAGTCGAAACCGTGTACGCAATCACATGACCATTTTTATTACTTTGGATCAATGATTCTGTCATAATAACGAACCTTCATGTTTTCCGATCTTTTTTAACGTTTACTGAAACTCAAATAAAATTGTTTTTTGTTTGAAGACTTATGAATTGTAGCTAAGCTTAAAAGTTAGGTGGATGACGAATTTTACCTATAAGGACTAATCCATGGAAGATTTTGAACTCTCTTTGACTACTATTCTTACTGAGATTTTCGATATCACCAAGCAAGGGCTACACACACTACATATAGTCCTAAAACAACACTAGTCATGGACCCGACCGGTTAACCGGATTCATTCACCAATTGTATATATAGTAGTAGCAATTTGTATGTGAGATTCACGTTTTTTTGTTAGTATAAGAAAATCTAGATCTTTTAAATTATCGAACATTCAAATTTCTTGCTAGCATAAAATAATCAAAATTATAAAAAATACTTCAATCATTCAAAAGATTAAACATCATAATATTTTGCGACATCCTAACCTACTCATCATAAATACCATTTGTCTTCCCGAAAGTAATTTGTGTCAAAAGGATCAAAATTGGCTTGTGCTTGACTTTGTTAATTGTCATAGCAAACAAACTGCAATAGGACATTGTCTGCTAACCAATGTGAAATCAAGACTTTTATAATGAGAAGACAATTTAATATGAGGTAGGAAGACCATATCACCAATATGAGTATCTATTAGAATCTCCATTTCAGTAAACCATGTGTCAAGTCTCTTGATTATCAATCTTGTACCATTGCAGAGACCTATACTTTTATTCATATTTCTTAATAAAATGACGGGGAATCCAACTTTCAACCAAATAGTACGGGAAATTATTAATCTTCAATGTATTGAGAAACTCCACTGATTAATCTCCCCCTTCATCTCTTGGAACCCTTTTCATCTCACAGTTATTAATTTTCGATTTCTTTTCATGGGGTGGAGCCAATATAGCATGATGAACCACAGAGGTTCCTTCACTGTAATTCAAATGGAGATCTCCGTACACATGATTCACAATATCAACAATTTCATCTCCTTGATCATGTTGAATGCTCAAAGAAGTTCGAATAATTGAGATCGTTGACTCCCCAAAAATATTAGAACCCACTCCATCACCAATAGGCAAAGTCCATCTTTTGAATTCTACAATATGAATAGCTTCTTTTCTTTAGGGCCACAATTTTTGCAGCACAATCTCATATTTTGAGAGAGCTTCAAAACGTTCAGTGAAGGCCATAAGTATGACTTCTTTATAAAAGAATTTGAAATATCTACTCGAGTTCCCTTACAATTACTGTTAATGTTTGCTGAAAATCCACGCCGAACACAACAGACATTCCTCCAAAGGTCATGTTCTCGCTGTTTGGGATTTTCACATGCAAAATATCTTCCAATCCGTTCCCTCTTAGTTGTGAAGCAGACAAAAAACTCAGCACGAGCAGATGGAGAGGGAAATCCTTTCCGGCGATGAGCAGATGGAAAGGGGAATCTTTTCTGATGATGAGCAGATCTTTTCCGACGGCGAGCAGATGAGATGGAAATCACCAATCATTTCCTCTCTCTTTTTATTTTCCGCTTCTTAGTGATGGAGGGGGGAAATCACCGGTGACCCAGCAGATGGAGAGGAAAATCACTGATCTCTTTCTCTCTAGCATAAGGAGGACATGGTTACCTTGCTCTATTGCTTGATAGTGATCTGGTTAGTGTTCTAATTCGACCACCAGGGTTTGTAGCTTTCCCTCTGAATGCACAATTGCTTGACAGTGATTTGTCAGTGGTCTAATTGGAAACTTTAATTTATGATATGGATGTTTTTTCTTGTTGATTGTCAAATGTGATTTGAGTGTCCGCCTTTGTTGACTTGTAAATTATGCCCTGCTTACAAACAGAGAACGAGGTTCAAAAGATGAGGGCAAAAGTGCACTTTCATGATATGCTTTATAGTTTATTCTCACTAGGAAGTTAAAGCCCGCGCTACGCGACGGGCAGAACAGGTTGGAGAGATATTAATTTGCTTCAAAAGACACAAAATAAACCTTTCGATCGCTACCCAAGTGAACCACATGCACCTCACGTCAGGAGGCTTGTAACGTAACCTTTAATTGGTATCCATGTCCAATTTGAACACGTATGACACGCTCTAAAGATATCAATTACATCCGAATAACTCTAAAAGTGTAATCACTTCTCTTCCTAACATTTGAATAGACACATGAGCATAGTGCACTCGAAATAAATTTTAGATACATTAAGAACCTACTTAGCACATTAAAATTCTCGACACAGCAACAATGCAATCATTAAAAAAATCCATGTGACAGCCCATATTAAAAGTACGTAAGCTCAATAACAGGTAGTTAGGATATCATCAAAACATAAACTTAGCATAAAAATCATTGCACACCATGCAGAATTGCCATTACTCGCACTATCTTCCATTCCATCACCTCCTCTTCCCAGTAGTGTCAGATAAGCTTTCCCCCGATACAATCACTTGAGTTGAATCAGGAAATCATTTGGTTAAATATTAGTAACTCACAACTATCAGGAAATCATTAAGTGATTAATCATTTGGTAATCATTGAACACATACTCAGAAGGACAAAAGTCCATAGAGATTGATCCTAATCATGCTTCTTGATAACAAAACACCAAGTCCGTTAAGAGTTGTACCCGTGAGTTGGTATGGTTCGGGAGTAACTTTGATTGCGTAGTAGAATCTAGGATTCGTAGTAACTTGTAATCCTAATCTCTTTCTTCATTGGATTAAACTGAAAAGGTACAATTTCAATAGCCATATAGGGATTTCAAGAAAAGGAGAAACAATTCTGACATCATCCTGTGAAAGGAATCCTGCCCCTCCCAAATACTTCCATCCAAGAAATCTAACCCTTCCATACAACCAAAATCCTTACTGATAAGAACTCTCTATATTTACAGACCATATTGCAAAGGTAATCATCAGCTAGTCTGTAAACTTGCCGTGCTCATATTTGCTAAAGAAAGGAAAAGAAAATGCTAGCTAGATTGGGGTAATGGTGTTGCTGCTTTGCTTTCCTTGCTGGCAGCAACTAACGAAATAGCTGCTGCAGTGGACTTTTAATTATGTACTCTTGTTGTTTTACTTTGCATTCATATCAAACACCTTAATTTGCTGCGATGGAGGAGGTATATATAGTGTTTGATTTTCATGGGTCCAATGTCACTATCGTCGTGTCTAATGTCACTATCGTCGGTCGTGTAGCTAAAACCCGTCCCGGTGGGTTGATCCACGTACAATATCTTCGACGCCTGGTCCCAACCATAATCATTCCACTGCAGAGCCATGTCCTCTGTAATCTTGAACGGACCGTTCTCGTAGAACAGAGCAAGCTCGCTGGCACAACCCGGCCCGCCGGTGAGCCATATCACCACCGGCGCGTTGGTGTTGTTCACCCTCGATTCGAAGAAGAAATAGAACATCCTGCACAAACCAAATCCGTCATCAGAAGGAGGATTAGGATTGAAAATTTTGGTGGAGTTAATTAATGTTCATGTCTGTCTGTCCACTTACTTGGCGCCTTTGGTGTCGGGAAGAGAATAGTAACCGGCGTAATGACCGAACTGCTGAATTGAAGGGCCTGCGCCTCCGGTGACGTTGAAGCTGAACCGCTTCTCATCGATTCCCGGCTGATGATCGTCGCTGTGACCCGAATGGTTGTTCGAAACGATGTTGGCTGCGTGTTTGGGGAACAAATTGAGGGAGCGAATCATCCTTTCCGCTTGCCCTTCTCCTCGTTTCGCCGCCGGGGAAACGAGTTTCAGGGGAGAAGGTGATGATGGTTGGTACCGCAGGGCGGCAGAGAATGAACATGAGAGCAGAAGAAACAGAGTGAGGGAAAGGCAAGTTGCAGAGGATTTAGAACAAGAGGGAGAAGTAGAGGAAGCCATTGTTGTTGTTGTGGTTTTGGTGGTGGATGAGGAAATGAAATGATATGTGATTGAGTGGCGATGGAGGAGGTATATATAGTGTTTGATTTTCAGGGGTCCAGCCATTAAAGCAGCTTCTGCATAAGCTGTCATTTTCTTTGTTAATTGACTACACATTGGGTTAGGAGAGGATTCAAGTGCATGATGAAAGGGCTTCAAGCTGGTGCTTGACTGCTTGGAACGTTAATTGCAGAAACATTCCTAAAATGGGAATTCATTAGGAGAATGTTCAAATTCAGACTCTTTAACCGCATTGCTGGCACGAAATCCCTAAGTTAATAATATCACAATTAGGAAGAGTATCCTAATTTATTATGAACATTTTGTTCTGTTAACTTTCTAGTTTGTGCACAAATTCATTGTGAATGCTGAACAAAAAAAAAAAAACGGTTGGGTTACGAGGAATCAATTTCAAATCCTCTCCTCTGTATTGATGTATGAAATATGAATAGTTAATTACGAACACATTGTGTAGATGAGATAACGACAAGATATGGATGGATTGGTCGCCTGTTTCTTAAATGTAATGGCCGGCATAGGATTACCCTAAGTTATAGATAAAAAAAACAGACAATCTTTCGTTTCTTAAATGTGTTGCTTCGGCCTTTCGGTAAACTCGATATTTTGTTTACTTGGCACCGACGATCAAACTCACGAATGATAATCACACGGTAGGAATTTATTCCATTTTCAAACTATGAACATTACTTACCATGACAGCCACACAAGTTGCACAGATAACAATACGAAAGGTGAAAATTCCATAATAGATATCGCTAATAGCCTGTTTGGATGGACAAAAATGTAAGGAATTGGAAATATTTTATTTCCATATATTATGTTTGGAAAAATAAAAAGATTGAGAATTGAATTTCATTGGGTCTAAAATTTGGGAATTACAATTCCTATCAAAAGTGATAGGAATTGAGAGAATGAAGATGGAATTAGTAGGACCCATCAATACTGTTTATTATTTTATTGACCACTATCATTTTACTCTCTTTCTCTAGTAGGAATCATACCAAACACTAGAATTGAAAATGAAATTCTACAAAAATAAAAAATGAAAGAGTCCTGGGAAATCCCCATTACATCTAGATACAGCACTAACCTTGATACTGTTGTTAACAGGTGGAGGTGGAGTATAGTTTCGTACCTGGAACAGTAACTTGCTATATCAGTGAACTTGATCGCAAGCAGAATAATAGCATAGAGCAAAAAACAAGGCAAAGATGAACCCAGCAGTTCATTGTTTAGGAGAAGATGAATCCAGTTGAAAGCAAACCAATTCCACGCCCCCTCAACAGTGACCCCATTTCCTGGCAAAAATACTGCTCCACTTCTTTTTCCACTCTCCATTTTCTCAATTTTAGTTCTTGCCTAAACTAATAATGAAAAAGAATATTATTCAGGAAATTATTGCTCAAACAAATTATAAGTTTTAAGCTTTACCCCCTCGCTTTTTCCTTCTCAAACTATGCTGTAACCGTCTACTAAAATCAATTCCTCAAAGCCTCACACTATCCTCAAAATTCTCACATTCTCCAAATTATACCTCCCTATTTCCATACCAAAGGTACAAGAATTCCCTAAAAACAAGTCACGAACGTCAAACAATGACAAGTGTGCTTGAGGGAGGGAAAAGAAATATATTACCACAAACTCCTGGTATTCAATTATGCTCCCAGCATAACCACGACTTACATTCACTTTCAGCACATACATGTAATATAAAAGGGAAAAGAGAAAGCAAATGTGTTTACCAATAGAGTATTTGCAACTAATAAGAACATGATGACAGATATTTGTTGTGGTAACAGGAGTACTGCTTCATTAACTGAGTGGGCAAACAAAAACAAACTTCCAGTTGTTGAGTAATATGCTGGCGAAGCACTTGAGCCACTATAAAACAGGTATCACCTAGAAGGACCTAATTTTTTGGAGCATAAACAAACACAGTACTCCGTGTGAAGTATGACAGGCACCCTGTACTCTGATGGATTATGTACCATGTTCATAGTAGGTCTCCCTTGCCATCTAAATTATAAACCCTAGAAATAATATCTAGATTTCACCTGTCCAAATCGTCTTGGGTGAGTTTGCCTCAGTATCCTATAAGAAGCAACCATAACAAAAGGCCGTATTCTACCTCCTTCAACACAATCTTTCTCAAAGGTGCATCTAATCCAACTAAAACTTTTAACCAATTCGCAAGTGAAGAAATTCATCTCCAGAGTACATAAATAAAGAAATACCTGAGCCTAACATTCACCCCATTATACGTCTCGTACGGCATTTCTACTGTGGAGAATTCAAAAGGATATGTTTTCCTTTCGTATAATTCTCCAGGGACCTCCAGTTCACGTACTGCCCACAAAGCAAGGAATCAAGTCATCAATGGTTTGCTTAAGCCAAATTCATTGAACTAAACAGAATGATTGGCCTTTGATAACCAACTCCAAAGGAGAGACAAGAAGGTAAGAATGAGACTGAATCTTGGAATAACATATCAAAAAGAGAATTGTACTCACCAAGAGAGGTAAAGTCATAAAAATTGCCTCCGTCAAAGTACAACTCTGCAAAGCAACAAAAACAGAAAAACAGTTACCACCGGACAAGAGAAGAGAACATTAGCAGACAATTAAAAACAAGTCATACTGCTGAGAAAACCACAGTTCCCAGTGTGACAAGACACAGAAAAAAGCCTTCTCTATCCAATGCCGTTTCGTGATAAAGACTCTCGTCGGCAAATTAACTAGTTCTCATTATTTTTCTCTTTATAGTTGATTGTTAGCTCCAAGGTCTTGAACCTAGGACGGGATAGATGTTTGCATCTGCATGGTGAGATCAACCTCGTGCCAATAACTCTGGTTTCTTACTAGCCTTGCATTAGATAACCAGCTCTATCAAACCCCCGTAAAGGAAAGAAATGCTGATAAGGTCCTCTCCAACTTAGTCGAGGCCTTTGATTGAGACCTAGGGATACAGCTATGTTCGGTAGGAATCTGACATTATGATCAATATTCAAAAACCTGTGGTAATAAGAAGCATCTAAACAATGGCACATTGGAAAAGCTTCCCCATATCGTAAAGACCATAAGGCAACCCAAGTACATAGGAGCCTGACATCCATGGGATTATACCAACCCTACATGACCTAATTCGATTCCAAATTACATCTCTACATGGACCATGGGTCAATAGACAAATTAGGAGGTTTAAAGAGAGTTTAAGAGCATTCAAGATGGGTGAAAATTTGGGTCTACAAACAAGACCTACGGGTTAATTGAGAATTGAGGATTTCTTACAACTATCCTTGTCCAACAAGGATTTGGAGGAGATGCTTAATTATTGTCCATGTTGGTTTAAGAGTCTTTTATTAAATTAGCTTTATTTAATTTCTTAAGTATGAGTGTTATTTGTTTCCTAGTAGTAGAGTTATTACTTCTCAGTTTCCTAGGTGTAGAAGGAAGTCTTTTCTATTGGGTTAGCCTCTCTATAAATAGAAGGCTTGTAGTTCAGTTTTATTCAATTCAGTATTCAGACTTCAATAAGAGTTTTCAAGAGTTGCAAGAAATATTTCCTTGTGATTTCTTAGGCTTATCAACCCCTGGTTGTGGCGCCTTGCCCCGAACCTTACCACCGGTTGGTGTGGCGGTTCTTCCTCCATCTAACCTACCAAAAACCCTAAATTTCCCAATTCCTTTCAATTTCCAGCAACCCTAGCTATTTTATTTTCAATTAGAGCAGTTTAGGCACATCAATTGGATGGGTACTTTCTCATCTATGCACAATGTGATCTCAAAACTCCAGTAGCAGCACAAAGAAAGGAATTCATACCTGTTTCCGCATCTTGGCGTCATTTAATGTGATTGATATGTTACATGCGGGCTTGAAAGCTCCAATAATGTAATTCTGTGGGGCAAAGGAATTGACTATCAGTTCAAGACTGGCAAAACAGAAACGCGCCCAGATGACAATTCCCACAACTGAGCACGGGATCATTACCATGCTTTCTATCACAGTACAATGCCGGTTCAGAATCCCTAGTCACCTGCAGGGAAAAAGGGGGAGAAATAAGTAAAGGGTCGTCGAATATGGAAGTCAACTTCAACAGTTCAACCGCAGCCGATGGAAAAGGGTTTTTCTGAAATGACGCGAGATGAAATCCCTAACACAAACAATCTTCTTCCAACAGAAGCAATCGCTCCAACGATCGATCAATTGGACACAATCGCGGACAGCGACGATCAATTGGGAACTCGAAATGCATAAACTGAGATTAGCAAGACTGAAATCGGAACTGCGGATCAATTTGGAAGTGATGGCCGTACCTCGGAAGAACTGTGAGAGCCAATGAACCAAAGACTGATCGGAACAAACTCGGGCAGAGACTGGGACTTTAAAGGTTTGACAACCCGCGAGAATCGAGATTTCCGCTTTCTGTGCGTCTTGAAATTGGATGGAAGATACGCCGGAAGGGGATATACTGGAACTCTGGAAGTAGCCGGAAAAAAGAACGAGACACACGGCTTTGATCTAGTTTTGCAGAGGCTCTGATACCACAATGTTGTATAATTAACCGAGCAAAACTGATAAACTTTATTGAATGCAAAACAATTACATAAATACTTCTACTTGTCTCTAACCACCAGCAGAGATTCCGCAGTTCATCCACCCATTACTCCTAATAAACAGCAACCCACTTCTAACTAACAGATAGACTACGAAGCCCAAGCCCACAGAATAAACTGACCCAGAATAAACTGACCCAAGCCCACAGAATAAACTAACAGACAGACTACAAAGCTCAAGCCCACAGAATTAACTTCAACAAAGCCTTGTCAATTAGGCCCAACAAGAGACCCATCAATTGTTGGGAGGAAGTTCGACTTGGGGGAGCTGGACCTGGAGCAGACCTACTTCATGAGGCACCATTTGCTGCAAATTTAGAATCATCTGGTGCACCACGTGGAGTTTGGGAAGAAGAAATGAAACTCGACGCAAAGCATGGATGTACTCTTGCGTGTGGTGATTTCCGTGACCATTATTCAAGATAGCAGCGTTAACATGATACTCATGGAGTAAGTGCTGTCTTCTGTGAAGTAATGGAGCTAGCTGTTGACCGATTTCCGCAGCAATGGCAGTGGTGGAAACCACCTCTCTGTTCACTCCTTCGAAATCTGCCATAGGAAGAGCAGGGGAGCAGCAAAGACGAGAAAATGAAGGATATGTTATGAGGACCTTAGTGGAAGAGTATGTGATAGTTGAGAAGTGAAGAAAGTCTTGTCCGTCCGTATATTTATAGGGAGGAATTATTATGTTACTAGAAAAAATGCCGGGGACTTAGGTTGTAGAGTCATGATGAATGGATGGACAGTTTAGTTTATGATCAAATAAGGAGTTGGAGAGTCATGTTTATGGTCATTTCATCAACTAATCAATACCCGAACTAAAGTTGCAACAGCATGATCATATCCCCTCGAGTTACACAATGACCTATCCTGACCAACCTTTTTCTTCTTGGGGTCCTTTACTTTCCATCAACAAACAATTTGGTTCCTTTTTTTCTTCAAACCAAATCAAGTTAAAAAGTTTTTATTCCCGCTTTCATCCTAAGCACAGCTAACCATCCGTTTCCATAAAAGCACCTAAAGAATGCAAAATCAAACCGACTCATCACTTCTATAAGAGGAAGAGAAAAAACATTTTATAGAGTAGAGCTTGGCACAAAGCAACCTTACGCATGCAAGATTAAATGAAAGAAAAAGCCACAAATTGAAATCGCGAAAAGGTTAAGAGTAGAATGTGAACACAAAACTCTTTCGTTGCCCGTACATCAGAATCACACAAAAACAGAGGCAATGGTTAACACCTAACCTTTTAATGACAAACTCATCACATAACGTTACTTTGGCTCATCCTAGAACACTCTGCTATAAGTACTGTGTTTTGTACAAATCCAAATTATGCTTTGAAACTGGAATCAAGTGGGGCATCAACTAATTGTAATAGTTATTCACATGGAATCCAACATAAACTTCACAGAATACATTAGCTAGGATTAGACTCGGCATTGGACAAACATGAGGTTGACAAAGACCTAGCAAATTACAAACCAATGAAGCAACAAATAGCATTCAGGATCCAGTTGGTTTGAAACAAAACCCAGAAAGAGAAAAGCAATTGAAAACTTAACTGTCATAAAGATTAAAATTCCTTATATCCATCTACCATCCCAAAACACAGAACATCACTTACACATCATTGGCTGGCACAACTTCATATCAGCAACTGTTAGAACATCATTGACTGCCACCTACACGTAAACCAACTGAAAATTATAGAAAACATTTATATGTACAAACTTCAACTTAAGCACACAGAGCAAAGAGGGAAACAGAAACAATTTGCATCTAACAAATTTGCAGGAAGAACATGTACATGGCAAAACTTTAGCTGAATTTGATAGGAACAATTTGGTTAATATAAATAGACTACCTCCCTACTCCAGATATGCAAACAACCTTTCTGATATGGTATTGTAGCAGCAGGAAAGCAGTTAAATTAATAAAATTTAGAATGGTGAAGAATTATTATTATCATAAAATAGAGCTTAAGAGCCCGATTATAAGCCAAGAAGGCCATTTCCTCCATCATTTGCTGGCTATAGTAACTTGCAGGAATCTGAAAGCAGAGAAACAGCATTTGGTTGATTTTGATCCGGATATCCTGTAGGAAAATAACACAAAAAATCTCTCAAAGTTAACGACGAAAACCAATCCAAATCACAGGAATCGAGTTTTGGATTATTTATTTTGAACTACGTGGAAATAGGATTCAGCACCTAGATTGATTTTTAGTAAGGTACCGAGAAATTGGGCATCCAACTAAGCTTCTCCTCGAGCGAATCAACCTCAGACAATAGAGACTCGAAACTCCAGTTGGGCTTGGCTTCAATCTCAGTTCTGTTAACTCTCTTCCGACAACTATGCTCCAACTTGACAGGTCCCCTGAAACATAACGTTAAATCACAAAATCGTGTTCCTTCCAAATTTGGCCCTCAAACAAACAGAAGCTGCTTACCTCTCAGTGGCTTTTATTTTTGCTTTCTGGTCTTTTTCCCCTCCTCGACTGCCGCCGAGCTTCTTCCTTCTTCCACCAACTCCCACATCGGCCTTCTGGTGCTCCATCACCGCCACCGGTTGTCCCACCCCATGGCATATAAATCACATTATTAGAATATTAATTGACACCGACGTGCTCTGCAGCGAGAGTCTAAAACTGAGAAATTGAAATTAACAATATTAACAAAGACGCAGAGAAGTAAGAGCTCACCATTAGATGATTTTATCCGTCTGCGTTGGTTTCGCCACTACTGGATCTAGAGAGAGCAAGAGAGATCCAGAAAGACGTCGGGTGTGGTCTGGTCTCCTGCTATGAGTTTCAGGCCAAATATCTACCTCCGAACACAGGTCGACCTCAAAACCTGCAAACAAAGGCCATATGGTTCAGAGAGGGGAGGAAAAGAGTTGTCATGGAGGCATCGAGGAGAGACAGTGGCACCTACAACGATATCCCTTGTCTATGGTCACAGGCAGACCTTCGCTCAGTCTGATTCAGCAGCAAATCTGAAAGTAGAAGAGAGGCAATTTGATGGAAAAGAACTGTGGTCGAAAAGCTGGGTCTGTAGAGGGGAGTGAGAAAACAATCGGAAAGAAGCCAGAGGAGATAAATCGTCCTTTATGCAACGGTAGGCCCCTAATCGAATGGAGCAAGGCGAGAACTGACTGATTCATGGGTGTTGCCGTGCCTGACCATCTGTGAAGAGGTTCCATGGGCGGTGGCGTGTGTCAGCAACGACAAAGATCCAGAAAGTCTGGAGAAAGTACGGCCACGACCCACGACCAAGGACAAGAATGCAGCTGCGGATTTTTGGACAGGGACACGTCGGGATGCAATTGCGGATGCTGGGGTACGATCGCGAAGGGAAGGCATGGGCTCTTGCTGCAAGGACGGAAGGCACCGCAGTTGGAGATTTTGGGATGAGTCGTGAGGGGACGGTGAATGTAGAAAGTATGGTGGTGGCGTGTGGGAGTAGCCGCACGGAACCGTCAAACTCTGTCTCTGTGAATCGCCCCAGAGTGATTAGATGCAGGAGGACGTGCGGCAGCCGAAGAAGTCCGAGAGAGCAAAACTTGACAAATCGGAAGAAGTTCTATTGGGCCTCAACCACAACACGACAAATAATGAAACAGTGTTGGCAAAATAAAGCGTAGTCGCTTTTTACATATAAGATAATTAGTAGTTGTCCTTGTTGGACAAGGACAAGGACATCTGTTAGTTCTTGTAAGGAAATAGGCTAAAACCATGTATGGGAAGGAAAAGGATTTGGCTGTCACGTGAGTCCGTGCAGTTTCCCGTTATGCGGTTGAGGGATTCGAATTTTCATCACATATACTTTTCTTCGCTATTCCCATCCAAATCCCTCCTCCCTTCTGTTTGTTCCCAAATCCAGCGAACACCCTTCCCTCTTCCGGTCGGGGTTTTCCGCTCTCTCCGGCACACGATCCCAACGCCATCACCCCCCAATTCCCTCACCATCTATCCATTTCAGCCATCCCATTCTTCTTAGGCGGAAAATCGATCGGCCGCCATAGTCTTCTTACAATTCCATTCCCTAGGCGTTCATTCTCGCCGTCGGCGACACAATTCCGCCGCCGTTGCTCCCTTCCACCCCCAGTTCTTTCCCTGAAATTTTAGCCAAGGATTTTCCCCTGCGACCACTCTCTGCCGCCATTACTACTATGAACACCCAATAGCAATTAACACTCTTTTGGTTTCCTCAATGTGCAGGTTCATATACATCGGGGAAAAATGTGCAGGTTCATCCCCACTATTGTGTTTCTTCAAATGCTGAAAATAAAGGAGAAGATACTTCCTCAACAATCTCGGCTGATCATCCCCATGAAAATTATACATTGGGTGACGCTTAGTCCCAATGTTTACACATCAAGAAAAACCCATTATACGACTTTCTCAAGAATTTGAAAGCATCCCTCTCAAAGTCAACGAGGACGCAGAGACACCTACATTTACTGATGAAGAGAAATTCACGGTTCAACTCTCCAATAAAAGCCAGTAAGTTGAAGTTTAGGTTCCTGAAATTAATTAGCTTCCATCCTAGATGTTTCACATGTACTCAGGTAGACATTCAACGAACTTTCGGCATTTCTAGTTGTTGATGTAATTTCGACTTGTAATGATCAGTTCGGGAAAGAAACCCAGAAGTTGCTTAGGCAGCACAGGTAAGCGAAACTCTGGTTATTGAGGTTTTGAATTTGGTCAAAAGCCCTGAATTGGGCGTTAGATTCTTCATATGGGCAGGTCGTCAAATTGGGTATTCACATATAGTTTAGCGGTGTACAATGCGTTGGTATAGTGGCTGCAGAGGAACAACCATAGTAGTGCTGATGATAGAATACCTGGCAGTTCTTGCAGGAGATTAGAAATAATGATATGGAAGTACTGCAGAAATTGCTTAAGGTGTTGATTCGCAAGTGTTGTCGAAATGGTTTATGGAATACTGCTATGGAGGAGCTAGGTAGACTTAAGGATCATGGCTACAAGCCCTCGAGATCGACTTACAATGCTTTGGTTCAAGTGTTTCTGAAAGCAGAACGGTTAGATACTGCTTCGCTGGTTCATCAGGAAATATCGGGTTTAAGCCTTTAAGGTACATCATTGATGCTTATACCTAGGGCTGCTTGAAGTTGATCGAGGACGAGGAGTTCAAACCTGATACTGTGCTTTTCACCAACATGATATCTGGATTGTGCGAAGCATCACAGTTTGAAGTAGCCATGGATTTCTTAACCAGGATGCATGTGTATTCTTGTATCCCAAATGTATTGACTGTCAGGATTATGTTATGTGTAATACGAGCCTAGTTGTGCTCGTTAGAAAATCAATACGCGCAGCTCGATTCTCCTTCAATGAACTTGAATTTCAACAACTTAACACGAAAATAAAACGGACCAAAGGTGCAACTTCACTCTTGGGAAGAGGCTCGATTGGTTTAAGTCGAAGCTCGGCCACGATTGATGTGGTTTCAATCGATACGAAGCAAACTCGCTGCTGGAACGCAACCAACGCACAAGTATTTGGTGACAATGGTCACAACTTTTCATTCATCCAAAACTCCCCTTGTACACGAGGCTATCAAGCCTTTAAATAGAAAACAAACAGCCTAATTCTAACTCTAAACTAACAAGGAAAGCAATATCTAACTCTAGCTTGACAAGGAAACAGAATCCCAACTCTAAAAGGTAACAAAAACCAATTGCTTCTCATCCACACTGCTGCCTCCCTGCCACGCAATGGTACCAGTCTCCATAGCATCTTTGAAGCCCTCGATTGAAGTCTTCCAAGGATCAACGTCCCTAACAGGCTTCAGTCGTTGCTCTCCTGAGTCCATAGTTCAATTTCCAACCCTTCTTGTCCTTCAAAGTTACACCATCTGAATTGAATAAGCCTCCAAAGATGGTGTCGGAAACTGTTCCCAGACTTAGCCAAAAACAGGCATTTTTCCAGTTTTACCATAGCAACTTGACACTCTTCGTTCAGGAACTTAGGGACTTGACTTTGTGCAAACAACCATCCAGGATGATAAACAAACACCTTCCCTTCACTCTCCAATCTTCCTCTCGCATTTCCATCAACCATAATGTACGATATGAATCTGCAAAGCAAGCACCACGAAACAACCCAACCACTTAGCCAAATTCGACCATTTTTCACTCCAACGTTGATTGATCCTTTGGCCATCAATTGAATTGTTTGTAGTTGCGAAACTTGGATCATATCAATGTGGGTGCTTGAAGAAGAAGCAGCTCAATAGGTGTAAGAGAATTATCAGTATGATGATCACAGAGGGTTGTTATCCGAGTCCAGCCATTTTTAACTCTTTGGTTCATGCTTATTGCAAATCTGGAGATTATGCTCGTGCCTATAAGCTTCTCAAGAAGATGCCAAAATGTGGTTGCCAACTGGGGTATGTAGTTTACAACATTTTCATCGGCAGTATTTGTGGTATTCAGGAGATGCCTGATATGAGTGTGCTGGAGTTGGCTGGAAGGCGTATAAGGAACTGCTTGATACAGGGGTTGTACTGAATAAGGTTAATGTTAGCAGTCTTGCATTTGCAATGCTGGGAAATTCGAAGAGGCGTATAGTGTCATTAGCCAAATGAAGAGCAAGGGGTTTACTCCTGATACCAGTACCAGGATGAAAATGGTCGAGTTTGCAAGGTGCTCACACATTGAACTTTGGCGGTAAAGTAATTAATTGACTTTTGGTTAGCAGATTTGTTTAGGTCAGGACACACCAAGGCAATGCCACAATGATCAACTCGGCCTAGTTTCTTTTTGTGGCTGCGGCTGTTGTAGTTGCTGTAATATTGTGGCCAATGCTGCTGACCATCGATTTAGATCAACCTGAACATCGATTTCATTCTAACCTATTGCTGCTCTTTCCACTTACAAAATTCTAGGGTTCTTGTAGGAGAAACTTGAAAAGTCACCAGCAATCCTCCAAATGTTTTGCTAGATGCAACATTTGGAGGATTGTACCTTTCTCCAACAAATCATCTGCAGATGGTTTCCAACAAAATTCCTGTTATTTAAGCCTTTAAAGAAGCTCTTGCCATCTCAAGTGCACCTTCATAACTTCGGTTTCCACCAGTAAACCCACTTGCATGGACAAACACGCAGCCAGGAATCCCTGATACTTCCAAGAGCTGATCATTTTCCAAACCTCTCCAGTTAACTGGTAACGGTTTCCTGCTTCGAAAATCATCAGGTGATACAGCTACTGCCTGTATACGCCAGTTTTGAGTCCTATCATCCTGCAAACAGAAAATTGGTGTCATAAGACCTCCGTATCTAAAGAGGGAAATAGGAAGATTTTGTGATGGCAAACTCATGGATTTGGAACTGCCATCAGTAGAGTACTAATAAAAAATGAGATGCAAATACTAGATCGTCAAGTACCTTGTAAAGAACACTAGAATCAATACCCACGGCTACGCCGCGGGGACTTAATTTGCAGCAAATGCATATCATTTTAAAACAATAGCGTATACATTTAAGACAAAATAATGTTATTTGCTTATGATGCGTGAGGGGAGTGCCTACAATCATACATGATACAATTATACAGGCCTATTTATCAACTGATGATTTGAGAGTAGCAGGACCAAAAAGCCGATTACACACACACAGAACCTGTAAATTGAGCAGGAAAAGACAACCAGGTTAAAACCTGAACTGGAAGTTGGTAAGGCACCAAAGAACATTTATAAACCTCTGAGATAGCATGATTTCTAGAACCTGTAGACAAAATAGATTGAAAAAAGAAAGTAGCAATTAGTTTAAATCCATGCAGGAGACAACCAACAACCATGGAATGTCAAGATATCCATAATCATCATTTCCCATTTCCTTTCCCCTCAATCTTCAATCAAATCTTCACCTTCAAACTAAACCCATATTTCCCCTCTTTGGCAGAAAGAATCATAAGAGTATATTACTCCATATGGTGGATCAAACCTCCCTCTCTCCCTTCCCCGTCCCTCCTCCCCTCTCTATCTCTTACCTATTCAACCAACCAAAGGCGAACTATATCAACTACTGCAGCTTACTTACTATCGCCATGAACTCCTACCTAATACTTTAACAATCGACTTTAGCCAAGAAACTGTAAGAACGATCTTTAAACTATAGACAGGAAGCTAAAACAGGAAGAGCTGGAAGAGAAGGATTACTTGGTGTAGCCTCTAGGGTCTGTAGTGCAGATAGATGAATTACATGAAGCTGTGCATTAGTCTTATCCAACAGCAGGCCACTACCTGAATCGGCACAGGATTAAACATCGACATTAGGCCTGTAAAGTGTAGATAGAAGAATGACCTGAAACTGTTGCTGAAGCAGATGAAGAATTAAGAATGACCTATTAACTCTGCATTAGTCTCATCCATTTCAACACAACAGTAAGCAAAGAGAAGCTGTTGCTGAAGCACGCGATCAATACCGAGAAGCTTTAGGTTTGCCTTCCTGTTAAATTTTGCAGCATAAGCATAAAGAAAAACAAAATAATAATGCTGTCCACGCTCAATCATCATCAACTCATAGGAAAGTAGTAAGTATATGGTAGTTTTTCTTGCTAGAAATGAAGTGTTGGCAGAACAATCGGTAGGCAGTACATTGAACATATTAGGAGACAACTAAACTGTGGAACTCAATGTAAGTACATTTTATGTTGTTCTCTTCCAGCGTGTTTTGCACTGCCAATGAAATAATGAAGGTTCTGTATATAATCAAAGCAAATCACGCTACAAAGTAGCGAAAACTCATTTCATGGCACATATTACAACTGAAAAGGGAAGAATGTATTGATTTTAGAATGATGTGACATCGCCAATTCGGTATTCTATTCAACTTAAGAGGTATATAAATCAATACACCATCATGTAGTTGGTAGAGATAGCCTGGAATGCAGAATGCGGTATATAAAAAAAAACTTGGAAGAGAAGGATTCCGACCATAAAGACACAGCGTTCGAAACATGAATATGAAAGTAAGCAGTCTGTTTGTGTAACTCATGATTTTGAGCCCTTGGTAGCAATTCTTTTGTGCTAACAATCAAATAGTTTCTTGACACATCATTGGCAGCAACATCATCATACCAGTAATTGTTACAACATCATTGACAACCACCAACAAATAACCCAAATTTAATAATAAGAACATCTATATGTCAAATCTTCAACTGAATTAAGCAGAGCGCAGAAAACAGAAACTATCTGCATCCAGCAAATTTACAAAAAAGAACATGTACATGGCAAGACTTCAACTGAAGTTGCAGAAAAAACATGTACATACATCACAAACAACAAACAGAACGATAATAACCACAAAGAAAGGAAGATTAGAAAGCAAAACATAAATTCAATCGCTCTTCTCCCAACCAAAGCGAACAGGAACAAATTGAAAATTTCAGAACAGCAAAGAAAAACGTATTGAAGAACAAAATAGAAATATTGAACTGATTTTCAGAAGCAACTCAAATTTGGTTGGTTTCAGTCCCAAGTGGCCATTTCGTCAACTTCTTGCCCCCTCTCACTTTATCTCTTGTTAGCATTGCCCATCTGGTAATCCCACACAATACATTCAAAAATATAAAAAGAGAGATACTGAGTTTATCAGTACAGCTAACTAAACCATACCATCCATCTTCCCACACTTTCCATGTCTGCTGCTGCTGCTCCTGTTCCTGCTCCATGGTTAGTATGTGCCTGCAACAGTAAAATCAAGAGAAGTGAGGAGCAAGTTCATTTTTTTGGGGGTTGCGGTAGGAGTAAGGTCAACCGGTGAATACAAAAGTGAAAAATACATTGGCTGTTCCACCAACTGTCACCCAACCTGCTGGTCCATAATCACCACCACCGTCAGTTTATGTTGTTCCTCCCCATGGATAGGGCTCGAGCACGAACTCGACGAAACCATGTTATTGGAATCTTGCTACCGCTGTGCTCTGCAGCAAGTCCAAAAACAGAGAAGGTGAAATTTAAAATATAGCCGAAGAAGATGATAAATAAGAGCTCACCGTCACAGGCGATTCTGTCCACCGCCGTTGGTCCTCCTGTTCCAAATCGATTTCGTCTTCCTCCGCTTTCGGGTTTGGGTTCCACGACGACCAGCAGCGAGGAAACTTTTAGGGTTTTCTCTGCACCCTCTGTTTCGGAGAGGCGGAAAAGGGGGGGGGGGGGGAGGGGAGATATTGGAAGGGAAATACAATTCCCGAGATATTTTCCGCTGTTTCCGAACAAAAGTAACAGTGCGGAGGGAGAGAAAAGCAAAGGAAAATTTACTGTACCGCTCGACCCTCCAAATCGGGCGGAAACTTGGCTTCCCTTCATGCGTTCCTTTTTTTATTATAATCCATGTCCTTTAGTTCAACTAAATCATGGATGCCTTGCTTTTTTTAAATAACCAGAATCATCTATGCTTTCCTTTTAACGTGGGTTTAACAGCATTATTAGGAGTAATATCAAGAGAAGAGTAATATTAGGAGTAACATTAGGAGAAGATGCTTATTACAAAACGTATTTGTTTGTTTATTATTTTTGTGTTTAAAGAGATAATATGGATTAATTTTGGACACCTATAATTAAATTGCAGAAACCAGAATATATTGTTCGGTTGAGCTTTTGATAGAAGATTTTTCAGGTCGATCCACTGATACGCTACATTTTTCAATCCAAGGTTATTACTTTAATGGTATAAGTGATATTGCAATAAAATTTCGTTTGGACCGGATGACACCAAACTGTAATAATGTGGTCCGGTATAAAATAATTGACGTGGTTAAATCACGATTTTAGAACAAAATACCATACAACTAATTTTTATAATACAATCTCTTATGCATTTTAGAAAGTATAAATTTATTTCACAATTCATAACTAGAATCTTAACATACAATCAAATTATTTTACTATTATATAACCAATAAAAAACATATTTATCACATTTCTCAATACCCACTTTTCTTCCCACTTTCTTTCATAAAACAACATTTTCCTCTCAATTTCTCTCACCTCCAAATCTCCCCTCCCCTCCTAATTTTCCTTCACCTCCCCTCCTTTTCCTCCCTTTCTTCGGAAACACAGCATCTAGATAGAAGAAGGGGATTGTGGAGTGGGAAAGAGGGTGAACCATTTGCCTCTCACCAAGTACAATCGTAGCCAACTGGTGGGAGGTAGCGTGAGCGAGTCTATGAGCAGGGTTAAGGGAGTGGGAAAACCGGGGATAGCAGAATGGAACGACGAAGAGACAGACATGACCGAGCACTGACCTGTGTATGCTTGATTTCGGTGGAAATTGATAGTAGGAAAGGTACGGCCACAGTAGCGCTGATTGTGGAGTATGGGCGGTGACCTGCTTTTGCTGGACCGAGGGTACGGCTACTCTAAGTGGGGAAGAAAGTGCTTTCGAGGAGCTTCTCCACTGCTTGGGCTCTAGACGCCAAGAATTGAAACAGTGTTTAGAGTCTTTGGGCGAAAAAGCGTACTCCCCTTTCATGTTTTACAAGAATACTTGATGGTTGGAATCACCCCCAACTCTTTCTCAAGGTCAAATATGTGGAGCTTCCACTGCAGCAAAATCAAACACAGTGAACTTCCAAGAATTGATAAGAATGTCTTTGGCATTCGGATGGTAATACAATTCATGGTCATTCAAAAAGTCGGATAGGAGCATTCTGTGTATGACCAGCAAGGATAATTTGGAAAGAAACTTCACACTGAAACCCACTACAATAGTTTTTAGGCAAAATCCACTTTCATAGCCATAACTTTGCACTTTGTGACAAATATAGCCAAATTTGAAAAAATACACAGAAATAGCCACAAATTTGAAACTAACTTGACAATTATAGCCATTTCCGTTAAATTTATTGACGGAGTTAGAGATGCCGTTGGCGTCCGTCAACAACAAGCTGAGATGGCGCCTAGTCAGCTTTTACGTCAACTCTAAGTCGACGTGTCATGCCACATGTCATGCCATGTCAGCTTAAAAATTAAAAATATTATTTATTACAAAAAAAATATAATAAATAAATAATCTAATTGACCATCGTCTCTAAACCTCCTTCTCCACTTGACGATAAACCTACTCCATTTTCATGGCCATAAAAAACCTAAAAATCAAATGAAATTCACAATAACCAAACCATTCATCCCTCTCACCACTACCACCACCATAATCTCTACGGTCCATCTTCTTCCTTCCCCTTCTGATTCCTCTTTAATTCTTCTTCCTTGTCACTTCTCACCACTAAGCCTTCTGATTTCACGGGCTTCATCAATTCCCCCAAATACTACATGGATCCCCCGCCTGCTTCATCCATCTTTGGCAAAATAAACCTGGGTAGACGTCGTCGTCCATCTCCTCGTACTCCACTCAGCCAAAGTCGAGTCCTTTGCTACTCTAGCTGAAGAGATCTCGGCCACCGTCGAAGAGGCAGACTAGCTGCTGCCGGATGAGATTCATCTTCTTCGTCTCCTTCCTTCACCTCCCCTTTATTCGAAAATCTCGTGGGTAACGCCGAGGCAGTGGAGTGTCTGAAATCCCTGCTGGAGCAGAAGCTTGAGAGCCGTGAAGAAGAGGACGCGCTCAAAATCCTGACTCGTCTCGTGGCCGTGCAATCATGCCGCTGAGGGAGAGCAACAGTCTCCATCGCAGATCGAGAAACTAAAACCTAATCGACGCTATCTCCTTGCAGATTTCCTCCCTGATAAACCACCAGATCTGGGCGGTTTCCAAAGATCTAGGCGGTTTTCAAATATGCCACCGCCGGAAATCGACAATGAGCAGAGGGTACAAGCAAATCGCCGTCGATGTTGCGGCAAATCCTCCCTCCGTCAGTCGCTGCTACGTCTGAATCACTGTGTATTGTCGGACCGCGGAGGCGAGCTGGACCGTATCGAGTGGTGAATGGACCAAGGCTGATGAGTGCGTTCGTCGATTGAGAGTCGCCGGCGATTTTAAGTTTAGGTGGAATGAAGGTGGGATTTCTGTAAAGAGGAAAAGAGAAGAATTGGGAAGGGCGGATGAGGAAAAGAATGGTAAAGTAGGGGTTTTTTTTTATAAATATAATTAATTTAGTTTTCCACCATGGCATGCCGCATAGACCAAATAAAATGCAGCCACATTCAACCGTTTGCCCAGTCAGTCGTCTTTATAATTCCGTTACATTAATGGACGGAACGGCTATTTCTGTATATTTTTTTAAATTTGGTTATATTTGTCACAAAGTGCAAAGTTATGTCTATGAAAGTGGATTTTGTCTAGTTTTTAACGTATAAAAAGGTTCACTTACAGGGCAAGATCTATGCATAACCATGATTTCTCCGCTGGCATCAACTTGGTATCTTGAAGCAAGACACTCCTCCACAATAGACCTAGCTGGCAACCAAGACTTCGCATGGAAGCGGATACTCTTCACATGCCCCTATAGACACGGAGAAACTAGAAGATCATCGCCTCCGAATCTCTCACATGCCCCTTCACCTATCGTTATCTTAGGTCCTTTCTCGTTTCATTATAATTATCATTTCTCGACAATTCCTAAACTGGTCATCGTAACATTAAATCACTGTTCACAATACTATTTCGTAAATAGCAACCATTCGACATACCAACGATCAAACCTTATTGCAATTTGTTCACCATTAGCCCTTAACTTCCATCAATTCCATCATCTCCAATAGCCCAATACTACCACTAATCAATGTAATCATCCTTATCTCGTTAAGTGGACTTGACTTACCATAAACCATTTGACAAATCAAAGAATATAGCGTGTTTCGTGTCATATAAATCAACCGAAGTAAAACTTACAATTTCATCATCATTATTTTCTCATATATCATCTATACACCCAACATTTCCCTTTTCTTTCACCTACCACCATACCCCTAAATTCCTCCAATCATTTACAAACCAAACAATATAACCAAAAACACCTTCCCCTACACCGCCGATCGCCGCCTCCGCCGCCGTTCCCGCCGGCTCCTCACAACATTCTTCACAACATAACCGTAAGCCCTCCCCAATCGCTTCGCGAACCGCTTCAAATCCAACGCCACATTCTGACCGTCGAGATAGATCGATTTCGTGTACTCCCACCCTCTCTGATTAACACTCTCTGGATCGCGAAGCACCGGATCCTCCTCGCCGTACTTCTCGAACAGAGAGCTCTCCCTCGGCAGAATCTTGTACCCAATGTACTTCAGCCCCATCCTCGTCGCCGGACCGCCGTAGTAGCTCTCCGCCGCCCAATCCGTGCCCAAAGGCACCACCTGGATGAAAACAGAGCCCGGCCTCATGAACAGGAAATGCGTCATTGCCGCGCCGTGGACCCCGATCATGACGTCGCTGGAGTTCATCGCCCTGTATATCTTTGCCAGCTCGGTGGTCGGGTCGGGCCGCAGCACCTCGACCCGGAACCCGATCCTCTCCCCTGTTTTCACCAGTGCTTCCTCGTTGGTGATTGCCCGCGACCCTGTTCTCGACACGATGAGCAATTTCGGAGCGTTATGGCGCGAATTGGATCGAATTGCGGGACCCAATTCGAGCTTTTCTTCTTCGATTAGGCCGGTGATTCGAGGTAAGTAGGCGCGATCGAGGATGTTGCGGAAATCGACGATGGTCCGGTTGCTCCCCTGCATCAGGTCAGGGGAGATGGTGAGCTCGTCGTGGATGCGGAGCCCGACGGTGGCTTCCGGGAAGCAATGCGTCCTCTTGTCGCTGGAGAAGTCGATGGCGGGGAAGTCGGAGAGGTGGGAGAGGATGTCGGAGTACTTGGAGATCCACCAGTCGTGGTACTCGAGGATGACGAAGACGACCCTTTTGTTGTACTGGTGGGAGGTGATGTAGAGTGGGATCAGGCCGTCGTTGAATTCGTGGTAGACGTTGCCCGTGTAGCCGCCGGTGGAGAAGAACACGGCGGGGACGTCGTGGGTGACGTCACAGTGGTGGCTCTGTTGTTGTTTCTCGTCGGAGGTGATGAGGTGGAGCTCGTCGATGGTGTTCATCACGCTGGTTTCCCATTTTCGAGTGTAGGGTCTGATTTTCTCGTCCTGGTGGCGCGATTCGCCGGTGTAGAGGCGGATTGAGGAAGTGGATGGTTGGGTTCTTATGTCCCCTTTCATATAGCAGACGTCGGAGCGTATGCTGGTTCTGTCGCAGCATATGGTTCCTGATTAAACCAAATAAAGCAGAAATTTTTAGTCATTAAACTTCCCATAATCAACGATTATGCAGTTAATCAACGAATTAAACAAGTTTTGGCAGTGCAGATTTGAGATTACAGAGAGAGGGGAAAGGAAACCAGAAAACAGAGCATGAAGAAAGAGGAAGGCAGGGGAGATGAAAATATTACCGTTGGCGACGGAAGAACAGAGGGGGAGATTGGAGTCCATAGCCGCCATGGAATCGAATGAATCTACAGTGAAAAGAAAGAGGAATCGTTAGCCAATAGCCACGACAAAGATCAAGAAAATGAATATGAAAAATAGTGGATTGATTTGGTTACTTACAGAAGGCGGGGAAGAAGTGGGGGGCGAGGATAAGGAAGCCAGAGACGAGGGAGAGGAACAAGAGAGTGAGAAGCTTGGGTCTTGCTGCAGCTGCCGTTGATGGTAATGGTGTTGAAGATGGTTTCTTTGTGAAGACAAGAACCAGACCCATCTCGTCGTCGTCCAGAAACAGGGGCTGGCTCTTTGAACGATGGTGTTGCAGCCCCATGGCTGCTGCTTTCCAGGAAAGCTGCTTGCTTTTCTTGCTTTGCACAGCCAGCTTTGCTGATTGATTCTTTCAGCTGAAACAACCAAGATTGCAGAACCAGAGGCAGTGGGAGAGAGAGAGGAAAGGGAAGAGGGGAAATTGGGTTTTGGAGTTTGGGAGGAAGGGCTTGCAAGCGAGAAAAAAAAGGCTTATAAAGGCCTTTGCTTGCTGGGTTGGAGCCTGGAGGTTTGGTACTTTGAACTGATGCTCTCTGCCTTTTTCCCCTCTCTGCGAAAAGAAGCCAAATCCTTGCTGTACGTAAGAAGTTATAAAATATAAATTTCACACCAAATACATATCATATTGTTTTTTTTTTATGTGAAAAAAATGAGAAATTGTATATTTTCTTAGGCCAAATGATTTCAAGTGTGTTTGTATATATTCCACATGACACATAACTTCTTGCATAATCTTGCTAGAAAAATTGGCTAGAAAAGGCTCAGGGTTGCACATTAGACAAATTATTATCGATAAAACACGATAGAATTCTATGATTCATCATGAACATTCAACTTTTAACTAGCAAAGTGTGTTGTGGGGTGAGACTTCCCACTTCTTTTAAGGACTATAAAGTCAAACACGCTAGTGTGTGCAGCAGTGGATATGAGTGACCTTCCGTGACATTGCCAAGATACACCCAAAAGTAAACACCGTGAGGTGATAGATCCAAGGTGAACAAAATCTTGGTCGTAAAAAGTCGGGATGTTACAATTAAGATATTATCACATGTAAAATATTAACTAGAGATTGCAATATGTGTGCTTAAATTTTAATAGGGATACTTGCGAATTAAAACTCGTCGGTCATCATTGTGGATATCATCAAAATTGAATCCACAATCATGATCGTTATAAATTTGGTCAAATGTATGAACACTCGAAGAGATTGGATTAGTGAGAAGATCATTATCCTTGCCATAATCACTTTCTCTAACCAGCGAGATTGCGTATATATCCATAGAAAAATATGGCATTCTAACATCACAATTCACAAGTGTGAGTCAACCAATGCTTTGATTAAACACACTTGTCATCATCAACCTCCCAACTCAAGTTGGCTCTTCTACGTCTCTCTTCCTCCTAAACACCAACTGGGATTTCGTAACTAGCTAACTAACTTAGCCTGAAGCTCTGCTGTTTTTCCATCATAAACCACTGTCAGAGCCCCACCGCTTAGAGAGAGAGAGAGAGAGCTAGAGAGAGAGGAAGTTATAATAATAATAATAATAATTTGTTGGTGAAGGGTTGGTTGATTATTTTATGCGGACTAAATTGTGATTGGTGGTGACGGGGATGGACAAGTGTAGGCTAGGCTTGCCTGGCAACTTGCAAGTGGGAAAAAGTGTGCCAGCTGGGTTTTCGAATCAAAGTGCTTGTTAGCGCTGAGCTGGACGGCGGACGCTGCCAAACCCAACAAAAGCAAATACCATCAAACGAGGGACGACGGCGACGGAATACGAATACTAAATTACTCGGCGGCGGCGGCGGGCGAAGAGGACGGAAACTTGTTTGGACATTTTCCAGGCAGGCGGGCGCCACACCACCACCACACCGCCGTCGCTTTCAATGACGATGACTATTCCTCTTTCAAATGGATGACGATGGACTTCTCTCTCCTCAAGATTCCAAGAGAGGACTTCTCGGTCGGTCGCCAGTAAGTCTCTAATACCGTGTCAAGAACAAGCTGGTCACAAAATACTCAAGTCAAGTCGTCGCCAGAAGTTCAATCATGAATAATATAACCATTTACTAACACTCATATTCTGGAGGTGGAAACGAACATTTCTGCGTCCGAGCAGTGTAATCAAAGAGCGGGCCCGCTCGATTCGTTAATGAAAAGCAACTTTCACAAGTTGTCTTCCGAGAAAAAAAAACCGTGTGTCAATGGATGAGATCTTTAATATAATCAAGGTGTTCTCTCGATTCTAATTCGTGGTAGTTTTCAAAAACTTTGATCCTGCCCCTCGAGTGGCGGTAAAAGGGGAAGAGATAGAGAGAGTGAGGGAGGTTGTAGAATGCGAGACGAATCTTCATTTTGTTGCAATATGATCATGCTTGTGAGTCGTATGTAGTTTGACCTTTTTGTAAATCTTCGTACGATTTTAGTAAACGGATTATCTATAGTACGTGCCCACAAATCGACGAACGCGCGATTGTACGAGAATGAATGGTTAAACTAACCCTTGACTCTCCCGCCCAAAAAAGGATTAATTCCCTAAATACACATAAAACTAAAGCAAATTCCTAAACTACCACACTTTTAAAAAAATTTCCCAAAATACCTAAGTTTGGAGTGGTTCGAGTTTGAGAAACTCGAACTACTAACCGGTTCGAGTGTAGGAGACTCGATCTACTCGTAGATCGATGATATAAGTCTCGAACCATGTGGGGTTGAAGTGGTTCGAGTTCAGTGAACTCGAACCACTCCTTTGAAATTTCCAAACCCCTTAACTTTGTGCTCGGTTATCCGATTGTAGCAAACTTTTTTTTCATTTCGCATAACTTTTTGAGAACTACAACTTTTATAATAGAAATATTTTCAGAATATATGTGAAAATGTGAAAATTTAGGTTAAAGTTACTCCCAAAACCCCTTATATTAAAAACTATTCCTATTTTGAAAATTTTTTCCTAGTAAATGTTGTAGTACTCAAAAAGTTATGCAAAATAAAAAAAAACTTTGCGACGTTCGGATTGCGGAGCACAAAGTTATGATCCTCCAAAGTTTGACAAATTCGAAAATCTGCTCGTTTATGGGTAGCAAATGACGTTTACAAGGAAGATAGTCATCCAAAAATTCTCGTTTGGAAAACTATTGCTCTTTTTGCAGAAGTTTCCTATATATAAAAAAATTTCTTGTGCCTTCGCTCCGAGAAAACGTCATTTGCTAACCCATAAAACGAGCAGATTTTTCGAATTTGTACCAAACTTTGGAGGATCATAACTTTGTGCTCCGGCAATCCGAACGTCGCAAAGTTTTTTTTAATTTTGCATAACTTTTTGAGTACTACAACATTTTACTAGGAATAAAATTTTCAAAATAGGAATAGTTTTTAATATAAGGGGGTTTTGGGAGTAACTTTAACATTAATTTTTACATTTTCACATATATTCTGAAAATAATTCTATTATAAAAGTTGTAGTCCTCAAAAAGTTGTGCGAAATGAAAAAAAACTTTGCTACAATCGGATAACCGAGCACAAAGTTAAGGGGTTTGGAAATTTCAAAGGAGTGGTTCGAGTTCACTGAACTCGAACCACGTCAACCCCACATGGTTCGAGGCTTATATCATCGATCTACAAGTAGATCGAGTCTCCTACACTCGAACCGGTTAGTAGTTCGAGTTTCTCAAACTCGAACCACTCCAAACTTAGGTATTTTGGAAATTTTTTTTAAAAGTGTGGTAGTTTAGGAATTTGCTTTAATTTTATGTGTATTTAGGGAATTAATCCCCCAAAAAAACACCTCTCCTTGTAAATTCATCAATCTCTTTCTGTTTTCCCCACATGTGAAAGATTAAACTCATTATCCTAAAGAATCACTAAACCCTCAACTATGAATAAACATTCATGGAAAATCCCATCACATTAGGCGGCATCGGATTCTTGGCACATGATTTGATGAATGAGATGCTACTGTAACAGCCTTAAAGACCTCCCATTTTCAAGGATTCGATTTATGGCGGGTTCTGCATTTTTTAAGGGGCAGGGGAAGCTTTGGCTTCGCGCCACTCAAATACTTGGTTAGCGCCAAAAACAGGGGATTTGGCTTCGCGCCAAAGAACTGTGATGTTGCTTGCCGCATTAATGGCGGCAGCAATGTGGGCAATATAGAATAGTTCCCTCCTCGAATACTGCCGAACACAACAGAACAGAGCAAGAACAGGATGAGGAAGAAAGAAAGAGAGAGAGAGAGAGAGAGAGAGAGAGAGAGAGAGAGAGAGAGAGAGAGATATGAGCAAAGAAGACAATGAAACAATAATGGCTGCTTGAAAGATAGTACAGTACGCCACAAGAACCCAAAATTGGCCACCAATGACTTTTTCCTGCGGTTTCAAAGGGCTCCATTTTTTAGCATGCAATGTTTTCCAAGCTCTCTCAAATGATTGTTAAACTCTTGTGTTGGAAGTGTCTCTAGTTCACTAGAGACTCCAGTTGGGCCGTGTTTCGTCACTCGAGATAGCTATCGATATCGTACTCGTAGCATCTGGAGGTTCTTTTGTCGCATTGACCATGCACTCAAACCAATCACGATCTGGAGGAAGACGGCTCGTGCGCTAGTCGACCCTGGAAAGCAGACTAGCAGCGAGGCGAGAACCCTCTAACAGAGCCTTAGCTTCAGCTTCAAGTGGAGAAAAGGAGTGCATAATCTCAGCTTTACCGTAGGAAAGACCGATTTGAAGGGAGTAAAATGTAAGTTTTTGTGATGATACCCACCTAATTAAGGAAAGGACTTGCACATATGAACATAATTAGTGGTACTAATTACCACATTCCTCATTAGTTTTTTCATTTATCATTGTTTGGGTCACTTTTTCTGATGAAATGTCAGAGTTCCCATCCGTGATCTATAGGCTGCTCTCTCTCTCTCTCACAGTATGGGCATTCTGCAGAATTCTGATGTCAAGAAGAGAAAAGGCTGCTTCTTTAATTTTCTTCTTTTCTTTAAGAGCAAATATTCTAAACAAAAGAGGCCCCCACATGTTTGTAGATGTTAACCAATGAGAAGTGAGGAATATTAGCTCAAGAATCCACCACCAATTAAAATAGAGAGAAATTCTTTGTTTATCCATTTTTTCATAAATTGGACAGCCACATTCCCATGTGAGTAAGCTTTTGCTTGCTTAATATGACAGGCTAGAATTCAGCACATGCCAACGGCTCTTTTCCCACTAGAGAGATGATAGGGTTTCTGTATTATTGGTTTTTGTATGATTGTGTAGTACCTAAAATTCAAGAAAGCTAATGAGTAAACCTCTTTGTTGGATTGAGTAAACTACTTGTATGATGAGTGTCATCTTTACATTTCATGTTGAAATTGCGTGAAGGAATGTGGACAAAGTTTAGTTATGGGTTCACAAAGTGTAAGATGACCATTCGTCGAATCTTAAGTAGTTTCTCCCGTACTGGGATGTCACAACATCACTGTAATATCGAGTTATTGAATTGAGCCTCAGTTTGTTTACCCTCCCTCCAGGCTATATGTGACTGTAGTATGTGAAGTAACAACCTACATACAATTGTTACAAAGAAATAGCTGTTAGACCAAGTTAAAAGAGGTGATAACGGCTTAATAAGCTGATCGGATCCATGGTTTATAGTTTGTCGGCTTCGGGGAAGACAATAATAAAAGCGAGGGAAAACTTTGATTAAATCCTCGCTTTTGACTTCAAATTTTGATTCCTCGTAGGAATCATGAAGGGTTGTTGACAGAGGCGAAAGACAAATCGAGTTAAAATGAGATCCTATTCTGTATTATAACAAATTGGGTCATTGGAATTTAGAACTTAGAAGGGCCAGCTCTGTATTATAGATGATGATTGAACTATAAATTTGGCTGAAAAGAAATTGCCAGACCAAAGAGAGACATGAGAGGTGTTGGAAAAATCACAAACATTTCCAAGTGATGCATGAATCTCAATCTCCTAAAACCAATGAGAAAGATGTCAGACACAACATGTCATCATTTCTCTACTCCCTAAAACACAAAAACCCAAAAACCACATGAACTTGGTCCCATCTCCATCTCTTCAACCTCATTATTCAATTCTACATCTTGACTTGTTATCCACTACCCACTGACACCACCTTAGTTAACAATCCATTAATGGCAGATCTAGCAACGACCAATTAGATAACCCCCTTGCCAATTTGCAGAGAGCTCTTGCATAGAGACCTAGGATTCTTCTCCCAAAACATTGATTGCTACAATGTGAGCAAAACAGAGCTGCTGATTATCCCTGCAAAACCACAGCCTGTTTGCTATATTATATACACAGTAATGGCAGGATGATGTCATCGCTGGTCACCTTCTCTGCATCTCAGCATGTGTTCATCCTCAGTCGGGTCAATATCCATGACTTGGCTTCGAGTCAAAGCTCCAATGAAGTTAAAGAAATGTTTAATCCTTCCTTTTGTTAATTCTTTCTTCTAAACCCATCTTTTGTTCTGTGCTGATCCGTAGCCTGGAGGTGGTGGCGTCCTTGCATTCCTCCTGGAATCGTCTGAAACAAGCAAGACAAAACCAATCCAGAAAGATAGGCAGAAGCTTTTAATATGGGGTTGAGAAAGAGATGAACATGACCATGTTAAACAAGTTGTTTGCTTTGCTCTTCACTCACCCGAGTCAACTGATTTCCCACCGAGGGAAGTCCTGCGAGAGGACTTGTAAACTCCAGTTAGTGATTGCCTCCTGGCAGCCCTTGAACTACTGCTAATTCCAATTGGTGACTTCATTTCTTCAGGGATTGGAGATGGTTCCTTCTGTTGATTCCTGCAATTTTTACAGCACTGACATTGGTTTCCCATTATACAAGATGGACAGAACACAAATAAGAACACCATAAAGAACCTAACTTTACCTCTTTTCAGATCCATTAATCAGCTTCCCAATGCTCCGAAGCGACTTCCTGATCTGGGATCCTTTCCCATTAACACTACTGGCCGTAGTAGTAGTTGTAGTCTTAGTAGAAATGGGAACTTCACTTTGCATCACAATCTGGACCTCATTTCTAGCAAGCACTTGGTGTTCTGCTGTTGCCAATGGCAGCTGAATATGAGGAACTTGTGTCCTGCTATCTATCTTCACCGTCTGCCTTTGAAACGAAGAGCTAGTAGGACTCCTAGAAGGGTTGCGATGTTGATAAATCTTCACTGTGGAACTGCTGGTGGAAGTTGTAGTAGTAGCAGAATACCCAAAAGGCGTTGATGACATCATAGCTTCCACATCCTGTTGCTGATTGTTGTACTTCTGTGGTGTCACCATTGCCGGCTCAAACTTCAAAGGCTTCCTTATCGTGTCATCATTATCCCTTTTGTAATACGTTGGAGCTTCCAGGCTTAGCCTTCTCGAACGAGTAGGCAGTGCAGGTGTTTTTGAGACTTCATGTTTTCCAGTCTTCATCAGCTTCGTGTTGCTGCCATTCTCAATACTGAGCCTCCTTGTGCGTGGTGGCGTTCTATCAGTCATCGGCTTCCCTAATGGAGATCGCGGATCCTTTATTCTGTTCAACTGCTGATCTTGTGACTGTTTATTAGCCAGTGCCCTTTTGAGGTTCTCAACCTGTTCCTTGAGCTGCATAATCTCACTGCTCTCCTTATTTGCCTTAGCAGCACCAAGTTCGACCGTTGACACTCGTTGAGCAAACTTCAAAGTGCTGACAGTCTCTAGTACAGAGTCTTCTTCTGGGCTCACATGAGCAAACATTAGTGTTTTAGCATGCCCACCTAAAGAATCTTGCAGCAGAAGTGTGAGTTTACTGTTTCTGTAAGGAATATGAGTATTCTTCTGTGCCAGTGCTGTGACCACGTCTCCCAGACATGAAAGTGACTTATTGATGTACTGTGCCTCCTTCAGCCTATCCCCAGTGACTTCTGACTTGTCCACTCTTTCACTTCCTGCTAAGTCCACCAAATGCAAGCATCCCCTGAGCTTGCCTCCCGACTCGTCTTCACCATGTACATGAACTGTCAGCACACTGCAGATGTGAAGTAACAGAAAGAATGAACTTTTGGCTACACTTCAAATCCATGTTTCATCAGGAATCTGAATTCGAACTAACCTGTGAGAACGACTGCTTCTGTTATTCATTGCAGTAGAACTGACAACACGATTCAAATCCCCAAGTTTCATCAGTCTGAGAACATCAGAAGGGGATGTAACGGGGAGCATTATAGCATCTGGAAGAGTTAGACCATCATCCCCAGCACAACTCCGAATCTCTAACGTGTGTTCGGTCAAGGAATAAAAACATACAGTAAAGTTGAAACTTTATCATATTATCATGCTGCATTACTGCATATATGGATACTTCAAGTATGATTGTTATCTAACTAGTAATGAAAGCTTAAAAAGGATATTTGGTGGTTGATGAATCTTCAGCCAGAAGGTCGCGTATTTGTTCGTTGTATATCTCCACCATTTGAACTCTTATAACATAATTTATGACGTCCTTCCTTCTATCAGACATCTGGAAAAGATCATTAAGGGCCAGGTAATTTATTCCAAGATCCTTCGCTGATCCACCTGATGGTCCACTCTGCTCACCACACAGAAGAATATAATCAGTTGGCGAGGAATAGAGAAATGCTAGGCAAGTAAAGGAACCACTTGAAGGCAAAAAGAGAAACACTTAATCTCACCATTGTATAGGTTTTCCCAGAGCCAGTTTGGCCATAAGCGAAAATGCATACATTGTAGCCATCCATCACTGATCTGATTAGTGGTTGGACATGATCAAAGACCTCTTCTGTAGTGAAGAGTTCAGTTGCAGAAGAGTATTAGTTTCCACTCGGCTTCCGCAGTTAAAAAAGGGTATAGCATATTTATGGTCTATCATATCAATAAAGATCACCTTGAGTGGCAGTAGAACCAAACACCTGATTGAACTGAAAATGCCTCCTTCCATCCTTTGTGGGTTTTGATGGATCAACAATCACCAACGAACCATCTTCTCCAACAAATTCTACTGCATTGCTTGATCCAGAAGTGAACGAAGGCCTTACTCTACAGTAAACTCGGATATTTCCTGAACAATAAAAAATAGGAAACAAGGTTAACGACAACCTCTTGAATAAAGTTTACAGAAGTTGACCAAAGAAAATATTTTTATTTTCTGGAGCTAGCCAACCTTTCAAATCCTGGACCATGTTGTATAATATTCTGTTTTCTTTCAACACTCTCTGATATCCCTGAGCAGCACTCGCCATCTCCTGAACCTGAATGCCTAGAAGACATATGAATCAACAAATACTATGAGGAAGAAACACAGAGATCTTTACATAATCAGAATACCAAGGCCGGCGCTTGCTCGAGCAGAATTCTTTATAGTGGTATTTGATGTTGTAAAAAGAACAAAGAAGTAGACAAGATAGGTTCTAAGTAGAAGTGACATCTATACCACATTGCGTGAGGTCATTCTGCAATTGGGATTGCAAGGCTTCAAACTCTTTTCTTGTCGTTGCCCATAATGTCTTCAAATCCTGTAGTGTAGACAAAATTCTTAATTCAGGAACAATCTAAAAGAACGGGAAACTTGCATATCTGCCTTCTACTTTTTGTGCATTATCCTTGAGTGATTCAGAAAGTGATTATAAGTGATAAAAATGGCAGGCATCATCTTCAGAACAGACATACTAACCTGGAGTTCTCTTTCCTGGATGTGCAGTAAACGCCTGTGATTGCAGTCTCCTTTACTTAAGCATGTTTGACAACACTACAGAATATCACATCATTGATATGAGACTTCAGATTCTAAATGTTTTAATTACCTACAGTGTCTCAGATGAAGCTGAAACATTTCACCATATCTGGTATGATATTTATAGTTGATTTACCTTACTATTTTTGTTTTCAGATACGTCCTCCAAGGGAGTTGTTTCCAAATGGACAGGTAAATTACTACTGTCTTTCAAGCAGTCTCTGAGCACTGTTTGACCCTACTTGGACAATGTAAATGCTTAGCAGTCAGAACTCAGAACTAGTGATCTTAAGTAGAGAACAATTCATAACTTGCTAAAGTACGGCACAACTTACCTCAGGGAACTTTTTCTGTTCGTTTTCCTTCAAGCAACTTGCCACGATCCTACCGAATAACTTCATCGGATCCTATAGCACACGTGTCATCAGCAATTACACAATGACCAACAAACAGTTGCAGAATTTCTAAATCAAGTTTACATTCCCATTTCCTTGATTGATGAACCTTACCACATCCCCAGCTTTGAAGGAGGCGAGAAAATTGCCACCCATGTTCTCCTTTGTATCAGCCATATACTCGGCAAGTATCTTCACCAGTTCACCTATAAAAATGACACAGAAGCTGCAGCTTATTATTCAAAACAGCTGCAAGCAAAAATTTTGGTAACCTACAATTCACGTTTTCAACTCTCATATAGACAAAAATAACGTGGGAAAGCAAGCTTCAAGAATACCTTCTAGTTTCTGAGCTTCAGTATTCCCAGATGGATGTGCTTCGGCTGCTAAATCCATCTCCAACCGCCGACAAGAATCTGATGGGAGCCCGCGGAGATTGCTCCTGGTCGCGTTGTGACCCACCATAGGTGATCTTGTAGGCTTGAAACTCCCATTTCCACCATTCATATTCTTGTGCTCATGGTAAGACTTTAGGGCTAATACACAATCAACCACCTTAGCAACTGATCCTGCTTCCAATGCATCCTTCAAAAAGAAATTGCAAAACCACAGCAACTTTGCTTTAGTCATTTACTTCATTTAACATTTGTTCAATTCACTCTATCTTAGAAGTCAGGGAAGGAAAAGGATGAAGAGACGTCTACCCTTTCTAGATCGGAAGCTTCAAAGGCTGGGAGTTTCAATTCTTCCATAGCTACCAGGAAGTTCCTTACGTTCTCGAAGTACTGATATGCTGGCAATGGCTGCGATTCTCGAGTTATAGATTGGATAGGCACATTATTCTCCACAACCTTACAACAAATCCCAAAATTTCAGCAGAGCTTAGCTAACAGCCTAACACAGTATTTCAAAAGGCCTTCTGATTCAATTAATTCAAAGGATAAACAAGAATTTAAGAAGGTTTTCAGCGTTTGACTAACCTTAGTTATTGCTCCAGGATGAACTTTGTTAATGGCATTGCAAAGAATCAATCCATTTCTCAAGCGAGAAATGAGTTCTTTCTCCGAGGGTTTGTTCGATATACCCAGTGGACCCACGACGCTATCCAGCCATTCAGTGGCTTGGTAACGCCTCCAAACTGGAAAAACAAGACACAAGAAAATTGGATGCTTCAAAAATCCCTAAAAGACCAGCACAGTCCCAGTTGCTTTCTTCTTCTCTTTTACTCGGAACCAAACAAAAGGTAAATTGGGCGAACAGTGAAGTTAGAGAGAAAGGTAAAGTGAGCATTACCAGCTTCCTCGGCTTTTCTTGAAGCCAAAACGTCGTAGAACCCAGTCGTGGAACGATTCTCCATTTCAGCCATCATATCTTTGATCCCCCTTCAAAAAGTAAAACCCACAAACAGAAATCGTTTCTTTATCTCTGTCCTTCTTCGGAAGTCCCCCAAGAAACTCAAAACCCAGGAAGGAATTCGCTGCTTAAGTTCGCAGAGCAAAACCCAGTATACAGAGTAATCAATTTCTTCCTACCCAATCGTCTTCTTCGCTCGCCCTCTTCACACTTCCTTCCCGCCTTCCTTTCTTCAGCAGAAGAAAAATGGCGGAAAAAATCGAATCCCCCCAAGAAGACAAAGCAGAAGATCCCGCTAACGAAGGGCAATCACTCTGTTTTGCTTGACTAGTGCAGTCAAAATTAGGAAAGGCAGGGGCAGCAGAAGCTAAATACTCGTGTATAGATTTGGCCTTCCTTTTTCTTCTCCTTTCTGTGTTAATGGCTTTCGAATCCTAACGTTAACCTTTTCGGGAAGGGGAAGACTGCGTTCGAATTCAAAATCTTGCGATGTCGATCTCCACCGTTACTCTGGCAGTAAAGCAATCCGATCCTACGGTGGATGTTGCGTCAAAGTACAAAGTCAAAAGAGCCACGTAAGCTGCCGCGCGTTTGTTTTATGTTTCCCACCATGGTTTTTTGGGCCTTCCCGTTTGTGGGCTGCCAGGTGTGAGATCCGGTTATTAACGCAAAATTTAATCATTGGATCATTTCCTTAATTACTGATATTTACTAATTAATTCGGTTGATTACTGGGCTTTTTTTTGGAGGCATCAGTGGACGGCCCATCATTATCCCATTAAAGGGAGAGGTAAATCATTGGGCTTAAACTGGAGAAAAGCCTATTTACGATTGGGCTCCTGTCGTGAAAGTTTGTTTCCTATCAGCATTTTCTAATTGGGCTTGGGACCAACCTATAGCTCAGCCAGCCGCTTCCGTTTTTTTATGGCAATCAAACAGAAGAAACGTTTCTCGACACGGCGCCAAGTTAGAGTGTTCTGAAGACTAAAACCGAAAAAACCCTCTTCAGCCTTCGTCTCCACGGAGCAAATCACTCCCCTTTTCCCTTCAATTGACATCAACCACTCCGGCGCCGACGAGCCCAGTTGATAGAAATCTTCTCCCAGGGAGTGGGTGTGGATTTTTCCAGTTACAGGTCGCAGTCAAGAGAGACATCTGTTGCGTTCAATTGGGTTGAAGAGAATGGGCAGAGGGTTGAAGGGACTGGTGAAGAAGGGATTGGGGGAGATGGGTTTCACCGCCGGCGGCGGAGTCATCAATTGGTTCCCGGGACACATGGCTGCGGCCACTCGCGCCATACGCCAGCGCCTCAAGGTTTCCGACCTTGTGATTGAAGTCCGCGACTCTCGTGTATGTATGTCTACTACTACTTCTTCCTCTTCCTTCTCTCTCTTTATGTCTGGCGGTGCTTGTTGTACATACTAAGCTTGAAATTCTTCCTTATTCCGGTGACTGGCTGACTCTAGCTTCCTTGTCTCTTTAACGTGTGATGAATTTAGATACCGTTGTCGTCGGCAAATGCTGATTTGCAGCCTCAGCTGCTTTCAAAACGTCGGGTGATTGCTCTCAACAAGAAGGACTTGGCGAATCCTAATATTATGCATGTAATGTGTTTCTCCCTTTCTGTAGTTCTGGGTTGCTTCTTAATACGTATTTTTTCGCTGAAAGTTTGAATCTTTGTTTCTTCTGTTTTGTTTGGTAGAAATGGGTTAGTTATTTTGACTCGTGCAAGCAGGACTGCATCCATATCAATTCGCATAGCAAGAGCTCTGTCCAGAAGGTGAGTACTATTATCAGTCCCTTCTGAACTTTTGATTCTTCATAAGGTAGCTGACATCCGAACTCCGTGATTGTAAGTTGAAAAGATAGATTAAATTATATGATATAGGAATGGTTGAAGGATTAGCTATCGTGCTAAGAATGAAGTCGTTAAACAATATTCAAATAGTTGCCTCATCTGTTGATAGATCGGCTATTTGTTGGCTGCGACAGTTTCAGTTTTGTAAGTCTGACTGACTGTAGCAGTGTAGAACGGTGTCCCTATCTTGCAGTTGTGCAAAGCTGATCTGCTGTCACTCCTTTTAACTTCAGAGTACTATACTAGCGTTTTCTGTATGGATAGTATCGAAGTTTCTAATGATTGCATGTTTTACGAAATATGGAAGCAGTCGTTTTGTGTCTATTCTATTGCGTTAGTCAATGCCCCAGGATATCATCTTGTATCTACCAACAATCTTACCTGGCAGTTGCTTCTGTGAAACTTGAAAGCTTTTCTTTTTTGATTGTGTTACTGAACTAGATGTTTGTGAATGTGATTTCATATGTGCAACAGCTTCTTGAACTAGTGGAGTTGAAGCTTAAGGAGGCGATTTCGAGGGAGCCTACTCTCCTTGTTATGGTAGTTGGGGTCCCTAATGTTGGAAAATCTGCTCTCATCAATTCGATTCACCAAATTGCCTTGTCCCGCTATCCTGGTAAGTAATATGTGGCGATTCTTTCAATTGTGTTGCCATGCGATGATATGGAAGTTCTTTACCTACAAAGACATTTTCTTAATGTAGCACCTGACAAGCTAAAGCGAGCTACAGTGGGTCCTCTGCCTGGTGTTACACAAGATATTGCCGGGTACAAGGTTAGCTGCTATTTTCTCTATCATTAAATGAAAATAGTTTAGGATTTTGTGAGGTTGGTTTGTCCCTGAACAAGGATGTGTTGCATCATGCATTCTTCTGTTCTGTTTCAATCGGCAGATTGCTCATCAGCCTAGCATATACGTTCTAGACACGCCAGGCGTGTTGGTCCCTAGCATTCCAGATATAGAAACAGGGCTAAAGCTAGCCCTTGCAGGTCTGAACTCTCTGAATCTTTTTCTCGTGCGGTATGCTCTATTGTTGATATATTGTATAAAACATTTACAGGGTTCTAATGGTTGTTTCAGGATCAGTAAAAGATTCCGTTGTTGGTGAAGAAAGAATTGCTCAGTACTTGTTGGCAGTTCTAAACCTCCGCGGCACTCCCCTCCACTGGAAGCACTGGAACAACAGGAAAATGGACGGGATCCGGTATGAACCGGAGGACAAACAAAGCTACAGCCTTAAAGCCCTTCGACAAAAGGGAAGGAAGCAGCCCAACTTCTCAGATCTCATCTATGTCGAGGTAAACAAACATCCTAATCAAACAATTCCATACATACCCTTCTATGCATAACTTTTATGACACCCGTGATCAAATGTGTGTTAACTAGGATATGGTGACAGAAGTCCAATGCGCGCTTTATCGAACTCTGACGGAGTTCGATGGCAACGTGGAGGAAGAAGGCGAACTGGAGCATCTCATAGAAGAGCAGTTCGGGGCGCTGCAGAAGGCCATGAAGATCCCTCACAAATCAGGCGAAGCTCGGCTGATGGTGTCGAAGAAGCTCCTAACTCTGTTCAGAACGGGTAAACTAGGGCCTTTCATTCTAGATGATGTCCCTCAATCACTTTAATCATTACTGAATTCTGAACTCTGATAGAATGTGTTTGGTATCTGTATGCTATGTGGCTCTTTTGATTGCCTCTTATTTCCCTTGTCTATTATTAGTGTATGCTATTCTATATTTAACCTTCTCCTTAATCACCATTAACCTGAGAGCTATTTTAGAGACATTCCATATTTAGACCAGACGATGCAGCAACCTCAGTACCTATAAAAGTTTGAACAATCATCCACGCTAATCAACCATTCGAATAAACTTGATCTAACCAATAAAAGAGATAACATATTGTGATAATCATAATCAACTCATCATCCTCATCAAGTATGGCAGGGTACAGTAAGAAGGCCGTGGCTCTCCTCTTCTGCTTGGCATTGATCCTGATGCAGAGCAGTTTCGCAGTGGCCGAGGACACTGCTACTGCTCCGTCGCCCGATGAAGCATCTCCACCGACGAAAGAAGCTAACTCGGACTCTTTCTTCGATCACACGTCCATGTGCTGCAACAAACTGATCACACTTTGCTGCGACAAAGCTGATGCAGCCAAGACTGATGATGGTGCCGCCGCTCCTGCTCCCTCCGTCGCCTAAATGATCATCTTCGTCATCTACACCGATCGATTCGATCGCCTATATGCATTCGTATTTGCATGTAGGATCATATATAATTTATTGACATGAATCCACGATTGCTGTGATTCCTTTTATCTTTTCTTAGTCTGTAGGTATTAATGCGTATAGAAAGAGAGGGGATGTTGGTTTTTGTAAAATGGTATGCTCCTATGATCAGCATACTCGAAATGTTTATGTGAATTGATCTTCATGAGAGTATGGAGATTAAGTTGGTGTAGTTGAACTCTGTTTCTCTTCAGATTTCAATCTGATATATAATAAGATAATAAAATGATACAATGCTTCTTATAATCTATCCTCTGCAAACTGTTTTTTTTCCCTTCTAAAATGAACAATTCTTATGATCCATTAACACATATCTCAATTGATGTTCGATTTGTCGAAACAATGCAAGTTATTGTTCTATTTTTTTCTTCTTCTCTGGACATGAATAAGATTCTCTGATGATCCATTATAACTCGAAATATAATGATAATTATATTTTTTTGGTCCAAAAAGTAGATTATTAATTTATAGACATGATTTAGGATTGAAATTGATCTATTAGAATCATTAAATACTCTTGAAAGTTCGAAACAATAGCTTAATTAGTAATAACGATGTCAAAAGTTCTTGTGCGAATTTGAGGTCGTAGGTTAGAATCCATAAAAAGTACTCTTGAATCATATGTCTGAGTATTTTTTTTTCTTCGTAATTTGTATTGTGCGATAAATAAATAAAAATTATTAAATTCGAAAAGTGAGTAATTACTAATTACTTAAGCTAAAATGGGGTAATGGAAGGAATAAAAGGATTAAAGTTGAAATTAAGGATATATGATGAGTAAATAAGTTGAGATGGACAATCCCCACGTGGAATTTCTTTTCCCGGAGAAAATTTAAAACTCAGTGTCCTATATAAAGAAAAGACTGAACATTTTGATGAACAGCCAAAACGCAAGCAGAAAGAACGGAGCATAGCTTCTGGAGAGAAAGAGAGATACCAACGATTGAGGACGGCTATTCTGTACGTCGGTCGTCGCTTGCAAACTTCCGTTCGGTCGTCGCCACCGCTTATAATTTAGGGTTTGTTCAACTGCTATCTCTTTGTCTTTCCCTTTTACCTGCTTTCCCCACTTTTTCAATTCTCACTAGTCACTAGCTTTGCGAAGTCCGCTTTCCCCAAATTCAATTTGTTCACAAAACTAATTTTAAGTTTCTCGTGCTTTTTTTCTGTCTTCAGTTTGGAAAAGCTTCTAAGCTATGTCTTGGTGTACCATTGAATCTGACCCCGGTACGCCATTCCTACTCTGTTCCTTTTCCTCCAGTTTGCTTGCTTTCTCTTCCAATGGATTTGCTTTCGTTTGGTTCGAATTTGTTTTGGCTCTGTAGGAATTCCGTTTTTAGCTTCCGGGCTTGCATAAATGTTGTTTTTTTCTCAAATTCAATATGGGAACTAACCCTAAAACGTTAAACAGGGTATCATAGCTTATATCTTGTTGCCATTTGCATGTATATATAGTTTGCGCTTAGTCTGTTGAATAGGAATTCTTGTTAACTGCCCTTGTGAAGACAGATAGTGATGAACTAGTGCAATCTCTTCTTATGTGGGATTTCTTCAATTTCAGGTGTCTTCACGGAGCTCATACAGCAAATGCAAGTTAAAGGAGTGCAGGTAATCTTTGGAGGACTACTCCGATATCGTTTTTGGATGCCATCCTTATGGATCATGTTTCGCCATTGCTAGTGGTGACATGCTACCATAGAGTAAATCACACAATAGGCTGTGCAGCTTAGTTAGCCTGTGTCTCGTCGGTTCAAATGTTGAATATTTATGGTTTACCATTATGTAATTAGAAGTTAAAAGTATTAGCAGTAGTGCAGTACTAGCCACTAGGGATAATGAACTTTGTTCACTAAATTGACCCGTATTTCCTTTCACCACTTTTCTCTAAAGAATCTCAGATATGCTGCCAATGTCATCGTTCTGCATTGTAAATAATCATGTAGTGGATGAAGAGATTATATGTTCCCTTGTGCCGATTACAGTGCTGCTTCTTCATGCATACTCTAGAGATCAATGCATATTGTTGTAGGGCTATAGGAAATATGCTATTCGTCGTGGTGCCTGCTGAAGATATAATGAGAAACAAGGTAGTTAATTGAGGTGGCAAGTTACAATTATTCTATAGAAAGACCCGAGTTGATCTGTGGGACCCATAGAATTCGTGTTTTTCTTTTCCATATTGGTTGCAAGGTCATGATGAAGGAGCATAATTTGTCAAACAAGCACATAGACTAGGAAATGGTATATGTTTCTAGTAATCCCACTCTGGTTATCGAAAGTGAATGTGAATCCTAACTAAGTACCCTGGAGCGGTTTACTTGTACCACTTTGCTGGTTATGAATGTTGACAATTTCTCTTCACCAATCAGTCCTATACTTCTCTTTTTACCGATTGTCTGCAGCGTTATGTTACACTATTAACTCAAATGTACTTCTCTGATTGGAACTCAAACTTGGAAATCATTCATTAATATTGGGATGTTCGTACTCTAGTCTTTTTGGGGCCTTGGCACTATTTTATTCTACTCTGTAACCTGTATTTGCTTTTGTATTTGATGTGAACATTGTTATATTGTCTCATCAGGTTGAAGAGTTGTATTCATTGGACCTTGATTCTCTTGACAGTCTTAGGTTTGTTATCTTTTTTGTTACTATAGCTGTTTGATTTCTCCTCTAACCATAAATGTGACGTATTTTGTGCTACTCGCATTCACGATACTCCTTATTTTTATCTTCTTTCATTCACAGACCAGTATATGGCTTGATTTTCCTCTTCAAGTGGCGCCCTGGGGAGAAAGATGACCGTCCTGTCATCAAGGATCCGAATCCTAACCTCTTTTTTGCAAGTCAGGTAAATTCCATTGGAATTCATCTTGATTATGGATAATCGATCTTTTTTTCATGTTGCATGTCGTCAGTGACCTATTATTTGTCTATGGTTCTTTTCCTCTTTTTCTTGTAGGTAATCAACAATGCTTGCGCAACCCAGGCAATCCTGTCCATCCTAATGAATTCTGCTAACATAGATATCGGCCCTGAATTATCGAAACTGAAAGAATTCACCAAGAACTTCCCACCAGAGCTCAAAGGCTTAGCCATCAACAATAGTGAAGCTATACGTGCGGCTCACAACAGTTTTGCAAGACCCGAGCCTTTCATCTCTGATGAACAGAAAATCGCTGGAAAAGACGATGATGTGTACCACTTCATCAGTTACATACCTGTCGATGGTGTGCTTTATGAGCTTGATGGATTGAAAGAGGGCCCCATCAGTCTCGGCCAGTGCTCCAATGACCTTGATTGGCTCAAACTGGTTGGACCGGTGATACAGGAACGCATCGAGAGGTATGCCTAAGGGTGGCTATCTGTTTTCGTTGTCGTTAAACAAGTTTCGGGTTTACATTAGCAGTTTTTGCCTTTCTGTTGATATAAACTGAAAACATAGTCAGAAACCATAATATGCCTGAGATCCAAAAAATATTGATTTAAATCACTATAAACATGAAGGGAGAACTAAATTTTAGCCGTTCTCGCGCCTGATGAGATGACTTGCCTGCTATACTTTGTATGTCTGTTTGTTTTTAATTGTTTTTGTGGGTGGAGTTCTTTTGGCCATTTGTATTCTAATCTCATCGATGCCTTTAACAACCACCTAGGTATGCCAAGAACGAGATAAGGTTCAATCTCTTGGCGGTGATCAAGAACCGGAAAGAGATGTACACTGCCGAGCTGAAGGAGCTCCAGAGGCAGAGGGAAAGGATCCTGGCAGCTTCTCAAACTGAAGGGGCCAGCGGGGGCAGCTACGAATCGATGAGCAAGTCATTGTCCGAGTCGTTGTCCGAGGTGAACAGTGGGATCGAGACCACAACTGCAAAGATCCTGATGGAGGAGGAGAAGTTCAAGAAGTGGAGAACCGAGAACATTAGGAGGAAGCACAATTACATCCCGTTCCTGTTCAACTTCCTCAAGATCCTTGCTGAGAAGAAGCAGCTCAAGCCTCTGGTCGAGAAAGCCAAGCAAAAGGCTGGCAACGCCAAGTGAAATAAAGACCGATGGTAAACTCTATCGGTTGACTTCAGTCCAGTCTGTACCTTGTTTTTGTGTCCTTTGAAAACTTCTTTTGTTTAAGATTTCTATCTATGGCTTTTTGGATGCTCTAGAATGCATATCTTCAAGCAGAGTGACTGAGTTCAGATGAGGCAGTGGAGATCTCGCTCCTGATCTTGTAACTGGACGGGGATTGTTGTAGATGGTAACAGTACAAACTTAACATTTTGCAGACGAGCCTTCAATTGTTTTTTCCCCCTCTGTACGTGGCTCTGTTTCCGTTGACTTGGCAGCCAAGAAACCATGTGGAAAATTTGGCCTCTTAACCACATTCAGTGGGCTGCTTGGGCTAGCAAGGTAGGTTTGGCTGAATTTGAGGGGCTCGCTTGAGGCTGGGGCTCATGGCTACAGCATTGAAGTAACCTTCAACAGTTTGATGATATCACAAGTAGGGATGGCAACAAAACCCGAACCCACGGGTACCCACCCGACCCATGGGTACCCGCCCACACATATAATTACTTTTCCGGTATATTTATTATTCTAAATAATATATCTTCTTTAAACAACTAATATTATTTATGTTTGTGAAGACATGTATAAATTGTTCTTTCTAATTATTTAGAATGAAGTTGATATTATGGAGTGGAGAGTGAAGAAATTTATTTGACGAGGAAGAAGATTTCAATTAATCTTGTTGTTTATAGATGTTTATCTTTAATTTTGAACAATTTGTATTGATCATTTGCGGTTTGCTTGTGTGTTCTAGATTGGTATTTTTTGTATGAGAAAATTGATGTTAAACTTTTATTTTGAAAGAAATTTGTTATTGTAAATTTTTTACCGCAAAAACCCACGGGTACCCATGAACCCGCGGATACCCAGCGGGTTGGGTTGGGTATTGAGTTTTTCAAACCCAACGGGTTTTACCCCGGGTTTTTTTGGCGGATAAACCCATGGGTTTGGGTTTGGGTTTGGGTTTGACAAAACCCGCCCCAACCCGACCCATTGCCATCTCTAATCACAAGTTGCTGTGCTGACGGACAGTTCGGTGTTTGATTCATTGAGTTTTATAAATACCGAAGAAAATGGACTGAATTGATATTTGGACGGAAGTAAAACAGATTGAATATACTATTGGTCCGCTCATTGGTCATAAGATGTCTTCCACTGTTGAATTGTGGTTTGTGGTCCTATTGTATTTACTTTGCTCAGATCATATTGTTGGGAGAGGTTCAATCGTGGATCATATACCACAACACTAACACGCCCCCTCAAACGAAAGCCACTCACAAGGGCTTGAAGTTTGCACAGGTCTGAAGACAAGAATACCATGTGCTTAACAAATGGGGGTCACCGGGAATCGAACACAAGACCTCTCGGTCACAGAAGGCTCTGATACCATGTCAAGAACCAGTTGCTCCCAATAACTCGAGTTGTTGGGAGAGGTTCAATCGTGGATCATATACCACAACACTAACAGTAAGTGCACACTTGACAACTTCATTTACAAACTCGAAGGCTAAACAACAAACTAACACCAAAACAAAATGGAAATAACTATCCCCTCTTATCTCCGGTATAGCTTCTTCTTGAAGTATATTATCTTAATCGATATTATGCGTCTCACAATCAAATATGCAAAAGAGATGTGGATATGAGGCTCAAACAAATATCAATCATATATGCAAAAGAGATGTGGATATGAGGCTCAAACAAATATTTCAGTGGAGTTCATTTTCCTGTGATGACCATCTTCTCTACAAACTAAAATTGAAATAAAAAGCAAATTACAAAACCCGTTGATACATTTTCACAACCGCGTCACTTATCTGCAGAGACTGAAAAGGAAGCGTCAAAATTCAATAGACATCTAGCCAGCTAGCTTGTCACATCTATGCAGTAATAGAACCAACATACCCATAACTTTCACTATAGGCAATTGCACATCTTTGTCCACTAGTGTTCAACACTTGAATGTGGTCCTTAGCCAAAACAGTTCTACAAGTCAAATAATGCACAAAATCCCCCACTAACTTCCCGTAATCAATGAAGTGGTATGGTTGTAAGCTTATAGTTGGCCAGTTTGCATGATGGTATACCATGCTTCCATTTTAATGGCGACCATGTGTTTGGGTCCATATTCCATGCCATTCGCCTAACTACGTTGCATGTTTACACCACATAGTTTATATCCGAAACCCACATTATATAAGCTTAGATCCGATAGCAATCTCTATCTATCTTTCGAGTATGGATTCCGAAGCAGAAACTACAGTTGGAGGGAGTTGCCTTGTTTGGCAAGATCTCTCAGTAACCCTCGCAAGTAACAACTTCGGCAGCCATGGCAATGGTGGCTCGTCGACGAAATACTTGGTGAATGGGCTTACTGGTCTGGCTCAATCTCATCGGATCATGGCCGTCATGGGGCCTTCTGGCTCTGGCAAGTCCACTTTCCTCGATGCCTTGGCTGGTAAGTTAACACTAGTATTGTATATGCATGTGATGGAAATGCTAGTTAGTTAGTTAGTTATACTGATATACATTCGATTCGATCGTAGGGAGGCTTACCACGAAAGTTGCCATGGCGGGGAAGGTGGAGCTGATCAGCAGCTGCCCTGCAGGGAGTGGGACGAAGAAGAAGATCAGAAGTTCTCCCGTAACCTGCAGGGATGTGTCTTACGTGACACAAGAAGATGTTTTCCTCGGGACGCTGACGGTGAAGGAAACGCTCAGCTTTGGGGCTCGCCTGAGGCTACCGGGGCTGACAAAGACCGAGCTGGACGAGGTGATTGAGGACACGATGGCGAAGATGGGTCTCGAGGAATGCGCGGACACCACGATCGGGAACTGGCACTTGAGAGGGATAAGTGGCGGGGAGAGGAGGCGGCTGAGCATTGGTGTAGAGATATTGGCGCAACCGCTGGTGCTTTGCTTGGACGAGGCCACGACAGGGCTGGACAGTGCTGCGTCTTTCTTCGTCGTGCAGGCTCTGCGCAACATTGCTCGCGATGGCAAGATCGTGGTTTGCTCGATTCATCAGCCCACAAACGATGTGTTTCGCCTCTTTGATGATCTGCTGCTCATCTCTTGTGGAGAAGCTGTTTACTTTGGTGAATGCCAGGGTGCTGTCAAGGTAACATAAACAGCAGAATGTGTTTGTTTGTCAAAATAAGGAGTATACAGTAATTGATTGGTCTTTCCATGGTATCCAGTTCTTTGCAGATTCAGGGTTCCCCTGCCCGACTAGAAGAAACCCGCCTGACCATTTCCTTCGGTGCATTACTCCGGAGTTCGATCAAGTCCTAGCTGCTCTGAAGCAGACACAACGAATGAACCATGCCGTGAGTTAGAAATCAAACACACTATACTTGGTTCTCTTATAACTTAAAGACAGTAGAGCAGCAGCTGATTAAAATGATGAAACAGGAGCTCGCAGCAGCAGATGGCTTGCTGAACGGGACAACCGCAGAGACCAGAGCAACCCTAGTGAAGAAGTACAAGTCGTCTATCTTTTCAGAGACTGCAACGAAAAAGATTCAAGAACTCGCATTACTACTCGCTGTATGTTGCTCGATTTTTCGTTACAAAACCAGGTTACCAACTGCAACCTTTTCAACTAGCTGATCACATTTCCTATTCAACACAGCAGGAGAAACATGATGATGGAAGCCAGAGTAGCAGTGAAGTTGTATCTGAAAAGAAGAGAAAGATTGGCAAGAAGCAGCACCATCAGTGGTGGAGCCAATTCTGCACATTAACACATCGCTCCAGCTTGCACATGTGCAGAGACCTCGGCTACTACTGGCTTCGAATCTTCTTCTACATCATGGTGGCACTGAGCACGGGTACCTTGGAGTTCGACATTGGGACATCTAGCGCGGCGGTCATAGCAAGAGGCAAGGTAGATGGGTTCCTCTACGGCCTCATGATCTGCCTGTCCATCGGCGGCTTGCCTTTCTTCTTGGACGAGATCAAGGTATAAAAACAAAGAGAAAACAAGTAGTTCATATTAAGTCCAAATGGTTCAAACTTCAAACCGAAAACTCACTTTTCTCGAACTCCTTGCAGGCCTTCCGTGGGGAGAGGGAGGGAGGGTACTACGGAGAGGCTGTATATGTGCTGTCTAACTTCCTCTCCTCATTACCTTTCACCATATTCATATCGATCTCATCCGGATCCATACTGTACAGCATGGTGAAGTTCCACCCGGGATTCTCCCACTTGCTCTACTTCTGCATCAACCTCTTCTTCTGCATCTCAGTGTCAGAAGCCTGCGTCTTTGTCACTGCTTCTCTAGTATCCAATCCACTGCCAGCCATGGGTACTGCAGTTGGTGTCACTGTAAGCCTAACACATCATCCTCATCATCTATACTAGTCATCAATATCACCACATGAACGAACCAATCCATTGGTAACAGAATAAAAACTCCATTGTTATTTGCAGGTGCTCAATCTAATGCCATCGATCGTCTTTCGACCCCTACCAGACCTTCCTAAGATCTTCTGGAGGTACCCTTTGTCCTACATCAGCTATGCTGCTTGGGGAACACAAGGGAATCTGAAGAATGACATGATGGGACTTGAATTCGATTCTGCAATACCCGGACGGCCGAAGATAACGGGCGAATTCATTCTTACGAACACTTACGGTATGAACCTAAAGTACTCCAAGTGGCGGGATGTAGCTGCTCTCTTCTGCTTGCTGCTGGCTTACAGGGTGATCCTGGTCTTTACCCTTCACTACAAGCAGAGAATATCATCACCATTCCGCAGAACTCAACCCAAAAGAGGTCTCAAACCCACCACTGTTCAGCAAGCTTAAGTGAAGAATCAACATAGGGACAGCAACCCGAAACGTGGAACAGCGATGTAGTTCGTAGGATGCTAAGTTGTTTGAACTGAAATGACTGCAAAAAATTTGTGAACTTGACTGTGTGATGCAAAAAAAAACTTACAAGCTGTGGAATGAAACGCCCCAATCGGGCCTCGTCTTTTGTCTACATTGCGAATGCTGGATGGACTTCTGAGCTCATAAAAAAACGAAACTTGAAGCTAACTATATTATATCTGGGGTCTTGCCGCCCTTAGAGAGATTTCGATTTCGTTGATTTAGGGCTTGGTGGGTAATCAGCCATGAGTGACTTTGCGCCTAATTCTGCAATTTGGCTTCCCGCTCGATTCCGTCAATGGTGTCTTCGTCTCCGATCACCGGCGATGCTTCCGCTTCATTCGGCGCCATAGTGAAAACAGAGAAAGGAGCAAAAGGGAGAGGGCCGAGCCCAATGGGAAGACTTGGAAGGCCCGAAATACTGGGCTTGGGTTTACTTTAAGTTCGTGGACCTAACGGACACGTCGTTGACGGTTGCAAATGTTACTGTTTCATGCTTCTTTTTTAGTGAACTTACAATCTAACTCCCAAAGGTTTAAAAATGCTTATAAAATTATAAAGCAGTGGTAAAAATCCAGGTCCGGAAACATAACCTCATACTTATGGATCATGCAAGTTGCAAAAGTCAGAGCGAGCTGCTTTCAGAGCAAGAAGACAAAACCCTTTTATTACGAGGGTAATGGGAGCGAGCGAGTGGGCCTGGGCCTGGGCCTGGGCCGGGGTCGAAGTTTATTATTATCTGTACTGCAACTTGCAGCAAAAGAGTTTGGAAAGGCTTCATTCATGAATCCGGGTCCCAATTAAGGAAAGGAATGGCGTCCTGAGTGTGCAATTCCTTTGGGCCCAGAGACTGAAACGTTCTCATCAGTAGTCGACGACTCTACTTGCTTTGCTTGCTGCGGTCAACAAAAGCACAAGAAAATACTAAGAGTACAGTAGACCGGTGCCTAACTATACGGCATGTGTGTGTATATGCATTCATTGCAATACGCGCTTCTCTTTCCCTCTCTCTCTATATCTCGCGGTAATAACCCACTTTGTTGCAATAATTTGAGTAGCGGAGAGAGGTTCATTTATAATACTTAATCACTTCTTATTTCCTCGTTAGATGAAAGCCAATTCCGAAACTTACACGGACAAATCAGATTTGACATTATGTCACAAACCAACTGAGCTATTAGTAAAAAGATATATATATATATATATATATATATATATATATATGGTGACTACTTCGGTGCACTCACAAAAATGAGTGCGCTCAATGCACCCAACTCAAAAACTAGTCGTAAGGTGTCAGATTTTGAATTTTAATTTGTAGAATTAGTGTAATATGATTACATAACATATGACAACAACTAATTAGCCGATTACCCTAAGCCCTAGACCTTCAATTTTGATTTCTATCCCTAAGCCTCACATTGTAAACCCTAACCCTAAATCTCTAAACTCTAAATCCTTCAAATTAAAGTAAATCTTTAATGATTTTTGTGCAAATTCATGTATGTTATTGTTCATCACATCATAAGTGATGGTTGACATCATTTTGACATAAATTGCATGTTTAAAATGACGGTTATGAAGTGAGTACACTAAATGCACCCAAAAAAGTAAGTGCAATGAAGACGCCACCATATATATATATATATGTATGCTGCATAATTGGATATCTCTCAATTAACAATTCTCGAGTTATTGTGGCCGACTGGTTTCTTGACATGATATTATATATACCCTTCTTTAACGGGCGAGAGTAATCTAGTGGTCATCTGTCCGGCCAATTCCCGATATAATTAACTCCATTCATTCTGTTAAGCACACACGCAATCCGAATGAACTTTCGTTTTTGACGGTGTGGTGTGTTAGTAAATAGTATACAATCCGTAATCGAACGTCTTCCACCAACTCAAGTTATTAGGAACAACTGCTTCTCGGCATAAATCTCAATAATGAGTCAAGTTGTTTGAAAGCTACCTACCTTAGCCACTTCCTTACATTTATGGCACTCTCTGGCTTTCATTTCACAATATATATAGGCATGCAGAGAGCCGGTAGCTAGAGATATCGCGACGGCAGGAAATCAATATTATTGCAGCAATATGGCGAGAAGTTGCAGAAGCAGATACCTTGTTTGGGAGGATGTTACAGTGACACTCGCCAATGGCAAGAAGCAGAAGAACAAGAAGTGCTTGGTGAGTGGGCTTACTGGGCTTGCAGAGTCTCATCGGATCATGGCGGTTATGGGCCCGTCTGGCTCTGGCAAATCCACCTTCCTCGACGCTTTAGCCGGCAGGCTCTCACCTCAAGCTTCCATGGCGGGGAAGGTCCTGCTCAGAGGCGGCAGCCCGCCGCCGGCCGGCGAGAAGATGAACCGAAGCAGCTCCCTCATCAGCTGCCGAGATGTGGTAATAAAAAGCCTCATTTAGTAAAATATTACATGCATATATGGTCTAATAACCGGTTCCGGATAGCCACAAAAATTCGTACATGATAGTTCTCTATATTATCTCACGAAGTTTGTTACGGATTACGAGTATATTGACATTGCACAAAATAAGAAAACCATACATTAATTCACAAGTTTATTGCATATATATATATTTTACTAGGAGCACTTCTACCATGCTATATAGCATTGGTGCTTTAATGTACAACTTGAAGTTGTACCATAACATTAAATGTATAAGTTTAGGTTGTACCATAAAAGAATTTGTAACATTATGTTATGGTACAACTTTACAACTTGAAGTTATACCATCACATAAGGTACAAGTTTAAGTTGTACCATAAAAGAATTTGTACAAAAAGTATAGGTACAATCTGAAGTTGTACCACAACGTTAAATGTACAATTTCAAGTTGTACCGTAAAAGGCAAAAACCTATAGCACCAATGCTATATAGCATTGTAAAATTCCTCATTTTACTAGGGGCGTAAAACGGTGTGGTTACCATGGTAACCGTTTTAACCAGTACTATTTGGATAATTTGGTTTGGTTAATTTGGATAATTGGTTTGGTTTGGTTAAAGTTCTTACCTTGTTTGGTTTGGGTGGTTTGGTTTGGTTTCAGACACTCCTAACCAGCCAACCAAATTAACCAGATAAATAATTAGCCATATATCTAATATATAAACATACTTAATACTTTGAATAACCACTCAAAAGTTAAACGTTCATCCCTTTTAGACTCATAAAATATAAAGCTTGATATTGTTCCTATAATGTATATTTGTATATGTAGAGTGTAGACCACAACATATGGACGCCTAGTTTAGATAAATCTCATACATTATGTTGGATGAAAACTTGAAAGCAGGGTCCTTTTCAGCCTATAAAAATTGCTAAAAGACTAAGTCAATTCAAACAAACACAACGATTCATTAACTCATACCATTGTGATAAATTTTTGTTAGGTGAATACTTCTATATACTAACCATAAGATAATTGTCTTAGTTGCATGTATTTATGTTAAGGGTCAATTATAACTATGTGTTGATTGTTATGTTTTATTCATTATATAAATTGTGAATTGATAAATTAACCAAAAACTTTCTCACTTAATGATAATGTGATTTTATATTGGTTAATCTGGTTAACCAATTAACCAAACCGATTAAACTTTAGTTTGGTTAATTTGGTTGTTGTATTAGTTTGGACGGTTTGGTTATGATATTATATTCCATGGTTAATGAAATTTAGCCTTATTTGATTTGATAATAACCATGGTAACCATTTGAACACCCCCATATATTACCTTAATGTACACCTCAATTCATGAATTTTATTGTATGTAATTCGAATTGGATAGTAAGAAAATAATGTTACTTACATCGTCACTTTTTGGTTATTGTTGTTTGTTGTTGTGTTTTCAGTCCTACGTGACACAAGAAGACGTGTTCCTCGGGACCCTGACGGTTAAAGAAACGCTCTACTTCGGCGCCCGCCTCCGGCTGCCGGAGCTAACCACCGCCGAGCTCGACGAAGCCATCGACGAAACACTAACAAAGATGGGCCTCGAGGAATGCGCCGACAACACGATCGGGAACTGGCACCTGAGGGGGATAAGCGGCGGGGAGAGGCGGCGGCTGAGCATCGCCGTCGAGATACTGGCGCAGCCCCAGGTGCTGTGCCTCGACGAGGCAACCACCGGGCTCGACAGCGCCGCCGCGTTCTTCGTCGTGCAGGCCCTCCGCAACGTCGCTCGCCGCGACGGCAAGATCGTGGTTTGCTCCATCCACCAGCCCACCGACGACGTGTTCCGGCTCTTCGACGACCTCCTGCTCATCTCCGCCGGCGAAGCCGTCTATTTTGGTGAATCCCAGGGCGCCGTCAAGGTAATTAAACAGTAAAAGTAGGAAAAAAAAATACACGCAAAATAAAACGAAGGGAAATCACTTTATGAATGAAATAGCGATGATATGATGACTCTATGAGTAATCGAGGCTAACTAGTTAGTTGAAAAAAATTCAAAATTTGATAAATGTGAATATATATGGTAAGAAATTGAGATAGAATTGGCATAAAAAAAAAAGAGAAAGGACAAGTCGGAAATAGATATCCATGTCTTTTCCCACGATATTACGAGTCGGATAATACCTGCCATCACAAATCGGGTAATCCTACCCCATCATGGATCAGATCAGGTAATTCCCGACATGATTTTATCCGCTACATGATTAGGAGTTATAAATGTGGTAGGTGACGGCATTAACTGAACCTTAGCTCGTAGCTAGTTTTGGTCCAGGCAGCATTTTGCCAAATAAGGCAAATAATGAGGGGGGACCTTTCATTGTTGGGAACTATGTAGGTGAAGGCAATTTATTGTCGAGCAACAAGTTTGAATATTAGGGCATAAGGAGGTTCGTTTGGACGTGAAATATTGAAAACTCTGTTTTTAGAGATAACTAGTATTGTTAATTTGAATTGAAATGTTTCATATGAGATATTTTGATTCATATATATTGAAATATTATATCTAAATTACTTTTAATATTACGGTCGACCTTCTTGTTGGAGGGAGGAGTGTTTGCATACGATTTCTAGGTGCTAGAATCTCTGTCCACTCAAGACCATCTTTTCAGGGAAAATTTTATAATTTCTTCGAAATTTTTTTTGATTGGGAAGATATCCAAATTTGGAGGGACTTATTTACTTTTTTAAAAAATTTCACGATTTCATTTTATTTTTTATATGAATAGATGACGTGGAAACCATATCACAGCCACTTCAGCATCGGATGATAAGTTACGTATAGGAAAAAAGTTGACCATCAATATTAACAGTCAATTCAAAGTTCGAGAAGTTCAAAATTCAAACATAACTATTTTATTTGAAAAGTTCGGATAACAATTTTAATTTTTTACTTAGAAAATTATGATTATCCTCAGTTCTTTTTTTATTTTGTTTATTCGTGGGAATTTTCACCGTGGAAAACTTTTTTTTTTTTTTTTTGTCTACAGTTCTTTGCAGATTCAGGGTTCCCATGCCCAACTAGAAGAAACCCGCCGGACCATTTCCTCCGGTGCATTACTCCGGAGTTCGATCAAGTCTTTGCTGCCCTAAAGCAGACACAAAGAATAAACTATGTCGTGAGTTAGATATCAAAGAATAAACATGTTTAACGAACTTACCATGCTGCCAACTGATATCAACTTGCTTGAAATGCAACAGGAACTCTCAGCAACAGATGGGTTAGTGGACCTGACAACAGCAGAGATCAGAGCGACTCTCGTGGCGAAATATAAGTCGTCCATTTTCCCCGAGATTGCGAGGAAAAAGATTCTGGAACTCGCACATCAGGAGAAACATGACTATGATGACGAGGATGATGATTATGATGGGCAGAGAAGGATTGTGCAGCAGCAGCAGCAGCGGCCTAAACAACGGTGGTGGAACCAATTCTGCACACTGACACATCGCTCCAGCCTCAACATGACCAGAGACCTCGGATACTACTGGCTCCGGATCATCTTCTACAGCTTGGTGGCACTCAGCACCGGCTCCTTGGAGTTCGACATTGGAACTGCCAGTGACTCTGTGATAGCCAGAGGCAAGGTTGTCGCTTTCCTCTATGGCATCATGATCTGCTTGTCCATCGGCGGCTTGCCTTTCTTCCTCGATGAAATCAAGGTATGTCGAGAGGACACTAAGATTGTGTTTCAGCTTCAGTGTAGAGAGTCACTAGAGCAAAAATGACTAGCAGTCTCGCCGCACACTCACTGCATCTATTAATCGCGCAGGTATTCAAAGGCGAGACAATGGCCGGTTACTACGGAGAGCCAGCCTACGTGCTGTCCAACTTCCTCTCCTCGTTACCTTTCACCATAGTCATATCCTTCTCCTCGGGATCCATAATGTACAGCATGGTCAAGTTTCATCCCGGGTTCTCGCACTTGCTCTACTTCTGCATCAACCTCTTCTTTTGCATCTCCATCTCCGAAGCCTCCGTCTTTGTCACTGCTTCCCTCATCTCCAATCCATTGCCGTCCATGGGGGCAGCTATTGGTGTGACCGTGCTAAACCTGATGCCATCAAATGTATTCCGGCCATTACCTGAACTTCCTAAGATCTTCTGGAGGTACCCTTTATCCTACATCAGTTTTGCAGCTTGGGGAACACAGGGGAACTTGAAGAACGACATGATGGGACTAGAGTTTGATGCTGTGGTACCTGGTGAAGCAAAGATAAAAGGTGAAGTTATTCTGCAGGATACTTACGGTATCGACCTGCAGTACTCAAAGTGGTGGGATGTAGTAGCTCTCTTCTGCTTGCTGCTATGTTACAGGCTACTCCTAATCATTACACTTCGCTGCAAGCAGAGAATGTCATCACCATTCCGCAGAATTTAACCTACGAAAGGTCTCAAATGATAACCAAGTTATCTAGTAGCAGAAACATCAGCCAGTTTTTACCCCAAGGGTAAAATATGATCATTATTATCATATTGTAACCGAACAGGTAACAGAAGTAGCAATTCCATTATGTTCCTGAATGATGCAAGCTTTGTAACCCAAAAATTTACACCCTTCCATATCCTTCTGTATTAGTGAAGGAAGCTTCATTTGTTTTCAAACCTTTCCATGGAAGTATTGCCAAATATCTTGTGCGAAAGAGTGTAGATATAAGAAATTGGCACAACGGCATCCTAAAATTGCACTGGAACTCATCATGTATAATAATGGCACAATGTTGGCTGATGTAAAAGATCATAGTAAGTAGAATATTATATTCAACTAAACTATCACATTTCACAAAATGGGGCCTTGCTGAAATCAAGTTTGTAAGGGATCTTATTTATTTGCTTCAATGAATTCTCTGTACTCTTTCTTCATCTTCACCCCGGGTACCTTCCTGCATGCAGATACAAGAAAATATTAAAGTCTGTACCTAGTCCACTCATGGAAAGATGTTTCCTCGCCACCATTGATTAAGGGAAATAGTAATCAAACACTAGTCTGGATAAGAAAGAAATACGAATTCGCTCACCTGAGTAACTCCTTATTCTTAAAGAACTGAACACATGGAGTGCCCATAATGTCAGCAGCTTCAGCTATTTCTGGATCTTCCTCGATGTCAATTTCAACAAAATGTACATTTTGATCGTATTCATCAATCACCTGCAATCAGCCAATCAAGTATGACATATTCTACACCTGAAGGCAGCATGGAGATTAAATTTTGATATGAAAGCTTGTCATACATACATATTAGAACCTCTGTGGTTATACTAACACCAAATAATAAAATCAGTTATATTTGAAAAGTTTGTTTTCTTTTTTTAGGAAGGAGGATCTACACTTGACCAAAACAAAAACAAAAAAGGAAGGTTTTCATTCTAGTAATAATCCAATAGATGAACATTTAACAGCATCGTATTTATGCTGGATGTATATTAGACAACTTGACAATATCCACTAGGTTCGAGTGAGAGGTGTAAAGATAAGACAACTTGCACAAACTAGAAAATGGCATACCTTGCTTAGAATTGGCTTTAAAGTTCTGCATGGACCACAAGTTGGTGATGTGTATAATACACATACAAGCCTTGGACTTTCGTGATATAACTTCCTTAGAGCATACTAAGAACAAAAAGCAAAGAAGAGTGTGAGCTGTAAGCTAGTTGAATATATCAAGTACGTGAGTATGTGTGTGTGAGCATACTACCGTAACAGATTTACTAGAACGTCAAGATACTCTACTCATGCATCTTCCTCATGATGAAGTTCCTACTTGTGAAGAATTACCTGATTTCTTTTGACGAATGGAAATTTTGTATCATTTTAAGAATTCTATGAACATGCATTGTGCAGATGAGATGAGGTTTTCAATTGATAACACCATAATTGATTTTGTATCATTTTATATGGAACTTCTGTACACTAATTTCATAATTAATGGGTATGTCTGCAATAATGCATTTGATATGAAGCCCAAAAGACAACATTTGTTGGAGATCAAAACTCAGATAACACATGAACCAGCAACAGCTAACTAATTACTTGGGATCAAACAGCTAGTCTAATTATCTGCAGATAAAGAAATAATCATTATAGAAATAATAGTAACTACGGTAGGCTAAAACAAGCACCTGGCCCTTATGCTTTGTACGCGTAATGTCAAAGCCCTGCTGAACATCTCTGTCAGTCAGTTCCTTCTTAACCTCTTCGGTTGCAGGCTGTCAAATACAGAAGCATGGAGAGAATATCAGAAGTGGATGATTTGATACAAGATCAATCATGAATCGAAGAACAATCGAATCGTGAACAGGAAAGTTATTGAGGCTTCAGAATTTGACCAATATCTCTATTAGAATAAAATAGCCCATGATGAATTCCCCCAAGAACTTTTACCAATCCATGGCCATAACACTGCCCTATCTAAAACATGAATATGTCCAATATCTCTATTAGAATAAAATAGCCCATGATGAATTAAGACTTGAGGAACTCCAGTTAACATCTAAAGCCAGAGCAAGGAGTTTTGTTTCACCCTATTGAAGTACAAAGTCGTGGTCTATGCTTATCTCAGCAACCCATTGAGAAAGTGACTTGACTATTAATCCGCAGCACAAACTGGAAAGTAATGCCTCCTTGCATAAATCAAAACAGAAGGTTCATCAAGAACCTAGAAGCAATATAAAGGCATGGAAGCCAACCTGATGGAACTCTATAAGCAGATCATTGCCCACAAGATATCTTTCTGCTGATAAAGCTGCAATGCATCCTGATCCAGCAGCGGTGACAGCTTGCCTCCATTCATGATCCTGAATTAATACACATCACTGTTTTGATTACAACATCCAAAAACTGCACATCTAAAGTACCCCTTGACAAGACCGCCAAATTAAATCAGCACAGTAAATTGGATGTTTCGTCAAGATTTACCTGTACATCTCCAGCCGCAAATACACCTTCCACAGAAGTTGTTGCACAACCATCCCGAACTAACACATAGCCTGTGTGGTCAAGTTCAACTTGGCCTTCTAACAGTTGGCTATTTGGCGAGTGCCCAATACCGTAGAATAAGCCTTTTGCCTCAATGACCACTTCCTCGCCAGTATCAAGTCTTCTAGTCAATATACCAGACATCTGGCCCTTGGAATTGCTAACCACATCCACCGTCTCTGTACTGAAGTGCACAGTGATATTTGGATTGTTGAACACTCTGAAACATTCGTGATAATCAACCTGTTAAACAAACATTCAGGAAGTTGAAAAACTCAACGTACAAGTTTAAAAAGTATGATATCTGACATCAAACGACCGATGACAAATCGAAACAGGAAACAGAGGTGTGAAAACTCTAAGCAACAGCAAAGTTCACAGATATACACATCAAAGAACTTCAGGGAAGGCATTTCAAGGAAAATTCCACCAAAAAGCTCACCTATCTTGCATTGCTTTAGATGCCCTGAGTTGGTCCCTACGTACAAGTAGATGAACATGGCGGGCATATTTGGTTAAATATATAGCTTCCTCTGTTGCTGTATCACCACCTCCAACAACAGCTAGAACCTGACCCTTAAATAATGGAGATGCTCCATCACAAATTGCACAAGCACTAATTCCTCTACTCCAAAATTCTTCCTCACGAGGCAATCTGAGCCTGTTTGCAGTAGCTCCAGTTGCATAAATGAGGCTATGACATATAACCTGAGATATTAGTATATTAGACGGTTTGGTGGCTAAGACTAGTTCAATGCAGCAACACAATAAACAGGAACAAATTGACTCATATTGCACCCAGTCTGGAGATGGTATGGAAGCTCTTGCCGACCATAAGTCATTGATCAATCATTCTTTTCTTAACTCTATTTATGTTTTAATGCAATATCTTTTTAACTAAAAACTGTATATGAAGTATTAAAGCAAGGTTTATGATTCATACTAATTCAGGTCCCAAGAAGAGGAAAAAACCTCGAGGAAGAACAATGTTGCCATTTTCCACGATTCACATATTCGCACACAAATTCAAAGCTCAATGTGCTTCAACTTCAAGAAGCAGACCAACAGTTTTGAGTAGATATGGGAAAATCGATCAAGTTATATACTTTAACAATTACAAAATTAATGAGGTATGCCAAGAACATGTCATTCTGCTCACATCACCTTACAATTGTCCAAAAAAGAAAACCGCGAGATCACATCACCTTACGTTCGCTACTTTCCACAACAAATGGATGGGTCTTAACGTTAAGAGATTCAACATCTTCCTGATACAGTTCTGCACCCCAACGCTCAGCTTGACGCCGCATCCTAAAATATGATCATGAAGAAAGAAGATAATGAACAGCAGTTGTACAGACCAAAACCAAGCCAAGCCAGCTTCTTTATGTGTCATCAGATAACAAAAACAAGAGAGTTAGCAAGTCCTTCCGTTATTTCCTACCTATCCATCAAATCTGGACCAGTTATTCCATCGGGGAAACCAGGAAAGTTCTCCACTTCAGTAGTAGTCATCAACTGTCCACCAGGCACGCCACCTACCTGATATCCCTCGAAAACCACCGGCTTCAAATTTGCTCGAGCAGCATAAATTGCTGCCGTGTATCCAGCAGGACCCGAACCTATGATTACCACATTCTCAACGCCGCCTTTAGCTGCAGGAACAATCGCCACAATACTTCAGCAATGGATCAGAGGAGAAACAAAGCACACATACTCCCTAAAGACAACTACTTTACTTTATCAAGATGATCGTGCGAGCAAACTTTAACATGGGCAAGTTCAGAATGACAGAATTCATCAAAATCCCCAATGGGCAACAGCCAATTTTCCACCATGAAATTGACCCCACGAATTTCGAGAATTCCGCCATTACTATCTAGTTCAGACAACCCAGAATGCAAGAGAGAGATACCTGGGGAAGGTGATGAGGGGTTGGAGGAAGAAGCTTTGACTCGGAGAGCGGTGGCAGGTGAGAAGGAGTTGGTGAGGGGGAAAGAGCGTTGGTGAGTCCGGAAAGAGAAATGGGTTTTGTGGGGGAGGAGGGAATGAGGTGGGAAAGAGAGAGCTGCCGCAGCGGAGGTGGTGGCGGAGGACATGGCGGCGGCGGAGGAGGAGGAGGAAGAGGGAGTGAGTCCAGCTGGTAATTGTGTCCTCCGATTCCAATGTTCTTTATTATCCTGAGAGGAGAAGCCATATCCACCATTTCAATACCCAATATACGTACACTTTACTTGAGATGATGAATTGATGATGTGGAATTTTCAGCATATCCCTCTCTCTCCTGTTCGTTTTTTTCTTCTCTTTTTCGCGTTATTCCGTTTCATCGTTTTGCTCATCGGAATTAAAAATAGAGAAGAAAATAAGAAGAAAAAATGAATCTTGTTGACCACATTGTGGAATTT